TCCCCGCGGGGGGGAGACAAAGCCATTTATAGACCAGAAACCCTGTGCCTCCAAGTATTTTGGAACTCCACACAGCCGGAATACAGCTTTGGCTCCTTCTCTGCTGTGGAGTAAAATAAAGTGTTTTCAGGCGCACGAAGAAGCCGTGATGCACTGAATCGCTGATTCCTCCCGGCAGCACATTAGCCAGTGCACCTGACTTGAAGCATCTGGAAAACGCCGCCCTGTATTGATTGCACGGGGGCTTGCACTTGGCACAGTGTGGACCTACTAATACAGAAATGGGCTTTGAACACTTTTACATTTGCTGTGGCTGATGTAGAAAGATTGGCCTACCTGTAAAACCAGCAAAGGGACCATGATCCACTCTGCTCAACTGGATGTGAAGGCTTAAAACAATGAGGCATATATATATGTATATATAGTCATCATAACACATGACCGATCCTTCATGTAAAGTCACCATCTCACTTTCTCAATGCTGTGACAGCATTTAGCGCCGACAACCCCACTGGTAACGTTAGAGCTGCTGAAGCCGCCCCGATCAATACGCTTACATTAACGACGGATGAAAACACGGCATGTAATACAAGTGCCTCCGTCGGGCTCCGCCCAAGTTGCCCTCAGCTCGCCGCAGTGCTTCGGGGGCGTGCAGGTGATGGTGGCGACTGTAGTCTACCCGGCCTGCTGAGCTCACGGGCCTGTTCAACCGTCCTAAAGCCGTCAGTCGGTGTTCCTCTGGAGAGCTGCTGAAGGAACAAAGCTGGAGGAGAGTCAATATTAGACAGGAACGCTAAAGTGGCTCCTCTGCATATGTTGATGGAGACGTTATGCCGTTCAACGATGGACACGATGTACCGGGTTGATTTAACGGGGGAGTGCAGGAGGCCCCATCGGGGGGGGCGTGCATGGGAGGGTGGGGGTGCGGATGATCGAGAGAGATTAGTGGCCGACAGAGGTGAGGGAATAAGTCAAACCGGGTACATTTTGAAGAATCCTGACGTGGGATTAAAGACGTTGCTGAGACGTTCGCCTCGGTAACGCAAAACTTATTTACTTCATTTTGAACGAATGCAGCGCCGAGCAAATCAATTTCAGTCGAGACGGATCCTCATCAAGATGCACTGGAACAACCTGGGGACCCCCTGCGAATACACCCCTCTGCCCAAGGGCCCAATGTATGCAGGAGAAGGCATTAATATTCTATGATCAGGGGGAGGATAGAAGATGATGTGTGCTGCAATCGTAAGGGATCAGCATGGGTTTGTGTGCGCTAGTTGAAGTGTTAACAAATAATCCTTTTTTCAGAGCGGCTATAGAGAATAAATGCAGCGGCTCGATGGCGGCTTTGACTCTCCAGAGGGACTTACATCATTGTTTGGTGTGGAATCGTGGAAGTTGAAGAGGGGTGATGTTGGCCTACAGATGATAAATATTAGGCTCCGAGAAGATTTCCAGCTTTGAAACCTGCCAACTCCAATACGCTTAACGGGAAGCTTGAGTGAGTAACACTCCGTTTTATTCCTCCAATAAGGTTCCATTTGGAAAGGCAGTGAACTATTCCCCCGGTGTAGCTTCTCCGGGGACAACAGATGATTGGGCTTGTTCATGCCAGCTCACGCTTTTTGTATGTAGCTGTAACTAAATGTGATGCTAGGTGGGAATCGCTGACATTTTGTGTCTGCAGAGCGACACATCTTTTCTGGACCAAAGAAGAAGAGTGTTGTTTTTAGCTTGCGGGCCACGTGTGGTCTCCTGCGGGTTGTGATTGGCCCGTTAAGCCACTGGGTTTAATGAATTGTCCTTAAAAGCTGCAAGGGGAGATTAACCTGCGCCCACATAAACCATGGCTGCGTAAGCCCAAATAAATTGTGTTTGTTAGCGGTGGCTAAACTGAATATGCTTCCGTTTGCATCTCTGCCTCTCTGCTCCGTTCCCTTGTGGCCCTTGTGGGATCAGGTCTTACTTCCCAAATGAAACCGGATCTCTTGAATTCAATGTGCCCTCCAAGATCTCAGTCGGGATTGGTCGACGTGACCGTCCATCGCTGCGTCTCAGATCCAGATACCCAACCCCTCGCCCTCCCTCGGGTGCCAAGAGGAAACTAGACCCTGCCTCCTCCAGCCTCCCCTCGTTCGCCAGTGTTCAGCAGGGTCATCTCTGCAGCAGGACCGCATCCAGCAGCGCGCCAACTTGCAAACCTCCCAGGCCATTATGGGAGCCCCGGAGGACGAAGCGCCCCGTCCGCCCTCGGACATCACAGTGTTCGGGGCCAACTCTTCCCTCCACGGCCTCAGCCACATCTTCCTGCCCGGCGGGGTGACCATCCGGCGGCTGCTTTGGGCCGCCGCGTTCAGCTTCCTCCCTGTCCACTTCCTCTACCAAGTGGCCGACCGCGTGATCGAGTACTACCAGTACCCCCATTGTCACCATCCTTGAACAAATGGAAGCTCCCTCATGTTCTATCCCAGCCATCACCATGTGCAACTACAACAGCTACCGAAAGTCGCAGATCCGGAGGAACGACATGTTCTGGATGGCCGGGCTCCTGGGCGTGGAGCAAGGCGACTTCGATGACTTCATGGCCGCCTTGGGGCAGCCCACGGACAACAGCAAGTTTTTCCCCAGCAAGACCTTCAACATGCTGGAGTTTGTGCAGAGGACCAGCCACAACATCGATGAGATGCTGCTCGACTGCAAGTACCGCGGAAAGGACTGCGGCCCGGAGAACTTTACCACCGTAAGTACGGCTCGCTCGGCGGGTTCAGCCTCCGGGGCGTCAGAGCCACGACGGGATGTGAGAGGGGCGAGAAGTACAACCCTAGATATTCCAGAATATGGGACTATTTAGAAAATATAAAACTCTGTATAAAATGAAAGGAAAACAAAGTTGGAGAGATTTGAACAAATCACCGACAACTGCGACCCGTTGAATAGTCATTACAACGCAACGTTCTAAAGGCGGTGAAATGAGATATGAGTCAGATTGTGCTTATGAACACAGAAGGCTCATTTTATTTATAGAAATCGAGCTTTGACGTGACGAGACGCGTGAGACATCATTAGGGGAAGATACTTCCGTCATTCCTTAATTGTTTCTTTAGTAAAGACCCCAAAATCATTTTTTTTGAAAGATTAAGAAGCTCTAGAGGGAACAACAAGTATGTGGGATATAACAATAATAATAATCACAACGCCTCGTCGACAGATATTTCTAACAGAAATATTTACACTCTATCCGATTCTTCCTTTTCTACTATTATTAATAGCATATTTTTTCTTGAAGGAGAAATGAGAGTTACTTCCTCAGAAAGACGTAAAGCAGAAAGGTGCCATATGGCTCAACAACTCTCTGGTGACATCACGCGTCATGCATTATGGAGCCAACATATGGCCTTTTTCAAAAGCACCAGAGTTTATAAGAACACCACGTTGTCCAGTGCTTTGTCTCCACACACGTAACACAATGTCTGCAAAATATAATTGTGTCACTTATGCAACGGCAAAGTCGTTCTTTAAACTTTTGTGCATTAGTTTTTGTTGAATCCCATTTCTTTTTCTCCTAAATTTTCCGGCCTCAACCAAAGAGATAAAATCCCGTCAGCAGGAACCTAATCGTCCTGCTGCAGAGACGGGGGAGGGATTGTATTTCGATGAAATAGGCCATTGGTTGGAGCGATGGCAGCCGTGCACCAATTTGAGCTTGTCACGCTGCGCAATTTCATCCGAGAACCGGCATCAGTGAAAACGAGCCAAACGATTTATACTACTGACTTTAGTGACTTTAAAATGTTTATTACTGTTATTATGTCGGAGAGACAGAAGTTCGTGTTAAATCCACGTCTAACCTGACATCAACTCCAGAAGTGCGCAACAATAGTGAGACCAGGTCTGGGTTCCAAAATCCAAACCTAAAGGGAGGTGGTTGGTCAGGTGACCTTGGCTCTTTCACGTCCACGCGGGCAAAGGGCAGATTTCAGCTAAATGTCAGAAACTGGAAACGCTCCGAGGGCCTAAGTATAGAGGCGGCTAGTTAAATATTCATGGCGCTGCCTCCTCAGCCTGCTGATCTTACCGTGGGAGGCTCAGAGCAAGTCCTCTCACAGGAGATGACACGTGATGGAATTAAATACTTCAGGAGCATCAGCGCGAGATGACTCACGCCAGGTCTAGACAACGTCTGATAATTAGCGTTCTGCATGTGGGATCATGCAGAAGATGGAGTGTTCTGCATTTTGATATTCTGCTAAAAATCACCAGAAGGTTCCACGCGTTCTCCCCTTTTCCTGCCTGAATCACAGCGGATGATTCCTGCTGTTTGCTGATGTTTCCCGGTGTGAATGAGTAACTGTTTACGGGACAAAGTCACCACAGCTGGCCGGCAGTCGCAGGAAGCACCAGATGTTTCTGCTAATGAGGCGGATGTGGGTGCAGTAGCATTGAGACCAATTGGAGAGGTAATACCCCCAAGTGCAATTATTCCCTCTGCATAAAGTAATGAAGTATTTTTGTTGGGGGGGGGTTGCTGTAATTTGATGGAGGAGAACACGTCTTAGATGTTAAAAGGCTGGCAGATGGATGCTGGAAATGTTCCACTATGCTATAAATACAGACATTAACATTGAATTAAATAACTGTGGCAAGACGCTTTATTCTGATTTCTGTGCATCTACAGGACTTACTGTGTGCGTGTGAAACATTATACATCATTATATTAATGAAAACGTGTTCCGACTTCAACTGCAGCGGCAGGTCGAGGAACTTTCTCAGCAGAGGCCGATATTTCATTATCAAAATGGATGTGGTGCCTCCCTCTTGCTGCCGCGCACACATCTGTGAACCTCTGTGTGATCGATCGCCTCGTTAGCAGCCCGGAGCGTAAGCAGCCCCCGGCGCGGCCCGGCTCGCCGCCGTGGATTAAAACCGCGGGATCGGCTCCCGGTTGGCGCGACGCCGCTTCCATTCGATCATCCGGCTCCGAGGATCAGCCGACTCGAGCTCAATGCGAAGAGATGATTGGAACGCATTTGCTGTTTCGCCGATGGTCCAGTTCGGTGGGACGATCCCGTCGAGGCCGACGCCCCGTCCCCTGCAGTCCGGTCCGGAGGCCGGCGTCTGCTTCAGAGGTCAAAGAAAGAAAGTAGAGGAAGCAGAAGTCCGGATTGAGTGTTAAACCGGGAAATAGGCGGCGAGGGGAGATATGAGATAAGACAGAAGAGTAGCGGCTTTATAAAAGAGAGATGGATAAGAGGCTTTGGAGTTGAAGGAGGAAGCCGAGTGGAAACAAAAGACAAAGGAGAAGTCAGGCTGATGTCCTGGGACGCAGCTGGATGAAGGAGGGGAAGACGAAGGAGCACAGAATTACAGCGCTGCCTGCAGCAGGAAAACAAGGAAGGGAGGGGGGGTCAAATAAAGCTGCACAGTGAAATAAACAGTGCGTTTGTTCCATTACTCACAGCTGGCGCCGTAAGTGCCGTCCTGGCAGGCGCATCAATGGCGCTGAAGACGAGTGGTGAGGGTTTCATGGCGCGGATGCTTTTTTCCGCTGACTTGCACATGGGGAAGCGGAGGAGGACGTTGGAGATGCCGGTTGACAGAACCTCTTAGGTCCATTGCCTTGTTAGGTGGAGACATTGGACACAAGCGGGTCTCCGTCCAAAACCAACCTTTCCGTCATTCTGACTCATCAGCCAAACAAAAGCGTTTTACCGGATTCTCATAGAATCAGAGCTTTTAAAAGACACTCCCTCATGGTTTCCCGCCACAGACCTTTTGGATATTGGATCAGCCGCCGTGCCCACATTTAGCTTCCTGCTCGCTGAGACTACAGCCGGAGGTTCCCCTCGGCGCCACGAGCAAACCAGCGATGATGTGAGTCACGTCCAGGTGTTCAGAGAAGCCTTCAGATCATGTGATGATGTTTCTTTGAGAGGGAAGGAGGGAGGGGGGAGGGAAGGAGGGATGGGGGAGAGAAGGAGGGAAGGAGGGAAGGGGGAAGAGGGAGGGGGGTTATCTTTGCAGTACGGTGAGAATAAGAGTTTATCAAAGTGTGACTTCGGGGCTGCAGGACTAAAAGCTTGAGGTGACAGCCACCGTGTTGTGGTGTGTGTGTGTGTGTGTGTCTGCGTGTGTCCTCTTGGAGTGGAACCAGGGAAAGATGTTGGCAGTTGCACCCGGCAGCATCTGTCTCTCCGCAATACAGATGCTCTCTTTTGGGGGGGTGGGGGGGGGGTGATGTTTACTGTTAAAACGTTTCTATGAGCACTGAGATTCAGTGACTGTCCTCTAAAACAGCTTCTGGGCTTATTTATCTAATTCTTCTCAAAAAGGTACAGGTCGGTATGTTCTGCTTTTTGGTGTTTTTTAATGAGGTATTTCTGAGCCCCTCTTAGTGGCTTGCGTCACTCCGGCTGCACTCCGAGTGTCTGCGCTGTGTTTTAACGAGGTCGCCTCAGACCACAAGATGTCTCCCTCTGCTAAAGAAGCACAGCGGCGTCCCTGAACGCAGACGTCCCGTCCCGTGTCTTAAGTCACAGTCACACACACTTCTGATGGAGTCTGCTTTGCATTCCCAGCGTGTTGGTGACTGTTACTGATCAGTGTGACGGGCGGCTGTCAGTTGTTCTGATAAGCTGCCTATTAAAATACTTTCCACTCAAGGTTGAAACAACTCTGGTGCAACTTATGTGGAACATTTCTTTAATAGTATTAACAATCCTAATAATAATAGTATATTAATATTATTAGCTGTTATATACTATACTTTTACTATTATTTGAATCTATTATGTTTATATATCTATATGTGTGAATTGGTATTTTTCCCCCTGAATATATCATTTAACTGCATTATCAACATATTTGGCATATTTATTGATGATTGGTTGTTGGACTATTACCTATTATGTTTAATTAAGGTCCAAACTAACTAAATTGTCATTTAAATGCTTTGTTAATCCTCTTCCTCCGGTTAATAAACCGTGCGTCTATTAACGGGCCGACCAGCGGACGGAGGGACGTCGGAGGCGGCTTTTCTTCTCAGTTCTCTCCTGATGTGCGGCCAGGATCACGTCCTCGCTGGACCTCCAAGGAGCGTTCCGCTTCTCTCTGTGCTGCTCCTCTAACGAGCCCCCCCGGGGTTCGGTTCTGCCGGGCCGAGACCCCGAGGGCAGGACGGCCGTGTCGAGGATCAACCAGCTGCTCTTAAAGCCGCCCAATAAATTGACAAATCCCCAAAAGAGCTTCGTTCAAACCGTCTCGCACTTCGCCATCAAACGGACAGCGACTGCTCGGTGTCAATTTGGCCAATTGTACTGCAGCACGTTTCACTGAGCGAGATGAGGATGAAGTCCTCACGTGGTGAAGAAGATGACAACAGAAGCGTTGGAGCTGCAGAATGCGTTTTCACCAGGAGGAGACGGAGAATCAGCGAGGTTTTAATGAAATGAATGATTCTACAAATGAACACGGCTTCAAACGGATTCCCCACTAAAGTGTGATCAACAAGAAGCGCTTTAGACGCGTAGGCCGCTATCGTTCCATTTCCAACGATTTCACACTGATCAGTACCAACACGTCCCCATCTGCATAATGTCTCCACTTTGGGAATGCGAAGCAGTCTCCATCAACGTGATTACCAAACACGTCTGTCCCCGCTGGACGTCTGGAGCAGCAGTCGCTTGCTGAGAACTTTCCCGCGTCGCGTTGTCGCTCTTCAGCTTGTCTGCTGCCTCCAAGTGGCAGAAACAGACAAAGAAGAAGGAAACTCAGCACCTGGAAATTCAAATAAAAGAGATGACTTGCTTTTGTCTTTAATAGTAAACGTTAACGTAATCAGGGCATTTTGCTCGGGTTAATGTGTAATCTTATTATTTATTCTTGTTTTGCACTAATCCATCGAGTCCAATTCCTCTTTGTGTAACATGTGTGGCAATAAATGGATTCTGATTCTGAGCCCAGGAACAATAATAATAATAATGTAAATAATGATGACACGTAACATTACCACAGCCACTCATTGGCCAAAGAAGAGAAGCACGGCCTCGTGGATGCGGCAGGATGGTGCCTGAAGCTGTGCTGCCGCTGAGGCCGTGTGCAGCTGGGGGTAATAAAAAATATCAATTTGCCTCAAATCGCTGACGAGGGCCGAATTCTCTGACCGCTGTGCTCCTACGGAACAAAAGTAATCAACCCACCTGTTAAACGTGGCTCAAATCTATTGACGTTTCTCCACAGAAAGAGTGAAGGCAGCTGCTGGGAAGCGTGTGTGTGTGTGTGTGTGTGTGTGTGTGTGTGTGTGTGTGTGTGTGTGTGTGTGTGTGTGTGTGTTGTGGTTGGAGATACTGGAAGCATTATTATTTCTCTCCTCTTTTATTGCTGCGGTTTATGGTGCGACACAGAGGTAGTTATCCCTGTTGATGGCAAAATAAAAGCCTTTTGTCCCCTTTCACTGGATCTTTGATTACATTATTTAAAATAGAATTTCTGGGTGTTTGTCAGAATAAAAGGCGAGAAAAAAAACAATGCAGAGAATCTGTCTTGCGGGGAAGAAAAGGAAAGGAAGCGGCGGCGAGCAGACGTGACGTACGGCGGCTGTCAGGAAGCTGGAACCGGCCAATTAATTTACTCTGAAGGCTCCAAGGGAAAATAACCATCACCACAATACCGAAGCTGCTGCTAGGGACCCTTTTTATTATCCATAAGCAGACATTCACTCATATAATCACAAATGTTGACCACAGAGAAAAACGTCTCATTCAATTTTCCCAATAATTAAATTGGCTGGAGATAAATGGAATTGTTTTGAAATAATCTTTGTATTAAATGAGGCTTTGCATAGTAGTTAAATAACGAATGCAGAGCTAATTCAGTCAATGCCAAGCTAACGGCACGCTAGCTCTGCCTTCATATTAAGGAATCAGAGGGAAGTTGAACTTCTCTTTTCACGTTTGCTTAATTTTCATAACTATGTAGTTTAAGATGAAACACGACGTTAAAGTGGCGATCTCGAGGATTTCAAATAAATTGCAGAATGAGGAAACGCAGTGAAGATTGAGCCCACGATCCACTGAGGAAATATTGAAACCGTATATTTTATCATATGAAGAGTGTGGCGACCCTGCAGGGACAGAAAATGTGTACGATGTTCACGCTGCTGAAAGCTACTTCATCGTGTTTCAACTAGAAAAATACGACATTTAACTTTACTCAGAATGATGTCGTTTTCTGTCCACACAATCCTCTGTTGGTTTCGCATAAACGGAGCAAAGCATCTTTAATATCTTGCACTGCTTTTGGGAAATTACATCTGAAACTGGCAGAAAGGACAGAGATGTGATTATTTCCAGTGTTCTGCTCCGACTACCCGCCTCCCCTCAGTTATCTATGATACAGCTTATAGATCCACCAATATTAAACAATATCAAACATCATTTGTTTTTCACAGTTTCGTTGTCGTTTCTCCCTTCGTGGATTCCCTCTCTCCCCCCTCTCCCCCCCCTCGCTCTGTTCCATTGGAGGGTCTACTTCATCGCCGGAGGAAAACAATTCTTACCCACTGGCTCCACCTCATTCTCCATGTAGAGCGGCAACGGGCTCTATGTTCCCTTTCTGCAGGCTGCAAGTCAACGGCGTGAAAAAAAAAGCATCTCTTCGATCCGTGGAGGAAGAGGGAGGAGTTCCTGCACAAAGAGAAAAGAAACACGGGATTCGGCAAGTGTTGTCTGCCACTGGAGGGGGAGACGGGGGGAGTGAAAGATCAGAGCAACGGGGGAGAGCCTCTCGGCCGCTCGGTGGTCGCCTCTGGGGGCGAAGCCGTCGCTCACGTCTGCCATCATCACCTCCTTTTATCTACTGGTGAAGGACCGCGGACGGCTACGCTTGGCGTGTTTTTCTGTTAACGGAGGGATGGAATCCGTATGTAAATCATCTTAACCTCCCTCCAGAACCTCGGCTCCCGTTTCTCTTTCTTCTCTTCACGGCAGGAATCGTTTTCAGTCGCTGCCGCCTGGAATCTGTGTGTGTGTGTGTGAGTGTGTAAGAGGGGGATTTCTTGCCTGCCTTGACCCCGAGCAACCATGGTCAAAGCAGAAGATGCCCGAGAGGGCCGTCTCCGTGACGACGAGCCCAGCCCGCCGAAACCCACGCGGGGAGAGGTGGCGCTCAGTTTCATAACGAGGACCAAAGTTCACGGTTTGAAGTTCGTTTTCTCCCCGGACAAGTCCAAACCTCAGCGGGTCGTCTGGGTCACGGCCTTCTGCCTGTGCGTGGGTCTCCTGTGCACCTGGTCCTGGAACCGGATCTTCTACCTGATGTCCTACCCCGCCGTCACCAAGATCTACATGGTGTGGGCTCACAACATGTCCTTCCCCGCCGTCACTTTCTGCAACCAGAACGCGTTCCGCGTGTCCTCGCTCACCAAGGAGGACCTGTACCACATCGGCTACTGGATGGACCTCATGCACGCCAACCGCACCGCGATGGAGGGAAGCGTCTCCATCCTCAGGGACGGCCACAAGCAGGGGCTCCTGGGCCTGCTGGACTTGGACAGCCACGCGCCGCCCCCCGACCACGGCGCCAACACCACGGAGATGATGGGACGCCTCGGCCACCAGCTGGAGGAGATGCTGCTGGAGTGCAGGTTCCGAGGGGAAAGCTGCACCCACAGAAACTTCAGCACCGTATGTACGGAGAGAAGGGCGGTGTGTTGTGTACGAGGAGCAGCGCCGTCCTCTCCGCAAACTAGAAAGCCTGTCGCCTCCTGCGCTCAACGAGTCGCCGTCAAACGCAGCGTCGCCTTCACGTCGTGGAGGAAACTAAATGTTCAGATTTTTCCGCGCCGTGACAGCAGCATTAAGGAAGAGAGATTAAAGCCTGAATAATTCAAACACCGTAAATCAGTTCAAATTAGAACGGTAGCTTTCCTAATGAAACATCTGGCGGGCGGCATGTACAGCCCCCCTCCGGTCACTGAGGAGCAAGATTGTTTCACTCAAATCCTTTCATTTCTTCTAAAGTCTCAATGCAGAAGCTGCATGTGGGGGGGGGCTCGTTTATTTCTGCCTGGCACCCACTGACCTCTGACCGGGACCCCTGTAGGTCTGAGTCACTGTGTCGCCTGGTCTGGAGTGTCAGGCGTCCACGGGGGTCCTTCAAACATCGCTCACATGAGGCTGAATGAAGCTCCCGTTTTTACCTGGATGGGACACGTCCCTCGTCCCTCGGGCACAGCGGGGGGGGGGGCGCGGGAGGACCGTGGACACGGGACGCCGCCTCCGATCTGCTGAGGGCGGCTCGGGTTTGTTGCTCCACCTGCCGCCCGTTAGCTGCTCGACAATGTGAAGGTGCAGTTAGACGGACGTGCTGCTACAGCTTGTGTTTCATCGTTGGGCCAGCTGAGCACATCTGGACGACCACGATGTCCAAATGAATGAGGAATGGCTCCACGGAGCAGTTCATGGTACCCGTCCCGCAGGAAGGAGCTGAAAGGAGCCGCCTGGGCTCATTACGCCGGGAGGAGTTCAGACGTGAACGAGCTCCACCGGCACCGTTTTTAAGTCAAGAGACACAAATATCTTTTACAAACCCAATTCACGGGCAGTTTGTGTGTCCAGAGAGTTTCCACCTCACGCGTTTCTTGTCTAACGACTGCAAACTGGTAGAATCCGTCCATCGTACTCGGGGGGGAAATCTGCAGTGAAACTGGGAGACAGATTCTTATCAATAATTCCTCAAATCAGCGGCCGGTGCCCGTTTACTGCTTTCTGAGATCATCGATCAGCTGTCCTGCCAAATTACAGTGACACATCTGGCATTTACGACTGTGACTTCTTCATTAACGCGTCGCCTCTTTTCCCCTTCACAGATTTACACGCGCTACGGAAAATGCTACACGTTCAACTCCGGCCTGGACGGAAACCCCTTGCTGACCACGCTGAAAGGCGGCACGGGCAACGGGCTGGAGATCATGCTGGACATCCAGCAGGACGAGTACCTGCCGGTGTGGGGAGAGACAGGTCAGTGCGTCTCAGCCGCTCCCTCCGTCCCGTCCTCCGGCTGCTCCTTTCGTCTCCCGCTCCACTTTACTGTTTATTACCTACAGAACGTCCACAAACACAGCGTGATATCTCCGTCTGTGCAGGTGTGTGACTGACTGTGACCGACTGTAACGCACAAAGCACGCGGCGTGTAATTCGTCTTCAGTGAATCTGTTTGCGTCCGATATCAGCGTCCGGCGCGGGCCTCGGCGGCGCCTCCGGCCCCGGGCTCAGATGGGGTTTCCCGCGGGCGCCCTTGTTGTTACATGTTGTGGCGTGCTGTGTCCCACAGATGAGACGTCCTACGAAGCAGGCATCAAGGTTCAGATCCACAGCCAGGACGAGCCGCCCTTCATTGACCAGCTGGGGTTCGGTGTGGCTCCTGGTTTTCAAACTTTTGTGTCATGTCAACAACAACTGGTACCTAATGTTCGGCCTCCGCCCCCCCCCCCGCCGCCCGCCACCCTCCACCATTTTCTTTTTCTTTGCTTATTTCTGTGTCTGTCCCTGCCACCTCTGCGGGACAGAGACCGGAGGACAATCCGATCTTTAGTCCTGCGCGGGGAGCCGGCGCTCCTCGCTACATGAAACGGGGATTAAAGATGCCAACGAATACTGACGGAGCAGCACGGAGAGGCGTTCAAGCACCATCAGACTTCACAAAAACATGTGGCAGCTCAACATGATCTTTCACTATTGAGTCCTGAGTGCTTTCGGCTTCATTTCGATATTGTAAAAACAACAACTCAGCCAAAATACGCCCAATTTAAGGTGGTTTGGTAAAGATCCTCTAAGGAAATGGTCTCGCTAAAGCCCGTGTTGATGGGAAAGGTCTTAACTCTGAGTTCCCTTCCAAGCGTAATGAAACTGTGCAGCAGTCGCGTGTCGTTGCCACGACAACACATTCAAATTGGGCTCTTTTCACTCAGACGGCCTTTTGAAAAGGAAAATGTCCTCAGACAATCACGAAAAGTCACAAGAAAATGGCGTCCGAGCCACAAAGGGTTTTAGGGCTTTGAGGGAACATTTCTGTATCGGCTCATTAACACTTACTCAGTCCTTGTGAAGTCCTGATGTAATTGATACTCCAGCACTCAATCATTCATTACTTGGCAAATTAATCAGGCCTAAATGAAATGAGTTTGCTCGTCAATTTAATGGTCTGGGTCAGTTTCACGAGCTTGACTTGAAGTCTTGAGCAGTGTGAGCAGAATATCGCGGGGTGACGGAGGCGGAGTTTGCTCTCCTGAAACAGGCACCACAGAGACGACAAATTCTACACCCGGGAAGCACTTTGCAAGCGCGTCTTATTCCTTTTTCTCTTCCTCCTGTCGAGCGTTGTAAAATCCTGCCAGCGTATAATCATTCAGAGACGTGAACGCGTAATCAATCCCGCGTATTAATCAAATAAATCCTAACCGCCCACGTCGGTCACAGCGGAGCGGCGCGTTTACGCTTTGGAGGACGAGCTAAATGAGTTGGGCCGTCATTAGAGGAGCATCCGTGAAACGAGAAACAACCGGGTGAAAGGTCCTGGAAGCCGCGACGTGACGGACAGGAAGACGCCACCAGACCTTCTAGAGGAGAATTAAGAAATGGGAGGAGCCGAGTGGATCAGCTGGTCCACCCTGCTCCCCAGTGCTCTGGTAACCATGTGGGCTGTGTTCCCTCGCCCCAGATGAGACGTCCTATGAGGCCGGCATAAAGGTGCAGCTTCACGCTCAGTCAGAGCCCCCGTTCCTCCACCAGCTGGGCTTCGCCGTCGCCCCCGGCTTCCAAACGTTCGTCTGCAGCCAGGAGCAGAGGGTAGCGTATGGCCGCTCGCTGCACGCCGCAGTCACTGTACCGTTCGCCCCCTACACGCCCATCAGTGAGGTCCTCACGTTCATCCCCCCCCCTCCTCCCTCCATGTCGCCATGGTCCTTTCTGTTCGATAGAAAGTCGGCGAGGAGCATCTCGTGGGTCCGTATCTTCATAACGCTTCACCCTCTCCCTAGCGTGTGCATTCTTTTGTTTTTATCATTCGGGTTTTATTACGCCATCGTTTTCATCCCATCCGGTGGTTCAATAAGCGCTAAACGAGGTTTGTTTCCGCCGCGTCTCTGTTGCTCTGTATTGAGTTAACTGACCATTAGATGGTCAGCGTGAGCCTTGTAGAGTTACAGTTCGCCTCAATGTGACAAAGGCAGCATTGATGGATGCCATAGGAGCCTTCGCCATCGATTGTTGGCTCGCAATCAGCAGCTACGCGGTCCGATGCCCGAGCGAGCAACGGCCTTCCTGGTTGGTTTTTAGTCGTTAACATGAGCAGCAGGCGCGTTGCTATAAACCGCTGTAAACAGGACCCTTAGAACAGAGCATCGCAGAAAAGCAGCTCCTTTAGCGTGTTGGCGAGATGTTGCACGCGGGTCATAAGACCAGCGTCACGGGTCAAATGTTCACTGTGAACCGAAACCTTTCAAAAAAAAAAGCATCAAACTTCCCGGATCAGTGGATTCAGTAATGACCTCCTCCTCTTTAATGAGAGTTTTACCTCTAATGAGAATTAAGAATGACTCTGTTTAATTCACAGGCCAGAGACTGGAACGTATGTGTAGTTAATCAGCCATAAAACCCAGAGAGAGTATATTCATTGGGAATCCATCAAACATTTAGGTTAGAATAGGACGCAATAGGCCCGTTGAATTGGCTTCATTTATTAGTTTGTGTTCCCAGGGTGGTAACATTTGTCATTACTCGTGGTGTCCTGTCTGAATCTACACGCTTTACAGGTCTCTATTAAGCGCGTCTCTGTTCCCGTGGTCTTCTGCTTCCCGCCGGGGACTGGACCTGCACCGCTGCTGTTCTGCATGACGTCTGCTTGCTGCCGTACATCAGCAGTTGTGTCCGACGGGACCTTTTGTGCCGACATTGTCTCAGTGCACATTTTCATTTTTTATTCTGTTGTTTTGTCCCCCCCCCCCCACCCCCTCGCTGTACTGGGGTTTCATCACGTCACCCGCCGGGATCCCTGCGCGCTGAGCTTCTGCCGTTTGCTCTTTCAGCTTCATAACTAGCCGCCGCCGTGGGGGGGACTGTAAAGTCCACGCCCATAGACTCGGAGTAACTCTTCACGTAAAGATCACCGCCTGCCGCATCGACTGTGAGACGCGCTACCTGCTGGAGAACTGCAACTGCAGAATGGTCCACATGCCCGGTATGACGCACACAATGAGGGAAACGCTGCAGATGAGGTGTGGCCTGTGTAACCCCCCTCCCCCCACCCCCCCCGCTGTTATTTCAAACAGGGACCTCGACCGTTTGCACACCTGAGCAGTACAAAGACTGTGCAGACCCGGCTTTAGGTGAGTCCCCCCCGTTCTTCTGTTGTGTGCGCTGATATTTTTAGATAAGTTTGCAGTTTGCTTCCTCTTGCCAGTGATCTGAATGTTTTCACCCGCAGACTTTTTGGTAGAGAAAGACAACGACTACTGCGTCTGTCAGACCCCCTGCAACATGACTCGCTACGGCAAGGAGCTGTCCATGGTGAAGATCCCCAGCAAGGCGTCCGCTAAATATCTGGCTAAGAAATTCAACAAAACGGAGCAGTACATCGGGTGAGTGCTGTCTTTGCTCTGCTGGCGGGTGGAGGCGCGGCGGAGGCGCGGCGGAGGCGCCGTGGAGGCGCAGCAGCAATGAAAGGTACGTCAGACCGGACATCCGGTGCGGCGTAAGATCGACGGGAGTAAACTGTTTTCTTTTTCTCTGCTGGCGTCGCTCTTCTCTCCAGAGAAAACATACTGGTCATGGACATCTTCTTTGAAGCTCTGAATTATGAGAAGATCGAGCAGAAGAAGGCCTATGAAATTGCAGGGCTCCTCGGTAAGAATCTCTCATTTTAACTGCCCCCCCCCGCAACTGCCCCCTTGCACATTTCCCATTGTGCGCTCACGCCTGGTGCTTTGAGGCTTTCCTCTTTGAAGGAACTGGCGGAGCACATTTTCATAATCTGATGCTCTTGTCGGGGGGGTTCTGATGAGACGTCGGGGCTGGACGGACGTCGCTCCGATCGCTCACACTGATACCAGATGAGAAGTGACAGGTCTGCTGTCACGCTCCATTGTTCCTTCGCTGTACCTGCTCATATCTGCCCGTCGCTCTTCTTCCAGGGGACATCGGAGGTCAGATGGGGCTGTTTATTGGAGCCAGTGTCTTAACAATCCTGGAGATATTTGACTACCTATATGAGGTAAAGTGTAACGCAGTTAGTCAAAGCACTGTGTGTTTGATCTTAAACGCGCGGTTTGATGTTCGTGTGTCTGATGTGTTCTCGTCCAGGTGTTTAAGGATAAAGTATTGGGATACTTCATACGGAAGAAGAGACCACAGCGCTGTCAGAGCGACAATCTGGTAATTTCCGCCTCTCTGAGTGGATTTGATCGACTAAAATGAATGTGAAGTGTTAAATGAGCCTCAGGAGCAACAACACAATGTCTGCTAACACGTGAAATGCTTTTAATGAACAGCACCAGAGAGAAAACAAAACCATTACTTTACTTCTCCCATAATGTGCCAGAGAGCAGCCATTAATAATACATGTTGCTGTGTGAATCAGTTCATCTAATAATATGCACACATGGTACTTTGGTTATATGGTGAATAGAAGCTAATTAAGCCCCTGATGACAAACAATCAGCTTCTTCCTTCTACAAATGTCTCAACCACGATCAAACAAAACACATTTTTGGCCATAATGCGAATCTCTTAACAGGACGCGGTGATAAAGGGCGTTTTGGTTCCCCGAGGCCGTTAACCGTGAGCTAATATTGTTAGCTGGTGCTTTTTAAAGGTGTTGCTACTTGAGTTCCCTTAAACCACAGAGCATGGAAAGTAGAAGTTCATCAAAAGTAGTAATTCCACTTGTCTCCATGACTCATGAACTGCTCTCGCAGATGGAGGTTATGGCCCTCGGCGCAGTGCAAACATCAAGCCCTCGGTGGTGTAATTACAGTCACTGGGAGAAGCTGTTATTGCACTCTGGCTTCGCCGCTTTACGGCCGACGGAATGACGGCGGCAAATTCATAATGTGGTCGAGTAGAAAATGAGATGTGGAGATTTTATGAACTTTGCACGATCAAAGCAATAAAGCCTCCATTTTAACTTGAAAATGAATAATACAGAGAACTGTCGTCTCTGACCTTTCGCTGTATCTCCTTGTAGAACATTTCTCTCTGTCCTGGTGCTGTTTTAATCAAAAGCCTTTAAGCACATTTCCCCCTTTTCCCCCCGTTTGCATGCATTGACGTGGAGACACCCGCTGTAATTACTTGTTGTGTGTCACACGAGCCCAAAGACCTTTTCATCACCAGCAGGGCGGCGCCGCTGTGTGTGCATGTGCTTCGTGTCGCCTCGGGGGACCACAGGGCGGTTGTCACATGCACTTAGAGGGCCGGTATTCACAATAGTGGAGAAAAGAGCCGGTGGGGTATTTACTGTGTTCTGCCCCGCTCATGTCACGTGTTCACCTGCTTACGAGAAACCATCTTTTTTTTTTTAATGCTTTCTTTCTCTCACATTCAATAACCGTTGTTTTTCCGGCTAGTCCATTGTCACTTCTTCTCTCCAACGGCCCAAACACCGGTACAATAAAGCATTTAGACTCTGTTCTTGTCCGACGACATCACCTGTTGTTTTCTCCGCTCACGAAAAAGAGCCGAGCGTCCGTCTTCCTTCGCTACCACAAGAGGAAAACCAGTATTCCCCGGCACGGCGACCTGTTAGCGTGTGCATTGTGCTTTTATTTTCATTTCAGTCACCCTCACCCATCTTTCTTTTCATCATGTCTATTCCAGGAGTTTCCAGAGAACCAAACCAGCCCTGGTGTCACGCCTAATCATGCCCCCAGGTAGCGCACCCCATTGATAATAGATGCTCCCTCCATGCTGTCCCTCTCTCTCACGCATACTTGAGACCATGTCATACATAAACCCCTCGGGGGCTACAAAGGGCTAAAAGGAGGGGCAACAGTCAGCTGTCGCCGTGTTTCCGTGTTTTATGGGCCCAGTTGGATTAGTGCGTAATAATCACAATACTCGCCCCTCCCTCTGGATAACGATGCTTTCCTCCCCAGTAGGATAAAGCGCGGCGCTTTTACCGAATTGTTGATCCGAGCGAGATCTGTTCGTTCCCCCGCAGCGCAGAGGTCCATTTAGAGGCTGGCGCCAGATAACATCACTAGATGCATTACTTTGTGATGTTATCGCAGGTCTGCATGCCGCCCGTTTGCTCAAAACATAAATGCCTCTTTGTCTGCCGGAGCAGAAGACCGCTGGCCGTGTTTGCTGGTTGTTTACTCGGCGAGCAGGGAGACGCTTCAACAACTTGCGTAACTATTAGAATTTGAAATGCTAGTTAATACAGCACTAAAAATATGCTGTTCTCTTTCTCTCCTCCCTCCCTTCATCCATCTTTCCCCACCGTGCCCCCGTTTTATTTCTCTCCCTACTGGCCGTGAAACATGGGCCATGTGGCCGATCTTCCAAATCGGTTGCATTCATTACCTCGTCATTTGTCCACACGCGTGTTTCTGTGTTTCTGACGCCGCACACATTGTTTTTTCATTGATTCTCATTTCCTCCATCGTCTCGGTCGTTCTCATTTTACCTGTGGCTCATTTATGCCCCACATCATCATCATCATCATCACCATCATCATCACCACCGCCATGACTCTCTTCATGCCCCGCCCCCCTTAACCCGGTTGAACCCGTCTCCCCTCCTTCCCTCCCTCTGTCCTGCAGAGCACCTGTGACACCCTCCGGAGTCACTCGGACAGCCTCGGATTCACGCCGAACATGTTACCTCGTCACCCGACTTTAGGCAACTTCGAGGAGTTCGCTTGTTGACAACATAAGGATGTGGGGGGGGGGGGGGGGGGGCCCCGGGGACTTGACAGCAAACTGTGAAATAATTCAATGTATTTAACGTTGCGTGAATAACTAAAAAAAAAAAAAAAACGTATGGTAGAGTTTAACGACGCCTGAATAGAAATAGAGAACTATCATCAGAAATCAAGGAGGCGACTTCCAGGACAGAACTCAGGTTTAACCGCCGCGTCACCGCGTCGCTGCTCATTTCTCCTCCATTCTGTCTCTCACGCAGACACTTTAGGGTCATGTGACACAGAGAGAAACGAGCACCGACAGGGAGGCTTGGTGAGCGGTGGCGAGTCGTGTGCTACATCGACCCTTGAACCCAACAGGGAATGAGACGCGCGCCGCCGCCGCTCGCCGCCGCCGCTCGCCGCCGCCGCTCGCCGCTTTGAGCAGGAGATTCTTTTTAGACTCCAGTGACGCTTGATCAAGTGTGTAAATAAATGCAGGCGTCTGCTTGTGTTCCACCATCTAGACCTCGGAATCGAATGTGTTCTTTTTGTTGTACAGTACAAAGAGCCAGGAGGCCCAAACAGGCTGTTGATTGTATCTTTATGACCTTAAACGGAGAGTTTTGCGGTGCGAGCGCGCAGTTTTCTGCAGGAATTATTTACATTGAGTTCATTAGAAGAGAAACACAATCAGGTTGTTCTTTTTTGCCTTTGTAATCATCCTCAGCTACGTGGTTCTCATGACTGTGTCTTAAAGTGTTCATCTATTCTCTATTGACCGGAAGGAGACTCAACGGATTGTTCGCGTTCCAAAACTTGACCGAATTTTGTAAATACCCGAAATCAAAGGCCATGAAGAAATTCTATACCGCTCATGTGAGACGTATATGTCGATACATCTCTATATAGGTGTATATATCTATACATAGAGAGAGATACAACACCAGAAGGGACCTGGACTTTCTCTCCGGGGGGCCGTAAGTGTCTTTGAGGTTCTGGTGATTATAACGTAACGAAGTAGACTTTATTAAATACAAGAGAATTGCCTCAAAACATGAAAACCACCTCGCCCCATTCAGTTGGATTGATTTATATCATGCATTGTATCCTTTTTTATTATTAGTATTATTAATATTATCCCAGAACATGTAATAAGTCACAAATAACAGTTTGTGATGTATAAATGATCAAGTATAATAAACTCTATATTTACCCATCTTACTCACGTACACAGCTTCTGTTACCCTGTGTGAGTCTTACTTCCTCTGTCGTTCACTCCTGTATTTAAATAGAAGGACTTGTTGGTACACTCACATATCCGCACTATAAATACTTAAACGGAAATTCAGAGTAGTCTTTTCTCTTTTATGAATGTGAAACTTAAAGCAGTGAAATGCCGACGTAGTGGTGTTCATAACACAGTAGCTTTATTACTCTGTTGTCTGTGTATTGATGACTGTTGACGTGAAGCACAAAACCCCCGGAGTTCGGCCAATGACTGGACGTCTACGGTCGACACCTTTTAGCTTTAACTGCGCAGGCCGCTGTTGGTGGTGCGTTCGAGTTCTCCACGAGGAGCCCGAGACTTTATCCACATGGAAATTTGACTTTTCAGGAAACAAAAAAAAAAGGGTGTATCAGTGTGTCATGAGCAATAAATGCACTAAATCAGATACAAGGCGTATCGAATTTACATTTTAAAAAATCAATATTTGGGATTTCGACATTCGATTCGTGATGTATTCAACAGCTGGATGGGACGTAGACCGAACAGCTGCAGCACAAGTGTGTGATATGACAATTGTATATTAACCATCGTCAGCCAAATACAGACACACAAATGACAATTCATGTTACACAACGATGCTGATGTGTTGACGCTGCGTTGCCATGACGATGTCATCAGCATAAAAATGACCCGTCATTTACCGCAAACTGTGGAAGTACGATTTGTAAAAAAAACGCTTTTCTAGTCTTCCGACCACTGGAAGCGCCCCGACGCCACATGTCGTCATCCACCCGCTGAGGACGGCGTCTTAGCCGAGGACGCATTGACACGCGGGTTTGCGGCGCCACAAGCGCCCCCATTTGATCTATTATGAGCCACTGTCCTCCTTGCATGACCCGTATGTATTCCTATTGTCGCTGGTCTCTGATGTGATCACCGCCATAATATTCACTTTGTATGGTCCACATGTGTTTATGGAGCCAGATGAATCAGACTGACGTTCTCCTCAGAGCAGCTTCGGGATTGTGCAAAACTAAAAACAACCCGTCTTTCTTTGTACGGATTAAATGAACATGATAAAAGTTCAAGTGAAATGTGCTTTCGTGACCAACATCGAGGTTTTCGGGGGAACTGAACTTGCTTCATCTGGCTCTACGTGCATTTTACTGTAGATGTGTGTTTTTAACTCTGAACTGTACATTAAATAGTTAATACACACTTAACTATGCGTAACGTAGTCAGTCTCAAGTTGGATCTTATTATTATTATTATTACAGGTCATTTAGCAGCGACTTACATTACACTTTAAATGGCTTTTTCACTTCTTTTTTTGCCCGGGGAGCAATTAGGGGTCAGGTGTGTTGCTCAGGGACACTTCGACATGGAACATGGGGGCAGCCTGGACTCGAACCACCAACCTCGTGCTTCCCAGCACACCTTCGCTAACCCCCTGCGCCACGACGAACCGTTTCATGATTTTTGCAGAGAGGCGACGTGAAAACAGTGAACCGTCTTCACGCCGGTCGCGTGACCTCGAGTGTAAAAACAACAAAGCGACTTGTTGACCTGTTTGTTTTCAGTCACGCAGCAACGCCTCTTTTTATTACGCAAACGTATCATGATTGATATATTACAGCAAAACATTCACATCTGTTCAATTTGCTTTAACCAAAGACCTTATTTCAGGCGTCCAACCAAACAACAAAAACGCCGGCGAGTCGACGTCACCAGAAGAGCAGAATTTGGACTCATTTTAGGCTTTTGGGGGTCGTTCCTTCAGCCTGACGGGAGGGGGACGGGAGGAGAAGAGCCGCTGCAGCTCACACTTCACGCACCAAAAAGGTCAAGAATGAACCGGCAATATCAAAAGCAGAAACGTCTTTATGTCCTCTCTGCTCATCGTACTGGCTGACATGGACACCAAAAAGACCAAACAAAGTGCAAAAATCCATCGTTCATTGAAAACCAAGCAGTGTGTCTGAAATGTGCCGTCATCAGGAGGAAATGCCTTGTTTTCATCAGTGTAACTTGATCCACACACACACACAACCGTTAGACATTTAAGTCCTAAAAGATGCTTCTTCTTTTTGATCCGAGTCACATTAAATCATTGAGAAGGAGTTTCTGTACCGAATGAAGCCGCGGTGCCTTTGAACGAATGCGACACAAATGGGCAGATTAATAAATACATGCATCCGTTACCCCGGTTACATCCTCAGCAAAACGAACATAAATCCTTTCCCTGTTCGTCAAACACAACTCGTCACGCCGGCTGTCAAATAACACCGAGAGCTCTTAACAACGTCAGTAAAATAAGTTACCGGGATGGAAACAGCCGATGGTGCAAAACAATTGTATGAAAATACAGATTCTCCGTCGATTCTCTGGATTCTTCTATTTTAACAATTACAAAAGCATTTTAATAAAGCTAAAAGATTAATTATGATACAGATGATGTTAAAAAAACAAAGTCATGTGTCACTAATGGACACACACATATCTAGATGTGTGTGTGTGTGTGTGTTGATAACCGGCTATAATCCATCCGTCAGTGTTCACCACATTTAATACTCATATACTAAACATTAAAATAAAAGTAACAAAGTGCACAAAAGACAAATACAAAAGGGAAAATTAAAAAGCCTGAGAAAAAATAATATCATAAATTAGCTTCTCGTGCTATTTTACAATCGTGTGAAAGGAAATGGGACAAAGAGTGTTACTGTTGGTGAGAACGACGTCGATTGTAAGTAAAAACTAAATGTAACCGTGTAATTTACAGGTCTGTAATTGCGTAATAATCTCCTGGAAATAAGTATGTGGTTTGGTGCTGATTACTGCTCCGCTGCTACACTTGCTACCAATTAGTCATTTTAATGGTTTTTAGTCCGTTCAAAGCAGACGAAGTGAACATGTTAAGCGTCACAGTTCGTATGAATGGGGAATAGTTTCCAATAGGAATACTTTGTCAATATTAATAGAAATTGATAATGAAGTAATTCTGTCAAGGAAAGAAGTTAGTACCAAATCACATACAGTAGTTTGGAAATCACAGACTTGTATAATAAAGTCATACAAAAAAATACAAATCCTAAAAATGTCAAATTGATTCAAAACCTTTGAAATGAATGAAATGATGAATACCCTTACTTGGGATTCCAAAACTTACACATGAATTAATTTAATTTAACTTTGAAATAGTGATGTTAACATTCGCTGCCCCCAGAAATCGGTGGTCTCTCGTCGCCCAAAAGATGCAGCAGAAGCCACATGTGTTTTCTGTAAGGGACAGACTGCTACACTGATGCGTCTCAGATCACTGAGAAACAGCGTCACCATTATTCTGTCCACCCAGGCAGTTCTCTAATAACTAGATTTATATGATCCTCATCAAAATAAATACATCATTTGTGTTTTATGGCCAATATAGTTCATCATTACGTTTTATGAACTATTAACGGGAGCATTTAATGGGGCGTCTTGTTCCACGAGTCTAAAATGGAATCAATGCAACACACAGTGCTAATTACCTCAGACGTGCCAGTGTAGCAAATGCAAAAAGGCTTTTAAAGAGCTAAACCTCACGGCGCCAACAGGACTTTCCACCCAGAGGCACAGCAGAATGAAGGGGGGGGGTGTTTGTGAGCGATCCTCGTGGAGTTCAGACTGAAGGACCACTGATTCTGGGGGCGGCGTTCAGGCGAGTAACCGTTTAGCGATTAGGGGGGGCAGAAATCGGCAAAGTACGGGTGCTGCAAGGCCTCTTCTGCAGAGATCCTCTGGACAGGGTTACATTTTAACAGGTTCTGGCGAGAGCAAAAGGAAACACGTGTCAACAGAATAAAGGAATATCTGCAGATCACCGACAACCGGTCCTCAACTCAACTGCACAATTTTTATTTCTAATTGATATTTGAAGAAACGCAGACGGGTTTAAGGGGACGTACCTGCAGTAGATCCCGTCCTGTGCTACTTAGTTTGGGAACCACGTTCACCAGCGAGGTGGTGGCAGGATACATGGGATACGGCTGCAGGCAGGAAGAGAAGCCGTAAACAACAGTTGAGTGACCCGCGCGTGCCCCCGCCGCCAGGAGGACGAATCGCATTCAGAAGTTACCTTGTAATCGGGCAGCTTCGTCATCGTCTGCCACTGCTCCTCGGTCGGAGTACCCAACAACGTACCGGCTGGTTAAAGAAGGAAGCGCTTTGCTCAGACCTGCCGTGTGTAAATGATTCGTCGCGCGGTAGATCAAACGTTCTGCCGCCGAGCGAACCGCCGATACCTACGAGCGTTCAGGACAAAGGATATCTGAAGATCCTCTTCAGCTGGTCGTCCACGTCGTTCCCGGGGAATAAAGGTCTCCCCGCATTGGCCAGCTCTGAACGGGACACGGAAATCCAACTAAGTCACATTTATTATTGTAGTCACGGTTTGGTCATAAAACCGCCTAAATATAAAATCACTTTCCATGTATTTAATTGAAACATGACCAAAAAACCCACGATGTATATAAAATATAGCTCTAAATGTCCATCTTTTAAATTAAACATTACAGCTGCTGTAGAATATCAACAACTACGATACAAACCAGCAAATATGCATCCAGCAGACCACATGTCAATAGAGGTTGAATAAAGCTTTGCCCCAAACAGCACATCCGGAGGCCGGTACCACAAAGTCACCACCTGGATCACAGACAGGAGCACGAGTCACACCGACGGTCACGGATTCAACGGCATTTTGTTCCAACACGGATTTCAGGAAAAAAGAAAGAAGAAGATTAGGCGACACTGTGACTCAAACTAAACGGTGTACTTGTATCAGCGCCGTGGTTTCCACAACCCACAGCGGGTGTCCAGTGTTTTTCTACGCTATATGAAAACGTGTTCGGTGAAGTGAAAAGATTGCGTGGGCTGACGAGCAGATGATGATGAGGCGACTGCCTTCAGTCGTTGGTCATTCGTTATGAGCTTTAAGCTGCCACGTCAAATTAAAAATGTCACAAATTGGGTTTTCAGCATTTTTTTTAATTTAAATGTAAAGAAAAATACATGAATAGAGAAGATGGTTTTTCAGGGGAATACTTATATTTCCTTAAACCGCAGCAAAAACCCTGCTACCGCTTCACTTGCCCGAGAAAGAGTTTTAATAAAGATCTATTTGACTTTACGGGGCAATAACGCTGCTGGATTGAATAAAATACGGCCATTTTAACGGCTTCAGTCACTGTATTTAGTCCCTGCTGAGAGCAGCACATTACGTTTATCCACGTAGCTGCGGGATCGTTCATCTCTTCAGTCTCAGCGTGATGCGCTGGAACGAAATGACCTTTGTCAATGACCTTACTTCAAACTACGTCCCCCTCTAGCTTTTTTCTGTTTATTACATTTTCAGATGGGTAGTAGCCCCACCGAGCTCCGACGGCTTCAGCAACAACACTAAATAGAAAATAAAACCCCACTTTAACTGCTGCAGTGTGTCGGACTCCTTCTCATCACTAACGAATGGACCCCGGTGCCTGTGGGCTGTTTACACACAGCTCATTCTGCGTAGAAGAGGTCACATCTCTAGATGTTCGCTGGTTGGATGCGTCACATTTTGACACTAACTTTTACAGTGTGAGGTCATTTTTTTTCCAGCACTTAGTCAGTCTCGAACCTGGTTCCTCTTTAGATATTGAGAATCGGAAAAAAAAAAAACAATTAATGACGACGTGAGACCTACCTCTGCAGAGTAACACCTGACGGGAATGCCGAAGGCGCGAGCCAACCCAAAGTCAGCCAGCTTCAGCTCTCCATTCTGTGCAGAGACACAAATGGCCGATTATACGAACGCAGACCAACACATCGGATTTGGTCGTGCATTTGACGCACACCGTTACCAAAGTTTGTGTTCCTCCGTTGGGTCAAAAATCACACTCACTCTGTTGATGAGCAGATTCTGTGGCTTCAGATCTCGATGAAGAACGTTTCGACTGTGACAGAAAGCGAGGCCTTTCAGCAGCTGGTACATGAAGGACTGCAGCAGACGGAGACAAACAAACAAGATGTGACAACCAGAGGGTCACCATCTACCAATCAAGCTGTTAAATATAGGATGCATTTGCATTTGGTTAAATCTCTCACCTTCACAGTTTCAGGATCCAGATCCCCATTGCAGCTGTCAAAATACTTCTTTAAATCCTGCAGGTGACAAGAGACACGCATTGGTCATGTGAAGTCCACATGCACCACATACTGCATGTTGGGGACGAGCATCTCACCTGATCACAATATTCAAACACCAGGGTGAGCTTCTTGTCGCTGTGCAGGACATCGTGTAGTCTGGAGGAGACAGAGCAGCTTTAAGTGTTGACGTCCGGGCTGAATCCGAACTTTAATCCGTCACAACAACTTGCGTTCGGCGGACTGACCTGACAATGTTTTTATGCTTCAGTTCCTTCAGAAGGCAGATTTCTCTCAGAGCAGAACTTGGCACCCCCTGGAGAAATGACACCCGGCGGGGGTTAGCACTAGTCTGCTAACAACAGCTAGCATACGATTCAATGAATATTAGCGAACATTATAAATGTGCATAACGTTACCTCGTCGTCGTCGTCCAACCGGACCCTTTTCAGAGCCACGATTTCGTGGGTTTCTCTGTTTTTAGCCTTGAAAACGGTCCCATAGGTGCCTGCGGAGCAGATCACGTCAAAACAAATCAGCGGATGTATCGATGAATGGCATAGCAACGCCAAGCGCTGCTAATGCTAACTAGCCACCTAGCTAGCACATCTAGTGAATATCGCAGAAGGTGGCGGGCGAGAATCATATGACAGAGCTCGTCTCAACCGGATAACGTTACTATTGTTTAATTATAAACGACACACGCGGCGTTGTACGGAATTAACAACGGAATTAACGTTAGTTACAGAAAGCGCAGAGCTAGCGAGCTAGCTAATGCTAGGTAGCGCTGCAAATAACGTTACCGGACTGTTGGTTAGCAAACCAGGCTAATATTAACTTCGTGTGAAGCTACTTACCCTCCCCGATTTTTTCAAGCTTTTCATATTTCTGCATGTTTGGCCAGTGAATCCAGCCTCTGGCGAGCGAGCAACCCAACGGCCGATTAAACCCCCCCGACGGGTGCTGATAATGTTATGATAGCTGGCGTTAGCTTCAAGCTATCTGCACTCGCTGCTGCTGCTGCCGGGGCTTGTTGGTCATCTAGAGGCCAGCGCGCGAAGTGCATCGCCCTCGAAAACCAGACAGAACGCTCCAAAACATGCAATAAATATATGTGCAACAGAAGCCGTTTCTAAAGCATTGGTGGGATGTGATGCAGGAGCAGGATTTAGCGTCAGTGCACAAACTGCACAGACGCACAATAATAGAATCACTATTCTCAGTCAAACACGGTCCCAAGGTGATTAAACACTTTGTTCCTTTGTACTTTTATTTGTGACAAAACATAAACATGCTCTGTAGTATGATCCATAAAACAAATTATAATATAACCTCATAAAAACGGTTTATTTTTTCTACCACAATATAATTGATCTTTCTATACATGACAAGAGAAAACAGTATTATGGAAGTGTGGATACTGGACAGTAGTGTCGCTTGCGTATCATCACAGTATGATCCTGTTGGTCCACTTTTACATACTTCAATTTCAGAGTGTGTCATAAATCTAGACAGAGTTTTACATAATCTATCTCTTTAGGCAAGGCTTTACTATACATTTAATTTAAAATTAAATTCCATCCTGCAGTGCAGAGCTACTGTAAACAACGTGTTCATTTCTGCCCCTCAGATCTTTGCCTGCGAATCAGATCGGAGTAAATGCCTCCTTTGCTCAGCAGTTCCAGGTGAGTTCCAGCCTAAAAGACAAGAGCAAGCCAGTCAGATTTAATTCAAACGTGTGTCACACCCTCATTACAATGAGATGGAAGCCAATAAATACAAATAAACGTGTGAACACGGGATCTTTTGAGCCTCACAGGGCAGAAGACCTCACCTCCACAATGCGCCCGTGGCTCATGACGCAGATGAGGTCGGCCCTCTGAATGGTGCTCAGCCGGTGGGCGATGACGAGCACCGTGCGGCCGCTCGTCGCTCGGTCGAGCGCCTCCTGCACCACGCGCTCGGATTCCGCGTCCAGGGCGCTGGTGGCTTCATCCAGCACCAGGATACGGGGGTTCTTGATCAGGGCGCGGGCGATGGCGATGCGCTGTTTCTGGCCGCCCGACAACGTCGCACCTCGCTCACCTGGGTTCACGGGTCTGACGCTTAGTATTCAAAATGGCACGCGGATGTAAATGTTGGCGAGTGCCTCAAAGAGAGCACCTACCGACCACGGTGCTGTAGCCGTCCGGGAAGCCTGTGATGAAGCCGTGAGCGTTGGCCTGCACGGCTGCGTTGACGACCTCGGCGTCCGTGGCCTCGGGTTTCCCAAAGCGGATGTTGTCCATGATGGACGAGCCAAACAGGACGGGCTCCTGCGACGATGCACGATTGAAAACAGGCAATTCGTTGATTTACAGAACTGGCCGTAAAAAGAAAAGCGTTTTACCTGATTGATGTATCCGATGACTTGTCCCCGGAGCCACGACAGGTCAAGTGTTCGAATGTCGAGTCCGTCCAGCATGACGGAGCCGCTGGTCGGGTCATAGAAACGCTCCAGCAAGGACGCCACAGTGGACTTTCCTACGATGCATCGGGTTATTCGTTTAAAAGCTCACCATTGCATTATTAACGTTTACAATTGAGAAAATACCTCCTCCAGATTCTCCAACAATGGCAACAGTTTTACAAGTTGGCAGCGTTAAGTTGAACTTCTTTAAGATCTGATGTCCAGGTCTCGTTGGATAGCTATGGATATTTAAAAAAACAAAACAAATTCAGTCCAGTATCATCTGATATTTATATGCAGTTAATGCCACGAATTGAATATAAATCTTCTTGAATTGCGTTGAGGTTCCAACCTGAACGAAATGTTCATGAAGTCCACTCTTCCTGTCAGAGAGTTGTACGGGATGCGTCGCCCCCCAGACAGAGGAATGGTGGGAACCAGAGCGAGGTATTCAAACACCCGCGCCCCGGAGCTCAGCCCTCTCACCATCTGTGGCCGAAGGTCCAAAGCTTGACGTCTGACACTATTCCAGAAGTAACGCTCTGTACGCGGCTGTGGTTTTTACTCACCTGCCCAAAGAGGATAGAGATACTGGCCAAGGACCTGAGCACAGAGAGAACACGCAGGTGGATTGTAAATGGCAATAAAGAGTCGTGGAGCACGTTGGACCTCTTACCTCTGAACGGTCTGTGAGGCCACCAGGAAAGACATGAGGTCTCCGGGGGACATTTCATTGCTGGAAATCAAAGTCCCTCCTGCAAAAATAGTTCCTAGCACAATGCCTGTATTAACAACACAAAGGCGTCACTGCAGGAGATGTTGGGGTACGGAGCACCAGTCTGCTCGGTGTTGTGTTCGCTCCATTTCTTAGTCGTAATACACTCACAGTTTAGAGCGATGTTGGACAGTCCTTGGAAAACTGCAATGCCTGAACCAAGATTTTCATTCATTTCACATGATTTGTCCACCTCATACGAATATAATCTGGAGACAGAAAAACAGACAATCTCAGACATACGGGGCAGTATTCCGTGTACAAGTACTACGCCGCCACTTACTGGAGCTCCCGCTCCTCCATCGCAAAAGCCTTCACCGTCCGCACGTTGCCGAGCGCCTCGTCTGCCACCCCTGTTGCTTTGGACACCTGAGAAGAATCAGACAGCTGAGACGAGACCTCAAGTTCAACTTAATTCATAACGTTAATTGAACTCTGCTTCACATTTTACAGGAAGCAACCACAGATGCTGTGTAGTAACGACGCAAGCTACGTGAAAGCATAAATCTCCCAAATATCTCACAATAAAAGCATCGACGGGCATCTTTATGCTTGTAGGTCACCCCATTAAACCGTGAGCATCAGATGGGGCTGCAGGAGAAGGCGCCGGGTGTCACCTGTTCCTGAGCCAAGCGGGACAGTTTGCGGAGGAAGGAGCCGATGAGAGCGCCGGCTCCCACGAGGCAAGGGAGGACGATGACCGTCAAACCGGTGAGCTTGGGGGAGATGATGTAGAGGGAGATCAAACATCCGAAGGTCTGCGTGATACTCCGCAGACCCTGCACATAGAAAAAGAGATTAAAAACACACAAGAATCACAAGATCACCTTCCTATCATCTGAAATGTAGGGACTTTATACCTGGGAGACGACCAGTTTAAAGGAGGACTTGAACTCCTGAATGTCAGCGGTCAAACGGTTCACCAGCTGCCCCGTTTTATTGCCGTCGAAGAAAGCCACATCCTGCCTGAAACACAAACAATAACGCCCGCCAGGTGAACCACGCGTCTTCACGTTCCACCGGCTCCGCGCCTTGAGGGGCACGTACCTCAGTAAGGACGCGAAAAGAGTCTTCCTCATGTCGGCGGCCACCCTCTCCCCCACTTGTGAAAGCAGGATGATGTAGCCGCTCGTCAGCAGGCCCTGCACAGTAATGACACTGTTTTCAATATGAACCACAACAACAAGCCGACTGCGTCCTCACAGGTGATGGTATCGCAGTATTTAACAGCACTTCCCTGCGATGGTTTCAATGAAGTGTGCGACGAGCTCATTGTGCCGTCGTATTTAGTGCAGCAATGGATTGGACTCTCGCTGAAGCACCGGCAGAGTAAATTGCCGAGATGCGCGGCGACAGGTTGGTTGTGTTCTTACTTGGATCCCGTACAGCCCCAGTAGTTTCAGGGCGGGGCCTCTTATCTCCTGGACGTAATTCCCCGTGTGTTCCCTCAGGTGACGTGCCACCACATTCACCAGATTCCCGAGCATCAGCGGGATTTGAATATTCAAGAGGGCGGCGCAAAAAGCCAGCTGAAAAGAAAAGACACTCAATTCTAGTCGAGCAGCACGAATGGCATCGTGTGGCTATACGTTTGTCATGTGACATCCTACGTAATCGTTGCATTCGAGCGACTTACCACCACGGCGCCGATGAGAGCAAACAGCTGAGGTTTAACAAACTCCCACAAGATGCGCCATTTGAACTCCGGCACGGCGCTTTTGGCTTTAAGCTCCACCGGGACGTTGTTATTTAAATCTGCCTGGCAGCGAGCGGAGCGGCAGAGCAGCCGGGCGGAGACGGTGAGCACTGCTGGTCCCAGGATGAACTTCAGGGCCACTCCCGGGGGGGAGGGCGTTCGGGGGGTGGGGGGCCGGCGCAGAGCGCTCACGGTCAGGCTCCACATACGGCCGACAGCAGTTCCAGGCCGCTGTGAGGAGCTGTGTGCGGGAGGTGGTGGAGATGTGTACCACCTGGATGCGAGACATATTGTTTCTACAATCAGGCATTAAATACTGTATTAAGTATATATGAAAGTATTGTACAGCGAACGTAAGCTAAAATATCTGACGGCCTTAAGAGCTTAGATTGTTTTGCAAATAGCCATTTTTGTGAGTATGAATTAATAATTTCTTCATCTTTAGACATCTTGAGGACACCTCTAAACTCTTTTTAGAAATGATTGTAATATTTTTATAGAGCACTTTTAAAAAAACGGATGCTTTGCAAGACAATACAAACTGATAAATGAAGCAAACGTATATAATCATGTCAATGACAGTATGAATGCATACAAGAAAACAAAACAACGTGATGATTGTTCAGACGCTCTGGACCTAAAGGAACATACATGTAAATAATGTAAATACATAGAACTGTACGGCCAAAGAAAGAAGAAACAAACGATGCATGACATTTGGTGGCTGAATCCTTTTCTCTTTCCGATAACAAACTGATAACTGTTCCACATTTGCTGATGATGACTCGGTTTATTAAACGGGCGCAGGTCAGCTGTCACTACACGGGGTCACGGGGTCACCGGGTCACTCTACCGTGAAAGCTTCCAGCCGTCCGCTGCCTTGTTGCCTCGCGGGTGTAACGACGGTGACCGCAGCGGAGCGGCGAGGCTCGTTCTACAGCACAGGACGTGAAACATGTTGTACGCTTATTTAAATGTCAAACAGGCTCGTTGGGCTTCAGTGGTCGTTAAGCTGCGCCGTAATCCAGAGGCACCGCGCGGGCTGCCATGTTGACGCCTACCCAGGGTGCATTGCTGCGGATACAGATTCACTTTTATTCTAGATATATTTGTTTCTGACAACACGAGTGGGCTTCGTTCATTGTGGACATCAAATAAAATAAGTTAAAGATATTTGTGCAAAATAGTCATAAAGTGGCGCGACCGAAATCCAACTTTTCAGGGTTGCGGGTGAGAAAACTACAATTCACATCCGGAAGTGACGGAAGTTTAACCGGAAGTGACGCGAAAGTCGTTTTGTTGACATTTGTTTGCGAAAGACAAAAACAGTGGGCTCACACCGGACGGTGCATCTTTGGGCGACTCGTCTAACCGGGAACGTGAAGTCGCGCAGTCGTTGATTTGAACAGAGCCGCCGGTGCGGAACGAGCTCGCCGCCCGCGTTGGACCCGCGCAACAGACCGAAGAAGACACGACACCAGAGGAGACGCGGACCACGTCGGGGACAAAACAAACCCGCTTCACCCCGGGTTGCTTCAGAGGCTGAATCATTCACAGGCTAACCGGCCGTCCGCCGAGTCTTCTCTTAAATAACGGTAACTAACACCAGGCAGTTCCCTCCCGCCGAGGACTCGCGTTCTTAATTCCTCGCGGTCGCTCGCTATTTGTGTTGCTATGGCAGCGCGAGCGGTTGCGCGAGCGGTGACCGCCAGACCAGCGCTTTAGCAGGCTAGTGCTAGCTAGCTGTAGCTAACGCTATCCTGGTTGCGGCTGCTCGAGCTGCCGCGGAATGTAACTTGGCTCACGGGACCGTCTTCGTCTCACACAGTGTTTACTACACGCTGGGAGTCGGTCGGGAGTCGCCATAAGAATGTGAAGCGCAATGGCCAACTTTGAAGCTTACCGGGAGTACCAGCGGATCGAGGACTTCGAGGAGGACTCGCCGCCAGGGGAGGAGGATTTACTGGTGCACGTGCCAGAAGGCCTAAAAGGTAAACATGCTACTGAAACACACGTATGTGCTATCTTTAAAATAACAGACTAACTGCACGCTGGGCGTTTGCAGCAATACGTTGGTACGTTTCCACACGTTGTGCGCGGGGGTCGAAGTGATAACGCTTTCGTTTATTTTGCAGACTCATGGCACCATATCAAGAACCTGGATAACTTCTTCAAAAGGATATCCTTTCAAACTCTAGTAGTGTTAAGTAGAAGACGTGTCAGTGTTTACCGGCATTGCATAAACCAGTGGCTTCACGCCGTGCTGACACACACTAATCACACACTGGTCAGTAGTCATATTTTTAGAGTCTGTCGTATTTGTTTACTTCTGAGCGCCACATGTGTTACTAAAGGGATTACCAGGAAGAGACGTTTCTTGGGATTGTATTTTCAGTCTCCTAGAGATTGACGTGTGTGTGATATCCTGTAGATTATTCGTGCTCAATCAAAGGTATTTTAAGTGACTGGCCGAGACTTTGTTTTAAGGCGATTCCAGACTTTCCTTAACCAGTCTGTCCACATCTACCATTTCCATCAAAAGAATGGCTTCGCCTGTATGATGTTATCAGAGTTCTTTGAACTCATGTAAGTATAAAGTACTGAGTACAGATGCTTGTAGTTGTCAACAGTATGCGACGCTGTGGTACGTTTAGAATTTAAATCATTAGTTTGCCACGTGTTGTAAGTAGGACGGGGCCTTGTTTACTGCCATGTTGTCATTATGGCAGCGAATTGTTCCCAGAAGCTTCAGAGAGAAACAAGTCTGACAGCTGATTATCAAAGCAGCTGGAGTTGAGAAATAATGTCCCTGCAATTACTACATATTCATTATTATTTGTTTAACTATTATTAGTACCACCTTTTTGGGCACATTGTATAACTTCTTCCGTTACCCATAATCCTGTTACCAGACCAACATGCCACTGCAATATATATATTTTCTTGTTTATTTGGCCCGTGACTGGTGTTTGTCTGATTCTGGCTACAGTTGCCGGATTCATTTGTGGCTCTTCAAACCATTAGCAAGAGAAATCTACTGGAGATTTTCCACGTTACCATTGCAGTGTGGGGTTACACAGGCTAGTGTTAGCAGCAGACATTGTTAACTGTATACAAACTGCTCCTGGATGAAGGTATCGGAGTCAGTGGGGGGGGCCTGGGGGAAAATCTGACATTACGTAATTGCAAACTTGCATTAATAGCTCAGGAATTAAAAAAGGGACCTCGCTCAGAAATGTGGACCAATATTAGTCTCTTTTGTTTTAACTGTCATTAATCATGATGCCTAATTTCATTCCTTCTTTTTCAGTCAGTTATTGTTTGTTGTCACGTTCACAACATTCCTTGTCAACTGCGTGGAGTACGATGTCCTGTTTGCCAATCGCGTGGTCAACCACACCGGGCCGGGCCAGAACCCCTTGGACAGGAACAAGGTCACTCTTTCAGATGCCATCCTCCCCAGTCAGCAGTGCACGGACAGGTAACCCTCTTTAATGCAGGTTAATGGAGGGCTTCACTGTGGGAAAGGGTTAAAAAAAAACGTCATGGTGAATTAATTGAAAATGCTAAACGGTCGCTTTACCTGATGTGCTCGTCCTCTGATTCCAGCCAGTTAGATCAGGCAGACGTGGTCTTGGATATTATTAGAGACGGCCCTTCAGAGGCTTTTCTTTTGTCGGGCTTAATACAGTTGTAATTAGACTTTCAGCTTTAATTTCTCATTGGACCGCGTTCAATGTGGATTAAACATTCACATAGAAGGGATACGGAGCAGTGGACTATTTAACTGTCCTCTGCGTTTCTTGATTTAACGGTGGCCAATGTCTCTTTAAGCTCTGTTATAAACAGCTCTCTAAGCAGCAGGAAGCCCGTTGTTATTGTCACTACTGCTCTCAGTTAGTTTCCCATCGTGTGGTTTGGTTCTGAAACCGTTGTCCCAAAAGAAGTGAGTTTAACAAGGATCCAAAATATGACCAAAATGTTACATTTTTATATGATTCTTTTAACGCCTACTTCAAATTTAATCAGGTGTTAATGCAGATTAGATGCTATAGCATTACCTTCGGGTTTTGTCCTAAAAAAAAGCCTAAAGTTTAACCAAAGTAATCATTTGAAGTAGAAGGCACACGGTCTCTTTCTATGAACCAGAGATTGGCAGCTTCCTGTAAGCGATGGTGACTTAGAGGACAGTATTACGAGTGGGGACAGCGTTAGGGAACAGGACAATGTAATTGATAGCTTTGGTGAGGTATAACTGTCCAGCCGAGATCCTGACAACTGGCCAGAACGCTGACAAGCACATGACCCCCCCGGCTAAAAGGGACAGACTCACTCCAATGTCTCTCTTTGCCTCTGCTTGTTATCTACAGCTTGTCTAATAGGCCTCTCATTAATTTGTTCCCTGATTGGGACCGGCTCAGTGGTCGTCTCTATCAAACTCGGTGACGTAAAACCGCTCCGGGCTCTAAATCGGGACGCCGTGTTCCACAGTTTGTAACCTCACCGTCCGCCACGAATCCTCATAAGTTCTCTCATTTCCCTCCAAAAGCCATATGCTTGTTAGCCGATTCAGAATGACAACGAAACAATGTAAATCAGCTTTATATCAGCTAATGTAGCTACGGCTAACAGCCTGTAAACCAGGATTTCCTACCTGAAGTAACAGTTTCCCGATTAACCTCTTCTGAATATTTACGCCCCTGTCTGAATGTCAAACGGGACTCTTATAGATGAATAAAGCCGTCTCTGAAAGAGGCTTTTGTTTCTATTCAGGATTCAAGAGAACAGCTGGATCATATTCCTTCTCATCATGGCAGCCATCTTTTGGATCTATCGACTTGTCAAAGTCTTTTGCAATGTTCTCAGCTACTGGGAGATCAGGCAGTTCTACATCAAAGCTCTGAAGATCCGAATGGTAAGTGCGACACCTGGACACCTTAGTATTACACAGGAGGCAACCAGGGTTGTGACCGATGTCTCCGCTTATAATTATACGTCCATGAGGATGTCCCTGTTGTCGTGCGTCAGTCAGCTGACTTTGCTCCTTGCCACCTCGCCCCAGGATGAATTATGCAACTTCACGTGGCAGGAGGTCCAGGACCGACTCATCAGCCTGCAACGAGAACAGCAAATGTGCATTCACAAGAAAGAGCTGACTGAACTCGATATCTATCACCGCATCCTGCGATTCAAGAACTACATGGTGGCCATGATCAACAAATCGCTGCTGCCGGTGCAGCTGCAGCTCCCCCTGCTGGGCAACGTGGTGTTCCTCACCCAGGGCCTCAAGTACAACTTCGAGCTCATCCTCTTCTGGGGTCCCGGCTCTCTGTTCCAGAACAAGTGGAACCTGCACCCCAAGTACAAGCGGCATGGAAACCGCCTGGAGCTCGCGCAGCAGCTCAGCCGAGTCATCCTGCTGATGGGCGTGGCCAACCTGCTGCTGTGTCCCTTCATCCTGGTGTGGCAGGTGCTCTACGCCTTCTTCAGCTACACCGAGGTGATCCGCCGGGAGCCCGGGAGCCTGGGCGCCAGGCGCTGGTCGCTGTTCGGGCGCCTGTACCTGCGGCACTTCAACGAGCTGGACCACGAGCTGCACGGCCGCTTGGGCCGCGGCTACAAACCCACGTCCAAATACATGAACTCCTTCACGTCCCCGGTGCTGACGGTGCTCGCCAAGAACTTTGCCTTCTTCTCGGGGTCAGTTCTGGCCGTGCTGATTGCGCTGACGGTGTACGACGAGGATGTTCTGACGGTGCAGCACATCCTGACTGCCATCACGGTGCTGGGCGTGGTCATCACCATCGCCAGGTGAGCCTTTCTTTATATCATTTATATCGTCCTTGAAAGGGCTCGTTTGACTCCTAATCCGGTGTCAAAGATCAAACGTTACTGTGCAAAACGATCCCGTTTTCCTCATTTATAGTTGTGTTGTTTTCCCCACCAGGTCCTTTATCCCAGATGAACACATGGTGTGGTGTCCAGAACAGCTGCTGCAGTGTATGCTGGCTCACATTCACTACATGCCAGACCACTGGAGGGGCAACGCCAACAAGAGCGAGACCCGTGACGAGGTGGCACAGCTGTTCCAGTACAAGGCGGTGAGGAACACCTTTGTCCCGCGGAGTCTTTGTCTCTTAGTACATTGACATATCTCCATACTCACATAGCCGAATGTGTGCCGATACACGTTGTGTGGAAAGGGAATACGTGACCTGGTTCTTTCTCTGTCCCAATCAGGTGTTCATTTTGGAGGAGTTGCTCAGTCCGATCGTCACGCCCTTTATTCTCATCTTCCACCTGAGGAATAAATCTCTAGAGATCATTGACTTCTTCAGGAACTTCACGGTCGAAGTGGTCGGAGTCGGAGACATCTGTTCCTTTGCGCAGATGGACATCAGACGTCACGGAAACCCGACGGTAAGACGCTCCATAGATTAGAGCTTCTCTGACTTTGACGTAAAGGGATGTTGCTTTTGTTTGAATGGACGTTTGTCTGTATTTCTGGTTTCAGTGGATGTCAGAGGGCCAGACGGAGGCCTCCGTGTACCAGCAGGCGGAAAATGGCAAGACCGAGTTGTCGCTCATGCACTTCACCATTAAGAACCCTCGCTGGCAGCCGCCTCAGGAGAGCTCGGTGTTCATCAGCCATCTGAAGGAAAAGGTGCAGCACGATGCACAGGGGGGCCCCTCCACCCAGCTGCTGCTCTCCGAGGCTCCTCTCTGCACCTCCCTGCAGTCCAACGAGCCCGGCACCGGGGTAAACCTCGAATACCCCGCAGCGCCGCCGCCGCCGAATAACGAATGCAATCGTATTCACTCAGTGTCTCCTGTTTGGTTGTGGTTTTCCAGCCTGATAATCTGCTGGCCAGTGTCCTGGCACACCCCATCCTCACCGCCTCCGGGCTACAAGGGCGAGACCACCGCTTCGTCCCGCCCAGCACCGCCGCCTCCGCCGCTGCCAGTGTCCTGGCCTCCCTGTCCGCCTCCCAGCTCCCGCACGCCAGCCGCGGCCGCGCCCACGGCCTGCTGCCCGCGTCCGTCCACCCCGAGGGCGCCATGTACCGCAGCGACCGCACCGCCGCGGACAGGTAACGCGCCGCGCGTCGCGATGGCGGATCGACAGATGCAAAGTGATGGGTTTCAGTTAACGCGATTCTTTTTCAGTATGTCCCGCAGTGACTCTCGCGTCCGGAGCAACACGCTGCACTCGGAGTTTGCCTCAGCGGAGATGAGTCTTCATGCCATCTACCTGCATGAGGTACCTTCCCGCCGCCACAACCAACAGCTCACATTAATACATGAACGAGTTCTGCTCTACATTGAGAAATGATTGTCTGTGCAGCTCCACCAGCAGAGCTCCCACCCACAGAGGCCGTCGGGGCAGTGGCAGAACCCCGTGCCAATGAGAGATCTGCACACCAATGCTGGTAAATCAAAGTCTTGTTTTTGCGCAACCTTGCAAAGTGGAAACGCAGTAGGAAGCGAGTTAATGCCACTGTGCATTTATAGTTTTAACGTTGCAACAAGGTAGCTTGTAGTGCTGAGATCATGAGTCTGCAGCTCTTAGTTAAACTCCATCACGTTAAGTAAGAAGAAATTACATGAGCTTCTACAAGCAAATATGTCAGCTGTTTCAAGTTAAATGTCAAGTCAAAGTGGATTATTCCTACTTAGTAACTTAATGGATACTAGTGGTCACGAGGTGAAGAAACTTATTTTATGAAGTAAAGTATACGGTGATTTCTAGTAAATTGGCTAAAAGTGGTGATTTGATTAGTTGTAGTAATGCTTCTCACAGTGTGCTGAGGTTTCTACACTAGCATGGAGCACAATGTTATTTTACATCATGTGTCATTAGATTAAAATGTTTTCCCGTGCTCTCATTTCTTCCTGTATTAACCAGACTAACCCCCAGAAAGCTTCTGACTGTGTATTTAACACTCATCAGGTCTCCAGGCCAACAGCGGACTCGGTGCCAGCATTTCCATGCACACCCCTGTGCACCTCGGGGGCTGGCAAGAGGAGGAGGAAGAGGAGAATGAAGACGATCAGGAGATTAATAGTGGAAATGCTCCTAAACAGGCCGGCGGTGGCAGTTGTTAAAGTGCCTTTTGTCACAAGGTATAAGCTCTATAACACAACACACGTCCACCACCTTTGCTCGCTGGTTCCGTTTCCTTTGGTCGAACCCAACGACAATGGCCTTTTATCCAACAAGGGATGCGTCACGTGATCATTTCTCCCCCCTCTCTCATTTCTTTTGATGGTGTTTACATTTAGTTTTTCGTCTATGAACTTTGTGGCCTTAGATGATCTTCACGGGGAGTTTAGCGCGTGGACCTTTTTTAAAACATCATCCGGCGTTTTGTTTCTCGGAGCGGCTCGTTGAATAACCACTGCACCGCCGCGCCTCGTCCTGTCGCATCAGGCGGACTCATGGCATCAGGGAACCCGCACGTCTTCCGCCCGACCCCCGATGACCTCGTCCCAAACTTGTGCAGGCAAACTGTGCGACGTGACGGAGAGACGTTGTGCATCCGGGGGATCACTGTGTGAAAAGGAGCGCAGGCGGCTCATCTCCACTTCTGCTGTGTGTGTGTGTGTGTGTGTGCGTGTGCGTGTGCGTGTGTGCGTGTGTGTGTGTGTGTGTGTGTGTAGAACTCGCAGAGATCATCTGTGCTACAAAGACAGCTAACTGTATCGCAGCTGCCTGAACACTTATGATCAACTGAAAAAGAGGATTTCATATTTTAACCCTGGCGATTTGTATATACACTTTTGCATCCTCGTCATCCTTTTGAAGGTCCACATTTTTACTACCAGAGCTTATCCTTGATAATTATACCAAGTATTGATTTGATGGGTCAACTGTACAGGAGCCGAACTACTAAATCACCATGTGCACCCGGACACACACACGTGCTGCTGTCTGTGATTAGTGGGTCTAAGTACAGATTTTAATCAGTATTAATCTTTGCGGAGCATATTTAAGGAAACTTTCACTCTAAAACGGGACAGAAATGATGGAAAACACCTGGTATCCCAATGCAGATGTCTACTAAATATAAGAAGTCTACTTAAGCTGGACACAAATTCAGCTTTATGCCTTAACACCCATTTAATTACATATAAATGATAGTGTCTGTATTACCTCAGTGGTGGTGAAGAACTATTCCTCCAATTAATACCTCTGCAGTTTAAATACTCGTGTAAATTCGTTCATACAATATGGCTTTTCTTCGCAATGTGCAGATGCATCTTTTAACTTCATTTGGATTTGAACGCACGTGTAAGTAGAATCTGTTGCTTCCTGCCCAGGCGGCAGTTTTAAGGAACAAAACAGGGGTGTTGCTTCAACAAATGTTTGTGCACAAAACGCTTTTGTTTGCATCCTTCTTTTCCAAAACACTTAAGATGAGGTTAAGGGCTGATTTTAGGGGCGCTGTTGCCTCTGCAGCTTTAGGTTTGAAAATATTTGGCCAGCAGTTGTTGGCTTTATACATGAGGAAAAAAAGCCTCCACAGTCTAAATGATTTGTTAGTTTTAGGTTTATTTATTACCTTTTGCCCCCATTTTTTGTGTATTATTTATTTGAAGAAAATATTCAGATTGTTTGTAAAATTATTTACTTTCCAAATTCTTATTAAAGAAAAAAAAAAAAACAAGTTCCCCACAAAAAAGTAGTTTGAAATTGAAATAAAGCAATTTCATGTATGCAAAGATAAAATGGCTAGCTGCATGGTTCTTATTGTGACTCACACTTAAAATAAAGTGGGACTAAATCTGCTTCTCGATTTTTCTGCATATTTGTTAGTTATTTATATATATATATATATATATATATATATATATATATATATATATATATATATAAAAATTTAAATCATCCATCACAACTGCAACTTCACAGAATAGAAATGTCTTTGCCCTCTTAATGTGGATGAACTGTTGTCTGTGGACGGAATGCTTTTTGACACCTGTGTAATTATACTAACATGAACTATGAATTTTGCACTGACAGAATATACTTTTTTTTTTTTTATAAAATTTTAATTTGTAGCGTGTGTGTATAATACTAGCATCAGTTACGTTTTTAGAAACTGCAGGTCTGAAAAGGGACGCTTGAGTCAGTCTCCATCCGGCATGACGTCGTGTGTCGCCGTGGGCGACGGGGGAGCGTGAAGTAGGGCGGGTGCGCCAGGAACCGCAAGGTTGGCAGTTCGTACCCCGGCTGCTCCGTGTCGAAGTGTCCCTGAGCAAGACACCTGACCCCTAATTGCTCCCCGGGCTAAAATGTAAAACCATGGGTTAAAACCGCTTTGGATAAGAGCGTCAGCTAAATGACATGTAATGTCACATGTGTCGTATCGCGCTGCTTCCTGTCAGCAAAGAGACACTGGAGCTCGGCGCTGTGCACGTTCTCCACGTCCACACCTACTGTCATGTCGGTCATTTTGATTTAATCAGTGCCTTTAGTATTAAAGGATTAGGAATTGCTCCGTACACAAGCCATTTCATTTACACTCAGTGTACAGTATTTTATTTTGGCGAGCCATTGTCTATAGCATCAAGTATGTAACCAAGTGGATGCGGCTTGAAAGTTGCAGCGACTGCACATCACAGCCGACCTTCTCATCCACTACACACCAGTCCGACTATCAGTGACTGGTAACAAGGTGCTACGTTTTCATCTGGAAATACGTTTTATGTTGTTTGTTACACAGGTGTGTCTGTTTTTATTGTAAACACAGCATCACTAGCTGAAAAATGAAACATGCCAAAAGAAGTTGTTTTCAGCACAGATTTACAATACGTGTGTTTTTTCTGTGAGTAGAGATGCAAATAAATCTTATTTTGAGTGTTATTTCATGTGTGGTTGATTATCCAATATTTATTTGAAATAAAACTATTTAAATTTTAATTAGTTTTGTATTTCCGCCTTTGAGATAATGATGTGTCTATATGTATCTGACACTCCTGCTTTTGGGACTTTGAACTGAGGTGGAAACCTGTTTAATATTGAATTTGGTAATGATGTAGAGAAGTCCGATGGCCACTGTGCACAGATGGAAACAGACACCCACCTGACTAAATGAACACAAAGGACGTGTGGGATTTAAAGTTACTCTGGCGACTTCGAGCAGTCGCATCAGAGAAAGTACGAAATCATTTACCGTCCAAATAATGACGCAAGAGAAAAAGGGTGGATGTCATATTTCATGATATCCACCGTATGAAGATCACTTCTTTCGTTTTTCTGGCACATTTGTAGAAAGCACGATATGTGGCAAACACAGGTTCTCTTCCCCCCTGATCACAGATCATAATCTTTAATCAATCATTTTTGGTAATTGTTTGGAGTCATTTTTGAATATTCTCTGGAATAAAATGCATTGGTGTGCTGGAATGTAATTAAATTAAATCTTCCATTATTAGCTGCAACATTAAAGCACTGAACACATGAATGCATTAATAATTCCATTTAAGTCATATATCTTTCTGATATGGGCCAGAATGGCCAGTATTCTTTTTTAACTTGCTGTTACTTGTCTTAAGTAATGAGCAATCGGTGCTTCCATGACTTTGAGTCTCTTTAGTTCAGGAAAATAATGCCACAACACAATATTTCACATTTTAATGATTATATTTTAGACAAGCTTTTCATAAAAACAAAAACTACCCAACTTGCAAGGCATGCGTGAAGAGATCCACTCGTATGTTCATTCCTATTTGACTCATTTAGCAGCTCTTTAGGAGTTTGCCGTTAATAGCAGGAGGCTGAAAGCCTCACGCGTGAGTGCTGCACAGTAATGGCTTGTTTAGTATTGAAGTTAAATAAGAATTCACGCTTTTTAAAGCAGAAATCTTGACACCGAGGTTTTACGTGGAATCAGTAAAACAGGACATGGTGTATTTTAAATATCACGTCTCTGTGGCTTCGTGGTCATTAAGCTCAATTAAACCCTTCTTTTCTTCATGCAGAGTCTACGGACTTGTTGTATTTTACAGTGACTTTCAATCCAAGCATGTAAAAGAGATCAGCGATTTAAAAGTTAACACTGTAAAGAGAAGACATTCATTCCTTATGGATGGAAATAAACGGGGGGGGGGGGACAATTTGGTAAAAACATAAGATAGTGAAATACAGAAAATCAAAGCCTTCTGACGCAATTTGGACAAGATGATATGATTTTGTCTTTGATATCCCAAAATACGGACTGCTCCACAGTTTATTTAATCCAAAAGTAAATACGTTGAGATGCTGAAATTGCTTTTTAAGCGGCACTTCTTTTCCGTTTCGCAGGATTTAAAGAACCAGCACTGCGTTTGTGTGGATGAGTAAAGATGTTTTTAAATAAAAGACAAATATGGCAGAATGTGTAAGGCAGAGTTCCCCCTCAGTAGCACGACAGGAGCCGGAGGCAAACATGTCAGAAGTGGAGGTCCTGAGGAGAATAAAAGAACCAGAAATGAGCAAAACAATGTTTTGGATTGTAGAAGAACTGAAGAACGTGGACACACACACATTATATCACCCGCTGAATCAGCCCTTTCTCTGGATCATGTTTATCATCCAGCTCCTCATCGGAGTCTGAACCGGGAGAAACAAACCATTTAACGGAGTTTAGTTCACTTCTTATTCACTAAACACATTATTTGCAGCGTTTCATGGACGGAATGAAAGACACACATCTGGAAACCCAGACAGATAAAGTACGATTAGTATCTGCTAACGAGAGGAGAGGGTGACCGACCTGCCGCGGACTCCGGGGGGGAGTAGAACTGTCCGTCAGACAAAGGACCTGCACACACGAGAGGAGCTCGCTCTGCAGCGTCCACGATGCACTGATACCCTGTAACACACGAACGCAGGTAAAAAGTGGTAATAATCTCTGACGAGTCACTTCGGCTAAGCCCCGCCCCCCTGTGCTGCTACCGCCTCCAGCTGTCAAAGCTACGTAACCATGGAGCCCAAACTGTCACTAATTGCCCCACCGTTGAAGAAATTCTACATTCTATGTACATTTTGGAAGAAAAAAGGAGTCTAAATCTCATTTATGCAGAGTGTCAATCAATGTGTGTAATACTACTGGATTATGATTATTGATGCATTAATGTGTTTGTCACTTTAATGTTGCAGGTAATAAAAGGTGGAGCTCATCGGTACTTAAAGGACCTTTTAAAGAGAACTACATACAGATTCCTTGTACTCATTTAATGAAGTAGTAATACTTCTTCGTTCTTCTCTGCTGCTCCACTACATTTGAAAATAGTGTTCGGATGGAACGCTTAAAGAGTATTTTCAAAAATTCACTAATGGTACTTTTGTTCAAATGAAGCTTAACGTGAATATTTTAGCAGTACTAGTACCACAGTGGAAGTAGTAACCGGAGCAACGACTCACTGTTTTGGTCCTCGGCCTCCTGAGGCAGAACCTTGAAGTCCAGAAGCCACGTTTCTATCCAGGCCAACACGAAGGAGACGATGGGCAGCAGGTAGCCGAAGGTCCCCTGAGACAGCAGCTACACACACACACACACACACGCACACGCACACACACACACACACACACACACACACACACACAGGTATCAGGCTAAACAAACAAAGGGCTTGTTTGTGTTACGGGACTCTGAAGAGGATCAGGAACACACATTGATGACGGGTCACAGTTGTAATAAACGACAATAGAAACGCGTCATGTGACTCTTACCTTTGATAAAATGACTTTAACGATGAGGAAAGCACAACTGACTGCAGTCGTGATCTGTGAAGCAGAGGAAACAGTTCACTTGCAAATATTCTGCTGTATATGCGAAATACTCCAGTTCTACTGGACTTTACTTTTAACTTTTTAACTTTAACCTTTATGTTTAAACTAACTCGTAGCATTATGTTTTATTTTATTCCTCGTGCACTGTTGCACCAACCGCCAAGTCAAATCCCTTGTACGTCTGGCACATTATGGCAATAAATGTTTCCTGATTAACATCCAGGTAAAGCTGGTCGGTGAGGACTCACCGCGATGGCCCACCAGTGGCGAAGCTTACAGACGGCGTACGCCAGGATGAGCGCCACGAACCGGAAGACCGCCAGGAGCTGGGGGGTGTTGAGTTATGCAGGCGTGTTAAACATTACCTCATCACATCACAGTGAATGTGCAGGTGCATCACATGTACCTGCACATTCCTCTGGGCACAGTTAAGCAGGTATAAATACACAACTCACATTCATACATACAACAACAACAACAACATGTAGCATGTTCAGAGCATGACCGCCGGTCCGACATTACAGAGAAACTTACAAAAATATCGAAGAAGGAGGCGTGGTAGTTGTAGTGCAGGACTTCTTTTTCGAGCTGCTTCTGAATGCCGCCGTTCACCTGTCGAACACAAACTCACCTTTACACTCCTGTGAGTCAGCTTTAGTGGATGGAGCTTATTATTCATTAAAAAAGGATTTCTCCAAGAAATGAGTCTGATTGAGTTCATAGACGAACATTTCAGAAGATCTTTAGGTATCAGGCATCTACTTCCTGTTCACACCCAGTGAAGGTGAACAGTCGTGTGATCTCAGAGTACCGTGTTTCCTGAAGTGTTTCAGCTCATGAACAGTGTTTCATTTCATGTTCTCTGAAAGGAGGAGGAGCCAATAAAAACCCCACAGGACACTTTGAAAAAGACTTCCAGATTCCAGAGACCACAGATTCGTGGAAGTGAGATACTTTTAGACACGCAATTCCCAACAACTACAGTGTGTGTGTGTGTGTGTGCGTGCGTGTGCGTGCGCGCTGAAACCTGTGCTTTTAGGGAAGGTGTGCCACAGTAAAATAACTTCCTCCTCCAGGACCATAAAGCTGCGTGTACATATCGGTATCGGATGAAGTGCTGCGTGAATGCTAACGAGCGTTAGCCGGATCGTTGTGACAAAGGGCGCGTTTCCACCGAGCGGTGCGGTACGGGTCGGGTCAGGTCGGGTCGGCCAAAAGTTGAGAATGGTACCAAAAATCCGAGCCGTACCACTTTTTGGGTTCCCTTCCGTTGGGGCACCTGGCACAGGTGTTTGGTACTAAAGGGCGGAGCTCGACTCACTGCAGAGCGTTGATTGGTTGAAAGAGTGTCGTCATTTGCGCTGTGTTTTTCCTTGCAGCCTTTGCTCAAACAAAGAGTGTCGTCTCCTTGTGACAAACAGCCACATATGGAGAAGCAGGAACAGGATCGGCTGTACGTCCTCCATTGTTGTTTGCGGTTACAGTTACGGTTTCAGTTTTTGCGCGATCGAATGACGTCAATCTACTTTCCGTCATGTACCACGCCTATCAAGTGACGTCATCACCACTTTCTGGAATACACCACGCCTATCAAGTAAGGGTACTGTTGGCGGTGGAAACGCTCGCCAAATCATGGTTAACAGACCCGACCCGTACCGCTCGGTGGAAACGCGCCAAAAGTGTGTGAAAATCAGAACTGACGGTAACATGAAACGAACTTTATATTAGTCGCTTAAAACACAAAGGTTAATACTAAAAGAGGCCGTTAACAGTTATGGCAATGAAAGGTCTTACGTTGAGCTCTATGATCCAGAGCAAAGTGATGAACAGGAAGTCAAAGGTGACGAAGAGGCAGAAGGTCCTCCTCACGTCCGAGATGCACTTCATCTCCTTGGCTTCGTACGACTCCGCCCTCCTGCAGATGGGGGTGCTGTTGATGGAGCACCCCTCCCTGCCGGTCAGCCGTGAGTCGGCGCTGCTGCTGCATCGCCTGTCCATCTTTTGTGGTCACGCACCGCCGCCACCTCCGCCCTCAGCGGGAAGGTGGAGTCAGAGGATGCGGGATATGTGGGCGTGGACTCGCTCCGCGGAGGTTCGCTTCATCGCCGCATCTGGAGAGGGACGGATTATTTATTTAACTTCACAACACGTTTTACTGCTTCATTTCTTCTTTCTGACAAGAATATTGTTAAAATAGTTGGTAAATAAAACAATTCTCTTGGACGACTTGAAGAACGTATCACCGAGTCATGACCTTTGACCCTTGGTTGCTGGGGGGGAACTAGGGACTCTTAAGCACTAACTGACATTGACTCCAGTAGATTCCGCCTGAAAGGACGACTCTCCTCCAGCTTCCTCTTTTCACGCTGACGATTTAATAACTACTCCTAACGAATGTTAAACTGCATTTCACAGTTGTTTTTAGGGAAGTATTTCTCGGGTAAGAAAAAACACAATTTATTTCCTTAATCATCTACAGCGGAGCTTTATTTATTCCTGGAATATCATGCAAGAGAGGATACTTTATATACACATTTTAAGAATGTATCTTCTCCCTTTCTTGGTCACAATGTATAGTTATTATAAACTAAAAACTACGGTTTCTTATATGTTGATGGGAGGAGGACCGACCACTTTATTAAAGTTTCCAGCAAAGGTTCATCTGACGTAAAAGAATCAAAAACACATGAGATACAGAATCCACCAATTTCTAATTATATGAACACACGCTTTTTAACACATTTTATTAATGTAGCAGTTTTTATGATTCATTATATATTGAATATTTATTGTTACCCTACCCTGCATTTCATATCATGATGCATATCATATTTACCATGAATGTGACTCTATATAAAAGGATCTCAGGAAACACTGGAACAGAAAAAAGAATCAAAAGGAAAACTCGCTAGCATCACAAACAGCAATAAAATCCAAATACTGCAATTGAATGTAATAATAATAATAATATTGTGTCTGTGTCCCGCCCATCCTGCTTTTGTTAAAACGATAACAAGTTAAATGTTAAATGTTAGTTGCCGGCCGGTCACGTGACTTCTCTCCAGATTATTGGAAAAATTTCACTCAATCATTTGTGAAAAACTGTCCCTCGGGTGTAATCGTCCATCATAGTGCAGACGAAGGTCTTTAAATATTGAATTCATTGAAGAACGGATAGGACTGCGAGTGTGACCTGTGTTGATGAACACACACAGGAACCTAATGATCCTCTGTTTGTGTCCACGCCGCGGACCAGGTGATGCTCACAGGCTCAGTTACCATGGTGACAAACTCTGAGTCTCCAATAAACACTCCTACTTGAAACGATGCTCGCTGTGTTTGGTGAGCAGGGATTCCATCAAACGAAACCGGAAATGTGACGCAAAGCAACAAAAACAACAACAATATTCTGCAGTCAGGACCGTCACTGTGACGCCCACGAGAGGAATGCTTCCTTCAGTCCCCAAAACTACTACACACTAAGTACACCAGAGGCAGAACATTATAAAAACACCAATGTGTAATACTCATCATGAAGAATGACAAATAAGAACACACAAGTATTGATGGATTAATGTGTGGATTCAGCTACAGTAATAAATATAATGTACCCACTGAAACATACTGTCTAAGCGCGGAGGCTAACAACAACAACAACAACAACGTCAGGGTGTTTATGAGTTAAATCATGAGCCCATCAGGGTGAACTGGGGGGACAAACCAGCAGCTAGTGCCGTTAAAAACTAAGCTAACGCTAGCTCGTTAGCTTGAAGTCGCGTGGTGAAACGCGGGTTTGTTTAACGTCCCCCTTTGGGTCCTTACCGGTCGAACTCGCTCCTTTAACGGGTTTAAAAGGTTCCGAATGAGCCTCCGGGAGGTTTCGGGCTGCAAGTCTCAGCTTCAACGCAGGAGACGAGTCGTCTGCTTCCTGCTCCGAGAGCTCGGACCGGAATATGGAGCGTAGGAAGAAAACACAGTGACGCAAAGGATTCTGGGATTCGGAGTTCGCAGCTGGGCGGCCGCTGCCGGGCCTCCCTGCCGGTCACGTTGGAGACAAGCCACTTTTGGGAGGATTTTATTTATTGATTGATTTATTCACCTGGTTTAGCTGCTTAGCTTCCAAACCTTGATCTTCAAACCAAAGCAAATCTCGACCGGTTTCAGTTTCCATCAACATTGCAAATTATCGAACATGTTTGTGCTTGTTTTTAAATGTATTGTTTTTATTTCATTTTTAGACACATGGTGCATGCAGACAATCTTTTTTTTCAAAAAGAAAAATGAAAACCCCCAAATACTAAAAAGGCTTGACCAAATTGGGGTCTGTAGTTTCCAGGAACAATGAACAAAAATACCCAATTAAAGCACAACACAATGCCCAAATATGACCCAGTACAAACACAATAATAACCAATGTTTTAGTCTGAATACTTTTTTTTACATGATAAATACATTTAAATGAATTAATTTTTTCAGACCTCCCATGAGTTGGCTTTGTGATCAGTTTGATCTACTTTTGGGACTCCGCATTGGCAAGTAGATGCCTTTTGAAATGGAAAATGAATCACACTTCACAAGTTCAGTCAGTTAGTTTATTGTTCAAATATAAAAAGAAAATCATTTAAGCCATCATGACATTGTGCCCTCGGGTCAACAACACTGCTGCACACGCGCGTGTCACGAAAAACATCCTTTAAATCTCAATAAAAATCTAAAAGAAACCACAATTTGTTTACTTTGTTCAGTCATTTTTGTGACGCACTTCATGGGTTTGAGGAGTAATCAAACAACGCTTGTTAGCACAATGCTGCACTGAAACTTTACTTCTTAGCTGAAGTATTAAATCAAATAAATTGATCACAATTGGTTAAAAGTGACATGTTTAGCATGGTGCTAATTGTTTAACATGGATCCCATTAAACTAGTTTGTTAAGTTGCAGCTAGAAACAGCAGCAAATGAACCAACAATTCTACGAAGCTTGTCGTATTTCACATTTCCTTTTTACTACAGAGTGAAATCTGAAAGGTCCCTTCGCACTGCGAGGGAGCTTGTTGAGAGTCGGTTTCCCAGGAGGTGGCGGACGAGCGAGCGAGGGGGCCTCCGGCCTCCGGGCAGCGCCGGAGGTTGAAAGTAGGAGGCCTGCGAGGCTTCAGCAGTCGGACTCGGCCATCCTCTCGGGCCGGGCTGACTGGCAGGTAGAGGGCGGGGTAAAGACGTCGGGGTCGCTGATGCCCAGCTGGATGTTGAAGAAGCGGGTGGAGGTGATGACGCTGCTGTTCTTGGCGTAGGTCTCCTGCACCGGGTAGCAGTCCTTGAGGGTGTAAATGCCCACCCAGGCTTCATCTGGTGGAGACACGAGCAGAGCAAAGTTGTGACATCAACAACGTTCTACTCTACATGTCTCATCAAATAAACCTTCGCGTTCACCACGTTCGCCATAAAGAAACTCTGATTCAGCTGAGAAGGGTCACGTGACCAAACCTCTGACGTTCATGAATGAAGACAGAAGAGACGAGGCTGCAAATAGAAATAGTTCAATGTCTCCTTTTCTTCTTTCATCCGCAACTGCGGACACAAAATCTATGATGGTTCGGCTTTTTTTTTTTTATTGTGCTGAAATTAAAGACCACAGAGAGCAAAATGATCAGAGCAACAAATGCAACAAAGCTGCTGGAGGTTCAGAAGACATGTGTCATGTATGTAATAAACATCTTCCAGCGTCTCACGGTTGTAATGCATTTGTATTTTAGCATTTCAAGATGGCACCACTGTGCAGAGAGACAGACTCACGTCGGCGTGCCGGCTTCCTGTCGGACCACTCCTGCACCTCCACGTTGTCCCCGGGGCCTCCGATGAAGTACTGGTCCTCGAAGGTGGAGTTGTCCGGGATGTCGAAGGGATCCCAGGCCTCCGTCAGGGAGATCTTAGAGCAGTCCTTGGTCTTCTGGTCAATCTGGAACATCACCATGCTCTGGTACAAGTAGATGTACTCAAAAAACCTGGAGGGGGTGATGAGGGTCGAGAAGGTGTGTCCAAACTTTTAGTTTAGAGTAGTGTACACACACACAGTGTACGTCATACACATTACATAAAGCAATTATTATTATAAAAATAATATAATTATCACTGTGCTTAAAGGCGGGCTCACCTCTGGCAGGGTGCGTGCTTCTGGTTCCGCTGCAGGACTCGCAGCCTCTGCTTCAGCCCGTCGTAGGAGACCGAGGCCCGGACGTTCCTCCCGGTGCTGTGGTCGTACATCACCCATCTGCCCTCCCACTGCAGCGGGGCGACGCAGGGCGCGGCCGCCGACGGGGAGGCCTCCTTCCCCGGGAGGCCGAGGACGGATGCGCCGGCTGCGGCGATGAACACGAACAACAGCCGGTGCATCGCTGCGGTGGTGAAAGCCCGGTAAATGATCCCGTTGTTGTTGTTGTTGTTGCCGATGAGCTGCACCTGCCGCCAATGATTGCATAGGGTTTCCGGTTGTGGTTTTCAAAATAAAGGCTTTAATGAACCGTGTGAATCTGTATATATTAAAACAAAAAAACAGAACTTTAATTGAGGGCTAATAATAATAATAATAATGTAATACTATTTTGTTAATCCGTAAAAGGCAGTTCAACGGCTACAAGTATTGTAGACACTTGTAATTGGAGGTTTAACCACTTTTTAGTCAAATTGTTGTAAATCTCAAAGAATAACCAACTTTAGTGTTAATACAATATGTTTTACAGGTTAACGATATAGCAGGCTTTTTGAGTAATCGAAACAATCAATTATTTGATCAAATATATTCATGTACTTGAAATGTGTTTTGAAAAATAAAATGTGAAAATATTGGAAAGTCTTATAGACCATCATTTACTAAATGAGGATCATGCTGTATTGAAATAGACTTGCAACTAGAGATCGTTCATCACGTTTTCTGAGGAAATAATCGTTTTTAGAACAGGCAAAAATAAAACATGTATTCTCCGTGCACAATAGGGGAGACTCCTGTGGAACCCATTGTTATTATTATTTGTATCAATCTCCTTTCTGGCAAACTAGCATGGCATAGCTAGGTATATTTACACATTTAACTTTTGGCTGAAACATCCCTGAATAAAATAAAGTCTTTGTTTATTATTATTTACCGTTTTATTGATGCTGATGTTGTTGCAAATAGCTCTCTGCGAGAACACCGCCCGGCCAATGGCAGCGCTGGAATGCAAGGCGGGGGGCGGGTCCGGTCGCGTTCGCTAAGCGTCACCATGCGACGCAGCGCGATGACGCTCCAGAACAACATGGCGAAGAATCAACGTGGGGAAGCTGCTCCGTCTTCGAGGATGACGGGTAGGGAGAGACAGATGGGGGGGTTTAGTTTGTTGCTCGAGTCCAGTGACGATGAAGGGCCCGAAGAAGTGACCTTTGAAGACTCCAAGGCTGATGCTCGGCGGAGCATGAAACGGGCGCTGGACACAGCCAGAAGGTAACGTTAGCTAACGCTAGCTAGCTGGCTAATTAGCTACGGGTGAACGGTACCCGGAGGCCGTTAAACTCAACTCCACCAGGAGCAAACTGCATTCACGACAGCGATTATTCATATATATATTATTCATCTCATATCCTGATTTTTTAACTTTTCACGTCTGCGTGCACATTTAACAGTGAGCGGATCAATATGTTGACGCCATTTGTAGGTAAGCGTTAACGTTGGATTCATGACTCCAATTTATAATAACGCATAACGGTCCAGAGAAGAGCCAGCCAGCGTTTTAGAACGTTTTAAACTACATCCAAGCCGTTACGGAAAGTTCCTTTCCAAAATAGTTTTATCCTGCTAAACAAACTCCTCTGCGCATGCGCGTGATCAACATGTTTCTAACGTGGTTTTGATGGAGTTTGATGTGGAGCTTCGTCCACAAAGAGCAGCGAAGCACCAACACAGTGATTATTATCCAGCGTCTGATGTCTTTGCGTTTCCACGTCTGCAGAGAAAAAGAGCTGCTGAAGGAGAAGAGAAGGAAGAGACAGGAGCTGTTCCAGGAGCAGAAGGTCGGTGCGTTTAAGTTATATTACACCGTATAAAGGCTGTTCCTGTGTAAATATAATATATATCAACTTTCACATTTGAAGTGCTATTAGGTTTTTTTAGAGATAATAAGTATGCCACGATCTTTTGATTATTTACATCTGCACAACAAAGTATTCTACCGAACTAACCGCAATCAAATGCACAGTGCAATTATCACAACATGTGGTTGTATGAATAAAAAAACCACTGTCAATTACTCTATTTAAGGATATTTATTTTACGTGCATTAACTAAAGCCAAAGGTTTACCATAAGCCTGTTAACAAATTACTTTCATCTTCAATTATAGTGACAATCATTTTTTCGATGTAAGTTAATTAATAGGAGGAGACAATCGGATTGTCTCTGCCACCAAAAGTTGCATTTCCGCCTATTAAAATATTAATATAAAGTCAAATTGGCAGCTGTTAGTGACTTTCTATCAGATGTATACACCTTTCAAATAAATCAGACTGAAAGCAGCAGCCAAACACCATCTGTGGTTTTTTAATGGTTCATTAAAATTCCCTCCACAGAAAAGAAAACTTCTATCGGCTGAAGTCTTGGAGGAAATAGACTCAACGTAAGTTTTCTGGTTGGGACTAATTCATAAAAACAAATCCCCAAAGCTCTTCTTCGTGAACCTTTTCCAATGTTGTCTTGTTTTCTACAGGAAGCAGGAACAGTCCCACGTTAAAGGTAAAGAAGCACATTTCTGCCCTCGCGTCTTTTAACCCTTTTAGAGGAAAGTCGAGCTGCAGAATGAGCTTCACATCTGTTCCACTTGTGTTTTCTAACATCTGTCCAGCAGCTGAAGAAGAGGCGGAGCCAGAAGAGGTCGAGGGGAGGAAAAGGAATTGGAAACAGAACGCGGCCAGAAAGTACGTAAACGCACTTCGTCCTGCTCCAGCTGACGTCTGAGTAATTTAGTCGTAAACACGACCCTCCAACCCGCTGTCGTGTTTCAGCCTGAAGGGAAACTACACGGTGACGACGGTGAAGCAAAGCACGCTGGCGTCCTCCCAGCTGAAGGCGGCCGAGGATTTCCTCCATTCCCGAATGTACGGACCGGGAAGCCGAAGGACCACGAGTAAGACGAACAAGTTGTTGACTCGCATGACTAGAAGCAGAATGAAAGAAATGACAACAGAAGCACTTTCACCTCGGCTGTTTTGGAAAATGACAACTGCTTTTAACTTTAAAGGCTCTAACCTCTCCAATAAAAAAAAGAACCCTGAAGGAAACGGATTAATTCAACTATATATATATATATATATATAAATACTCCTAATTACGCCTTTGTCGTTTATTGTGAAAGGTTTTTTTTTCAACCCCTGCAAGCTACACTCGTGTCCGCGATGATCTGTCTCAATTTTAAGTCTTGCTACAGTGACGCTCCGTCGGGTTCCAGCGAGGCGTCCCCTCCCCCCGGGACGGCGACATCGGCGCCTCGCTCGTTAACGCGTTGTCCTCGTGCTCTCAGGTAACGAGATGCTCTCACTGGAGAACAAGATGGGGAAGAACAAGAGCGCCGCCGTGCAGTTTGTCAAGAAGAACTGGGGTGAGTTCAGCGACGTAAAGAAGTTAATATTTACTGTGAGGAACTTTTAGCTGGTTATGAAACAGCTGTTGGCTGAGAACTCAAGTCTCTTGTTAATTGTTTTTATTAAACGACGATTCAGCAGTGTGTCTGCTCAGTACAAGCTTTGGGGTGTCTGACGCGACTGTGGGTCGATTCAAAATGTTCTTGGGTAAACTGACTGTTTTACACGAGACGTGTAGAACACTCGTCGGCTTTAAGCGTCGGTCATACGTGTTTGAATGCGGACATGACATGTCGTCTCCACTCGTCTCTTCAGCCTGTCAGAAGAAAGCCAAAGCAGAGAAGCTGAAGAAGACGTGGATCCACATGCAGCAGATTCCCTCCAGCTGAGCACACGGACTTCGAGGAGAAAACTGGTCTCAGACTTTGAGGACGAACCCTTCGGTTCATCGCGAGACACGGGGACAGCAGGAGTGTCCCTCGGTGTCACCGATTAAAACAAATAAAACCACTTCTGATCCACGGGGGGAAGATGCAGCTGTTAAGTTTTAAACGGTGGGATTATTTTTACTTTTCCTGTAACCTTTAATAAAAGATGGATGATTTAGAATCTCGTTATTTGATTCATAAATCCAAACTATTCTAACATGCTGAACATTTTCTGTTCTTTACCATCATGAGTCAATTAAATGTTTTATCTGAAGCATTTTGACATCTGGTTGTTAACGTGTCACTTTTCTGACATGAGAAAATTCTTAATCGAACCAGGTTTTCCTTCACTGTTGGAAATACTTTATTTGAAGTAGAAAGTCAATCATTTAAATATTTGTAATCAAGCTCTGGAGACAAACCTGAAGCTCAGTGACGGTCGAATAAAACCCGTTAAAGCCTCACCGATGGTTTGACGTGTAGGTTAACTGTCAGACTGTCAAGTTAATTGCTGATTAAGGCCAGAAACTTTTGTATGCGACAAATAGAAATAAATGGTTTACAGGATTAAGCTGAAACATGAACACAAGCTCCATTCAGCATCTAGACAGACATCGTTTTATCATTTTTTAATAAAAATCTTCACACAAATTGCACTTTTTCTTCTGCAAATGGACAACTCGCTGTTTGACGTCTTTCCTTTTACACTGAGCCGGCTGAAAGGAGGAACAGAAAGAAACATCTAAACTTGATCTTACCACCACTTTACTACGGCATGCACAGGCTTCAGCGGGACGACCCCCCCACCCCCAGAAAACAAGTCTGATTAAAGAAACCACCAAACAAAAGGTACAGCAGTGTGTTGACGTGTTGAGGGACAGTCGTCCTCAAAGTATTTGGTTCTTTTCGTTGGTAACAGTGCGGGTGACAATACTGAAATCTTTTATTTTCCCTGTCAGAGGACCGAGGGCGACCCGTGACAAGCCGCCTCCTGCGGCATGCTGGGTAGCCGGAGCCCCTCCGTACAAAACAAACCTCTGAAACGAAACACTAGACTAAATGCTACCAGGGAGACGGCGACTGAGCCGCCGGGTTCGATTCTTTCCACTTAACGGCTTTAAAAAGAGCTCATCTGCTGCTCACAGCTAACGGGGTTAACGACAGGAGACGCACTCGTCCCAAAGAGGAGAAGAGGACCATTTTATGGGTTGAGTAACACGGTTGGCGGTGGGGAGGGAATCACGACTCACTGGTGTCAAAAGCTTTAAAGGATTCAGTGTGGTTTTTTTTTTTTTGAACAATTTGTTTTCCTTTGATATCTAAATATCACTCTATCGATAGAACCTTTGTTAAATTCCTATATAAACGTTAACATGTACACACGGTGGGATCGGGACCTTTATTAGAATAAGAACTTGCTCTTGCTGGTGCTCAACAAATATACTGTAAATGTAAGGAACAATAATATGATAATAATAATAATAATAGTCGTCAGCACCGTGTCTGAAAACCTGGAACAACAAACAATAAGCGCCAGGTAACCATGGAAACCCAACAGAGAACTAAACGGTTAAAACAGAAGCAGATTCTTATCAGTTTCCCAAAAGTCCGGAATCCCACAGCCAGACTTTGCCCAATTCCTGAAGGAGGAGGGTGGGGGTTCCCTAACGAAGCCTTAAGGTTGGTTGAGAATGTGGGGGGGGGGGGAGGGGGGTGTAGGCGCAGGTTTTGTTTACAGGGCGGTCGGTTTTTCCATTTATATTTAGCCAGAATCTTTTTCTGTCAGTCTGCCCCTTTTCCGGTTCGGTGCCCCCAGGTATGCGCTGTGGGGGGTGGGGGGGGGGTATCCGGGTCCACACCAGCCGGAGTAGTTTCAAGAAGGGCGACTCTTGCCAGTCGCAATGATGCAGATGCCGGCCTCGCAGGGCAGGAGGTGCTTTGGGGAGGGGAGAGGGGGGGGGCACAGGCTGCGAGGCAAACCACGCTGGGGGCGTATTTTGAGGACGAATGGTGGGTTTGTGTCTGCATCGTATTCATTTTTTTTTTAATCATGTGGCGTGTGTTCATTTCAATCTAAAGATCTGCCCAGAAGTGAGTCGGGATCCTCAGCGCGTGAGCTGGTTCAACAATCTACTTCCTGTTGTGGCCCCTTCAGAGGACGGGGGCACACGGCTGGAGGAGGTGGAAGGAGACACATTTCTGGACAGGTCCTGAGAAGGTGTGGACACACACACCGGGTTAGTGCAGGTAATCGTCCACGGAGGCGAAGGCGCAGGAGCCGCTGCCAGTTCGAGCCATGATGGCGAGGCACTGGGCGGCCTGACCCACGGCCTGGGCCAGGGGGGGCTGCTTGGGCAGGTTGTGGGTCTCTGGGGAGAAAAAAAGGAAGAGTGCATGAAGAAATGGGCTTAAATATTGTCCAGTAATAAAAAAGGACACTGTTCAAAATATATAAAAATGTACAATAAATTAACCAAATTAGCTAAAATGAGCGTCTGAAGACTCCTCCCTCCTTCACGTCTCGTTGTCCAATTTAAACATAAACCACTTTAGACCTTTAGAGGAGTTTTTACTTGAGGGTCTTGTGGGTGGCGCCGGTACTTCAGCTCGTCAACTATTCGTAGCGACTGAAAATGACTTTGTTTTGGTTACGTTGAGGATGGTGTTGGTATCACCTCCCACCAACGTCGGTATATAACTATATTTGATGTATTACTAAATGATTTATATTGTGTTACACTTAATTGTCTGCGACCTCCAGCAGCTCTCACTGTCCCACTAACTTCACTAATCTTCGCCGGTCTTTTGGGCGCCATGGAGACGTGGACAACAGCAACCCCGGAGGAACCGCTCCGTTATCCAAAGAGGGTTCCCGGGATTACAAAGTAGCCGGTGGAAGCGCGGCTGTTTCACCCACCTAATATTGCACTGTTGAGAGTGGAGCAGACGGGCTCCCTTTGAATGGCGTCCAGCTGGTAGCCCACCGGGCTGCTCCAGGGGTCCGAGTAGGCCAGCAGGCTGAAGGCGTCCTGAGAGGAGACACAAACGACGAGCGATGACCTCACCGTCTCCTCCGGGTATTTATACTGCCACTACGTAGCGCACTTGTCGCAGCGAGGGAACGCGAGGTCTCTCGTTGCCGTGGCGATCTGTGCGTTACCTTCAGCATCTTCTTGTTAGCAGAGTTCTTGCCACACTCGCGGCGGAGGTGTTCGCTCATGCTCTGGAGCTCCCTGCCGAAATGGATCATCCTCTCGATGGCCGCCTGGCTGCCGCCGCACAGCTGCCTCTTGGACTGAGTGGACTCGACCTCTGCAGAAGGAGGCGACGGGACGTTCACGGCACAGGTATTTAGACGGGAGTACAAAACAGTTGAAGGTCTACTCACCCATGTCGGCGTCGCAGTCCTCGGGCTCGGCGGCGTGTTTGGAACTGCCGTTGAGGAAGCCGTTGGAGGACGACTCCGTGACTCCGTTGGTGAAGTGGTCGACCTCCATATCCACGTCGCTACCGAGGCGGGACATGGGGGGGAGGAGGAAGGGGAGGGAAGGTTAGTGGGTGAGGCGGGTCACAGGAAGTTCCCCTTCACTTAATCTGGGGCTAAATATGGTTTCTCCCGGTACCTGGTTATGGGCTGTTGACTGTGGCTCCCGTTGAGGCTGACGTCAGACGCCGGCGGGGCGGAGCCGGATGTTGGGGGGCAGGGCTTGTGACTGTGAGGGGAGGAGCTGTGGCTCTTATTAGACGTCACACCATTACAGCAATTACTGTCAAACCCTACGAACAAACAGACGGGAGAGAACGTCAATGAAGAAAGAAGCCACTCGGCACATCTTGCGTAACGCGCAGTGAAATGAATCTGTTCTCAGGTGCGACTCTACCTGGGGGGTGAGGCTGGGAGCTGCTGGCTTTGTGGCTGGGGCTGCTGAAGGGCCGGGGGGAGCCGGGGTAACTGTCCTGAGACTTTGGGCTGCGACCTCCCAGACACCTCACCTCGCTGTCCGTCCCGTTCACCATCTCGATGAACTGTCTCACCCTGCAGCCCGATGGAACGCAATCGTTGGTTAAAGGATTTCCCTGCTACACATTGTTTACAGTACGTAAGGGGAGACTTGCTGTTATTAAATATGTGACTTGGTTCAAACAAATGAGGAATGACGGCAGTGAAGTGGCGCCTCGGTGTTACTTGAGCATGAAGAGCAGGTCTGGGTTCCTCTCCAGGAGGTTGGGGTAGAGCTGCTGGGTAGTCTCGATGGCCTCGCCCATCCTACCCGACAACACCAGCTTCTGGATCTCTGCAAACAACATGATTACAGGAGGTCAAAGGTCATCCCGCCTTTCCCCCGGGGACGCTGGCCGTCTGATGTCCTGGTACCAAAAGACGGACCTCAGATTGCGAACGTGGTTGGAACCTTCATATTTTAGTAATAATTCACAACCTCACGGATTCGAAGCTTCCAGCCATAAAAGTGACGGCTGATCAACCTCTGAACATCGTGAAAGAAATGAAGGAGCTTTGTGCCGATCTGTGGACTTCATTTGGTCACTTTGCCCCAAACTACTCACAAGAGCCTCACGTTAGCGAGTGGGACGATTTGTGACAAACATTACTGGAAATCTTTGCTGCGTAACACACTAGAAAACCCACCCACGCCCTTATTGTGGGGACATCGTCTATGTAAAATACTGCCTGCAGCCCTTCTGCTTTCCATTTGTGGGCTGATGAGCAGCGTTACTTGACACAGGACCACCAGACTCACTCTGTCGGTTTTTGATGGAGGCCAGCTCCTCGTGCACGGCCTGGTCTGTGGATTTGGCGAATGCTTCCGCCGTGGCACAGTAGCTGTGGTGCACCAGGTAGGACGCCACCATCCTGACGGGACACAACAAAGAAAGTCTCTCAGTCGATGGAGGAGGAACCGTCAGACCAGAACACCTGACAGAGCGCTTGTCCTCGCCGGGTGTCCCTCTTACCCCCGGTCTGACACCAGCGCAGCGTCCGCTTCCCTCCCCACGCAGTAAGACGACTTTCCTGGTTAAAAATACATTTTTCAAAAAGTATCCCTCTGCCACGCAGCCCCAATCCCAAATGAAATGGAGATTAAATCCATTGGGGACAAATAATCAGCGTTAATCCCATCAGAGCTCGTAGTGCAGAGACACCGAGCGGCCAGCTTCCACTTCCTGATCCCGGCTGCTGCTCTGCGACGGGGAGGCGGGTCCATCTGGGGCTTTCATCCTGTCAGTCACTTCCTGTCGCATACGGTGTCCAGTACTTACTCGTCCCTCATCGGCATTGGAAGGGTTGAACTCCAGCAGCGGACTTAGTAAATCCAAACCCTCCAGTTAGCTCGTAATGAGCCGAAGGTCGGTCTTTAACAACCTGGTTTCAGGCTCCATTCAAGGAAAGAAAAATAAATAAATCTTGAGGCGAGCTGGTGGGATTCTAGTTCTTACTAGAGGAATGATGAGTATGATGTGGTCCAGAGCTGCTATCAGTACTTATTACTTCCAGAGGGAGACGTGGTCGTGGGTAACTTTCTACCAATGAAATCAATTTTTGTAATCGTGCCAAACAGTCAGCTGATATAACATCAACGGCACCAGTAGCCATGGAAACCCAAAGCATCTGCGACAGAGAGTTAAAATTCTACAGATCAACGTAAAATGTTTTAAGCTTTTGTCAAATACGGCTCACTCACTTCTGGATCATGGACTGCCACTCGCCCTCCCGCTCCCCGATGGGGCAGCGGTCGATCTGGGCCTGGATCTTCGTCCTCCACTCGCGCATGTAGTCCTCGATGTCGAACACGAAGGGGTGCTGGCCGAAGTTGGCGTCAACCACCTCGCCTGGAGTCTGAAGGCCGACGGTCGGGTACAAGTTGGGCTGCAGCGGGGGGAGATTGGGGGTCAGGATTAGGATTAGATCACATTTATTGCAGATATTAACCCTTGCTCATCTATCGAGCGGCTCAACAAACGGAACCGATGTCCCAGGCATTATGGACATTTTATCCAATCTCTTGTTTGGTGGAACTCCCAAGCCGCAAAGTCCTGGGCCCTCCGGGGCCGCATCTCCACGGAGACGTATCAACTCAAACCGACCGTGGAAGAACAAACCACAACCGCCGCTTTGTGCATGTTGGAGAAGCGCGAGATGGATCCCGAACCCACGTCGCGTCAGATGGTTTATTGCGGTTCTGTTGTGATTTAATGTGTGAACAGACTAAAGAGAGGCGGTGCAGAAATAACTACAAAATTATTTTAAAGATTTAGCTCATCGTAATGTGTCTGAATTCATTCTGTTAGTTCTCTCTGTGGGACAACAAGCCTGTTTTCTGAATGCCGTTTGGATCGACCGCTGCTAAGCTAAGCTAACGTTGGAGCTGCTCCATCAACAGTCACACAGACGTGGTCTCTCTAGTAATACGAGATATCATTTCCTCCAACAAGGAGAAGCTCGATGCTGGTGGGAGGTTTAGGGAGTAAATCCAGTCAACTAAAGGCTCCACAAGAACACTACTACAAAAGATGTGTGTGTGTGTGTGTGTGTGTGTGTGTGAGAGAGTGATCTGTGTCGCGCTCCAATGCGCACACAGGTCAGCAGTGCGGGGTGACGCACTTGGCCGCACGGCCGTGGAGGAACACGAATGTTCTGCTGCTCAATGGATTATTGTTGTGGGTAAGACGCTTATTTTCTTCCCCCAGTAGAAAAGAAATGACCAACCAACAGTCCGCGCCTTCGTATTCATCAAGCAGGAAGGAATAAATGAGCCCAAGTCTCCTCACGTCAATATGGCTCATGCCTGCAGGCATATATAGATGAATTTTGTGCGTGTGGGGGGGCTTCACATAAAGAAAGAAGCACAGGAGCGAGACCCGACGGCACGGAGCAGCACAACCGTTGTTCTGTTGGGACCCCCGGGGCCGGCAAAGAGGCGCCTCAGTACTAATTAAACTTGTGACTTGTGCAGTTTTAACAAACACTGGAGTCACCGCCTGATGGAGGAGCAGGAAGGTGTCACTCACTCACAAGTGTGAAACGAGCCCAGCCGTCATTCAGCAGACAGGAGAGGACAAAACGAGGGTACTTACGGGGAGGTCTGTGAAGGCGATGCCTGCAGAGGAAGAGAGAACAAGTCAGCATTAAACACACACACACACGTCAGGAGAACCCGGTTTCTTTACGCAGACAAAGAAAGATGGAGTCTGAGCAGCACACAGTCATTAGAATAAATTCAATCCAACGTTCAGGTGTAAATGTAGCAGGTAAGAGTCAGGATCTTCATTATGCGTGGAATATGCTTAACTAGAAAATGCATTTCCTGCTGAAAATGCGTTGGAATGCAAAAAGCTGAAAGCTGAAATGAACTTTTTAAAATAGCTGAAAATACAGAAAGTTGAAGGGAATTTGAATACATTTGCTGAAATTATAGATATTAGAAAAGCTGAAATGAATTTGAAATTGCTGAAAATACAGAAATGGGAGAAGCTGAAAGGAATTTCAATAGATTTGCTGAAAAAGCAGAAATGAAAACAGCTGAAATAAATTTGAAATATTGCAAAAAAATACAGAAATGAATATTGAAAAATTGCTGTTGATAGAGGCATAAGAATAGCTGAAATTATTTTAAAGAACTGCTGAAAATACAGGAAGTGGGGAAGCTGAATTTCAATAGATTTTCTAAAAACAGAAGTTGCAGGAGCTTAAATTTGTTTAAAATTGTTTGTAGTAATATTAGTAGTAGTATTAGTTATAATTGTGGTATTAGTAGTACTAGCAGTAATAGTAGGTTTAGTAATAATAGCAGTAGAAACAGCTGTAATACTATTAGCCATAGTCGTATTTGTAATAACATTAGTAGTAGTTGTAGTATTAATAGCAGTAGAAATACTAGTAGTATGGTAGTAGAAGTATCAGTTGTAGTACTAGAAGTACGAGTAATATTCGTAGTGGGAGACAGAATGTTTGTTATTCAAACTAAGAAGTTTTTAATTAATAGGCCTCATCACAAACATTACAGTAAAAATTCCCTCCATGTGGCTTTTATTCTGAAATTATTGGATTGAGTGGGTTGGGGGGGTGTAGATAGAGGGAGGGAGGCTGAGAGGGTGATGAAGGGAGGGGTCGTGAGGAAGAGATAGAGGGAGAGAGAGAGAGGAGGAGAAATAGACACACTACTGACTGACTGAGTGATTAACAGTGAGAAGAAGTCAGGTTGCAGGGGGGAGGGGGGGCGAGTGTCTTTATCATATTGGTCTGAGACAAAAAGCATAGCTCCGTCATGTAACTCCACTAATCACGTCATTGGAGCAGCTGTGAGTCACACACAGAGATACTGCAGCGTGTTTACGAGTAACCACGGCAACGGCGCACCTATTGGATTGGGTGGGGTGGGGGGGTGTAGATAGAGGGAGGGAGGGTGAGAGGGTGAGGAAGGGAATGGTGGTGAGGAAGAGAGGGAGAGGGGAGGAGAATTAGACAGACTGACTGACTGAGAGTGATTAACAGTAAGTAGAGGTCAGGGTGGAGGGGGGAGGGGGGCTAGTGTCTTTATCATATTGGTCTGTTGACAGAAAGCATAGCTGCGTCATGTGACTCCACTAATCAGGTCATAGGAGCGAGCAGCTGTGAGCCACAGACAGATCCTGCAGCGTGTGATTGCTCGTAACCACGACAACGACGCACCTGTGCGGCTGCAAAAGTGCAGACACAGGACAGCGAGTTACACAGAATCCACACCTCAAACAAATGAGAACCAGCGCAAAACTATAACAGCTATCTAAAAAATACGGCGTTTGTATGAGACCCAAGACTCTACCGAACGCGTGGATGTGTTTTTATGTCTGTCCGGTAATAAATACGGCTCCTATGGCCGTTGACAGAACGTGTACCTTGTGGATTTTTGTGAGAAATATGTCGGCAGATTTGTATTGGAGCCTATGGGGCTTTTGGCAGAGGTTGTGTCACTCAAACACTCCTTGCGCCAAAACTAAAAAACTCTGAGATTCCATGAACACATTAATCCAATCAGCACAACCATACCCTCATTAATCTGAAGAAATGAAGCCTCTAGAGTGTATACTTTGGCTGCAAGGACAGAAGTTCCATACTTTTTTAACCAGATTTCTGCGATGCCCCACACTCTAGCCTGCGAGGCCCCGCCTCTAGCAGACGCAATACACACTCATGTAAAAGTCAGAAACGGAGCGAAAAACTAGTGAAACATAATCAGTGATTATGAAAAAAGTACAATAGATATCCACAAGCAGTTTTTTTCATAAAATAGTTGAGACTTGTGTGAACATTTGAGAGTTGAAATGGTGTCTGTAGCTGAAAGATTTGCGAAGCTGAAAAATCTGAAAGTTGAAGAAGTTTAGGAGGATTTGAAAGCAAACTCCATTTGAAAACCATGTTAAAATATTAATGATTATTGATTTATATAAATTCAAGCATAAGAGGTAGAAAGCTGAAAAGTCATAGCCCTCAAGCCAGAAAGGAGCTGAACATTTTAATATTTGAACGGTTTTAATAGCTGAAAGTGTGAAGGAGTTGAAAGGTGCCGCGGAAGAAATAGAAGATGAAGAATAAAGATTCGAAGAACAATACTTGGAATGCATCTCAATGCATTCCAACAATAATATGAAATATGCTTAAAACCTCCAGCTGCATTGCACATGTAGTGAGGAAACAAAGCGCTCACCCAGGCTGTGGCCGTTCTTGGTGTAGAAGCAGGTGTTGTTGATGAGGTTGACGCAGCAGCCGATCACGTCGCCCGTGGTGAACGTGGGTCCGTAGGGCTGCCCGGTGCCGGACGAGCAGAAGGAGTGACCGTCGTCTCCGTGGTAACCATACGAGTGCTTGTCCCAACCTGAGAGACGTGAGGCGTCAGTCTCAATACTCACACATTAATAACCACAACACTACTACCAGCCCCCACATATTGATGAAGATGAATGGGTAATCCACATTAGTGTGTGTCTGTTTTAGTCCATCAATTGTTTTCCACAATATACTAACAGGCAGCCAACCAGCATCGAGCGCATTATTTATGCTATTTTGAGGCAATGACAGACGCCTCCGACAACAACTGTGGAAGAAAGCCGGATTAAGAATTTGATATGTTAAATGTATATATAAACACATATGTTTTCTAAGAATTCGCTGTGTGAATATTGCCAGCCACTATTAGACACCCATGTAGGTCAACCACTAATCCAGACGTCACTCAAGCATTTCCGTTTAATACGCTGACACACACACACACACACACACACACACACACACACACACACACACACACACACACACACACACACACACACACACACACACACACACACACACACACACACACACACACACACACACACACACACACACACACAAAGGTTTTTCCACCTTTGAAACTCCTCCTCCGCGCCTGACCGGACGGTGCTTAACTCTGTACATCACTTATGTGTAGACATCTTGCATCCTGTAGCAGCGTCTCCCACGGTAACACAACTTCAGTATTCAGCAGTAAACAGACGGTTCTTCTCGGTGCCTCCGAGAGGGAACAAAACTGAACACATGCAGAGTGACGTCTTACCGGGGAGTCTGTTCATGTTCACGCCCTGAGCAGAGAGGCCGATGCCCATGTACCTGTGCACAAGAGGGTTGAGTTTAACTCCATATGAAGAGAAAAAGTACCCTAATAAATGAATATGGTCCATAACTGTCTGCAGCCACATCAACAGCCTGTGGTGTTGTAATGTTTAAAGATTAAATTAAAACTGTTTGACTCCCACGTTGGACCCGCTACACAAACGCCCCTGTGACAGATTAAATGGGGGAATTTATTAGAACGATTAAAAAGTATCCAGACATCTGGGGTTGAGGAGGGTCAATTGGTCAGGTCGCTCTGCGTTACGCACTCTGACATGTATTTAAAAAATTAAAAACCTAGTCGCTGAACAGGAAGCCACTGGCGTGTAAATTAGATTTAGACGACGTCACAACGTGGCAGCGTGCTACAAAAACATCCGATAATCTCAAATGTGGAATTTGAATCTGCTGTGGGAGACAGAATAACCAACGACTACTGGACAGTACGTTAAAATATGCTGATGTGGGGTCATTTCTCCAATAACAAAGAGCCCCAATGAGAGACTCAAAGGACGCGTCTCGATGACGTAATCAAACGCTGGCGTCCTTACCCGTCTCGGCCTTTGCTGATGATCTTCACCTCGAAGTAATAGACGCCGCAGGCAGCCGGGATGGGGTGGGTGGCCCGAACAGACGCCGCATCTTTTGGGGTTTTGCCGTGACCTTTGGGGAAGGTAACGTTTTTTTAAAGACACATGAAGACAACGGGGTGACAGTGGCGCATGGAGCCATTTTTATTCACTTTAAATCAACGCACAGTGAAGGAATGCATGTGGAGCTTCAGGACGAATAGCTTTGAGGACTAAACCCTCGACCTTTTTCAGAAACAAAGACCTGCAGGAGCCGAGGGAAAAACCTCTCTGCATCTTTCAATGGAAAGCAAAAAGGTTCCTCATGTTGGTCACTGGTTCTGTGTTATTGTGTGTTCTGGAACGTTGACAATTAAAAAGGAGACATTTACCCCACTGAAGAAAACCTAATGAGCAGAGACGCCATCTAAAAACTTGTGTATAATATTTTGCGTGTTGATAAATGCAAACATTAGCGCATTAACGCTCTGAATCTGGAGCCGCTCGTCCCGTTAGCCTCTAAAGCTATCGTTAGCTCAAGCTGCTTCATTGCAGTGTTATTAGGGGTCAGATATGAAGTTATTACAATGTGACAACGCCTGCTGTTGTTGTGGTAATTCAACGTGTACCACTGATATAATATATTACTAAACGTCAGCTACATTGGTCACTTTCTCTGTGCAAAACAAGCCAGTTGGGGAAAAAAAAACAGCAATCCAGGAAACAGCTTTGTAATTTATCCAAATGTTCCTGTAGAAACCAGATGAGTTTGTTATTTAGATACAAATGGATTTGCTTTGGTTCTACCCGGACCACAATCAGAACATTGTGAAACATCGTTAACCAAGAGCCCAATTTAACATCATTACTTTGATCGTGTCAAACCAACTGAATATTTGACTCGAGGAAACCTAGAAATGAGCCAATCACATCTTTAGTTTGGCTTGTCTCTGATGAAACCCAAAATGCTGATGATTAATCCACAATATATTTGTAAAAATAAGTCATGGTGTTTACCGTTTAATATAAATAACAATAGATGACTCCAAGACTAACAACACCAACTTTAATCCATATTGATAGAATTCCTTCCACAATTGCCGCAGCACACAGATGACCTTCCATCTCCGGCTCAACCCTGCTGGGGAAACTATGAATACGCAAATGATCTTTGATGCTATAAGGCCTAATATTGACGTGGTTAATGAAAGAACAAAAAGCCAAGAAAAGAAGTTGTCAGTGTTGGAATGCTGAAAGCTGCTGAAGCTCCTGCACACCTGCAGTGAGACGTCCAGGTGAGTGCGTGCTGCATGGAGACAGAACATTCTGGCTGAAGGAGTGTGCGTGGAGGGCCTGGTCAGACCCAGAACAGTAGAACACACCCTGGAAGCTCAGCTGCACCTCCTCTTGTAGGCCGACACACAGAAAAAAACACTCCGAATAGCTTTGCCGAAAGCCCTGAATGTCACTTTACATGAAAAACCCTCCACGTCACACTACCTGTACCTGTCAATCAGTCACTGGATCAATTATTCTGAATGACTTGAGCCGCTGGTGACACTCGACACGGTGTATTTCCTGTCATTTAGACCCCCAGTAATGCTACATTAGCCTACCAACAGCGCGGTGTAGCTAACACACAACGGTGCGATTGTGTGACTCACATCGGGACTAAACAGCCTGACATTTACTTTTGTTAACGGATGGTTCAACGTCAAATGGGTTATATTTATAGTAAATAATGCGGAAGCTCCATGTTGCCGACATCAGTTAGCTGGGACAGGGGGGCTAACAGGTCAATTTTAGTTTTGCCTGTGGATACCTCGCCAGCTGGTCGGGGTTTGCAAGATGTCCTCTGCCTTGTTGTTGATGAAGCCACTCGCCTAGCCTACTTTGTTTTTAGCCGCAACGGATCCGCTAGGCTAAGCTAACACCAGCCACAACGGCTGCTAGCTCTGATCGGGGAAGCTATGCTAACACTAGCCACAACTGCAGCTGGCTTTGATCCGCCAACCGTCAAAAAGCTAGGCTAACGTTAGCCAAGTTGGCGTCACCCACCTCCTGAGCAACTCGAAGCGGCGATGACTCTCGGTGTCCTACCTTTGTAGTGGACGCGGAGGTTGTTCTGAGACAGCCCAATATAGCTGAACTTGTCCTTCGGGCTCCAGGATCTCGGGAGCGGGGTCTCGGTTTCGTTAACGGCCGGGTAGAGCCGTCGGAGCCGCTGGTTGAGCTCCTTTTCCTGTTCGTTCAGAGCGGAGTCTCCGTGGACGACAACCGACATCAGGAACCCGCAGCCCGACGACTGTCCGGACATGGCTACGACGCGAGTTTGGGGAAGAATTGGCTTGTTAGCAACAAGCCAGAGACACCTGTTTCCGTCAGTGTCAAGTTTTTTTTTTTAAATAGAAGAAAAAAAATGGGTGGGTTAGCAAAGACAGCTAGCGGGCTAAGCTAGCGGGCTTCGCTGTACGTAGCGAGGCAGCCAGAGCTGGTTAGCCGAGGAGCTAACCTGGCTAACGCGCTTAGCTTGAGCGAGCGAAAAGGCAAACGCGATCGGGTTCAAGTTGACATTCGCCGACGCAAAGTCACGAATAGACACGTTCAGAGGAGGACCCACCTGCCACGCAGGACACGGAGAAACCCGTTAAAAAGAGCAGGCCGGTAAGTCGTCGTTGCGAGCAAAGTAAGTAGTGACGTTAGCGCAGACGGATCGGGTGAAGCATAATGAGCTCAGCTAGCCGCGATCTTTTGTTTGTTGTCGGAGCGTTATCCGCCGATCTGATTGGCTGAGGCGGCCGCTCGCTCCTTCCTGCGGGAGCGTGTCACGAGGACACAACACGCGCAGCCGAGCGGACGATGTGACATTTTACAGCAGGAGGGACGCGGCAAACCGTTTACACGTTCATTGCAGAAGTAACGTGCGCTACACGTGTTGCACAGTGTGCTTTGACGTGTGTGTTTGTCCTGCTATTTGGGACATTTGGGGTCGACTCATTTTTAGTGGGTTCGGTGCAGGTTTAGTTTCGATGGATGTCGACTTTATTTTAGTTGTTGCCAGCAGAAGGTCAGTTTGTGGTCGTAGTTTTGAGTGTGGATACATTTATGTTTATTTTGTTTTTGCACCTCAGTGCACTGAACAACAGCTTCATCATGTCTAAAACTGAAAAGTATAAGAGCAGGTTTAAGCTAAAAGAAATGTCTATATCTATGTATCTATCTATATATATATATCTATATATATATATATATATATATATATATATATATATATATATTACTTATTTTCTGCATCAAATGCAAATAAAGTCATAAATGTTATAAAATGCAGTTTTCTAACCCTAACCCTTTTTGATATTCTGTTTCTCACTGTTAAAATACACCTAGCCTACCATTATTAGCTTAGTTCCTTCTCAAGCGATCTCCATGTTGGGAGCCATGAGGAGGCAACAGTTATGCTCATGAACACGTTCTCCTTCAGCGTCTCTGGACCCTGGAGGTTCTAAGGTCCAGTTGAGCCTCGCGGCGTGGTTGCCTCATTTAATGAATGAACTCAAATACAAACATCAGCTTGGTGTCGTGGTGTTTTTTTGGATCATGTTAGGCCGAAGGAAGGCTGTGCTCGGTCAGTGGACACGTGGGAATGTGCATTGCATCACGGTGGAGGAATCTGAAATGAAGCTACGGTCCCTGTAGGGAGGCACTTGCTCAGATTGCTGTTGATCACCAGCCGTACGAGGACAAACTGTCCGGGGGAAAAGATCCCCACTGTTTGTTTTACATCCTGCTAGAACTAGTTTAACATGGCGGCAATGGAAGAAGTGCTCTAAACATGTGGTACAATGGAAGAAGTGCTTTAAACATGTGGTACAATGGAAGAAGTGCTTTAAACATGTGGTACAATGGAAGAAGTGCTTTAAACATCTGGTACAATGGAAGAAGTGCTTTAAACATGTGGTACAATGGAAGAAGTGCTTTAAACATCTGGTTAAACGGAAGATTTCAGTGCAGTCTAAAGGAAAGTCCTGAAAGGGAAGTGTATGTTTTTACGTTACTATGAGTATTTCATTTTGTATTAACTTTTTATTCCACCACATTTATTTGACTGCCACTAGCTGCTTTCCAGTTTAAGATTCACATATATAAAAAAACATATAACAAGACCAGTTTCTTTATGAATACATTTGGATCTCTGATTTTCTTTTTTAACCGCTCGAAAAATAGTTTTTACAACATTTTCATGCAATTAAACTTTATTCTTAAATGAGGGGAAAGGTATCTTTCAACATTCAACAAAATTAAAATAGCTACAAAACGACTTTGTTTATTTAAAAAAAAAATTAACGGTATGACTTTTTGTGACTGAAATAGAAACCAAAATTCTATAAAAGTCCTAAAACTCAAACTTGCTCCATCCTCAAGCATCAGTATATGTATTATAATATCAAGTCACATGTTTCTGTAGAGTTACTTTACACAAAATAAGGGAGACTTTAACGCTGCGCTTTTAATATAGCATTGTTTTTTACATTAATGCGCTACGGCTTCAGCTTGAGTAAACACACACTCTTGGAATGTTCACCTAAGAGTCTGAATAAATAGATTCGTTCCAAAGAAATATGATGTGTAATTAAGTTGCAGTAGAGTAATGTTGTCTTTTTATGGATTCTAAGGTACTAAATAATATTCTGCAGAATCAGTGAGCTGTGTGTTACAAGCGAATATTGAGGAATAAAAGTGAAATAAATAAGTTGTAACACATACGTCCTGTGAGGTTTCGGGCCTCTGGTGGTGCTGTTGAGCCACGTTTTCACAACTGGCTGTGTTTTAATACACTGAACAAAATCTACCTCCTGTTGTCTGTAACGCGATGTGCCAACAAAGGCACGAGGACGAGGACTGTTAACACCATTTAAAACCTAAAACCAAATCAGTATTTAACAGGGAATGAAATGCATTTAACATGCTGGTTGGACCTCAAAGATACACACAATGCGCTTTGCTCAGAAACACCGGAAGCTGGAGTTTGTGTTGATTATTTTTGGGATGTGGTGAAGCAGCAGATGAGGATCAGTCTCTCTTTGTGTCACTAGGGGGGGTTTGTGGGGGGGGTTCAGACTGAGATATGAGTCATAGCGTAACGCTGCCCTCCTTCTCCAGCTTCCACAAACAGAGCTGGAAGACATCTGAGGTTCCTCTTATTTCACAGAGGGTTCCTGTCACACGTGTTTGAACGCGTTGTAGATTTGTGTACAAATGATCTGCATGACAAAATACTTGAGAAAAGATGATTTACTTACTACGAGTCAGCAAGAAATCAGGAATCAGGAAACAATTATTGCCATAATGTGTCAGACATACAAGGAATGTGACTTGGCGGTTGGTGCGTAACAGCAGACAGTACGACAACGGACGACAAGACAACAGTGCACGAGGAATAAAATAAAGAAATGTATGAAGTGTCCTGGAGGTTTAAATAAAAAACACATTCAACAAGCTTTAACTGGTATTAGTTTTACTTGTATCGTCCACACAAATCTACTGTTCTAAATGGTGCCGGGCAGCGAGCTGAAGAACAGCAGAACCAAAACATAATGATCCCCCTTTTCTCTGTTTTTATTCAAAGAACCACCAAGACATCATAATGTTAAAGTCGACTTTGATGCACGTGTGGCTGAGACACACAAATGACATCCACAGGTTATTAATACCTAAAACACCTTCAGGTTTCTGACCACAGCTGTCAGCTGTCACTCGTCTTGCAGATGACAGGGGAATTGGCGTTAACGTTTTAGCTCAATCCGACGCTCCTTATCTCTACTGGGTCATTAGTGGCCCACCAGGCTAAACAGAGCACACATGAACGTGTACAACAATAAAACGGCCAAACTGTGAGCTCCACAATGTTCTTGCTCTCTTCCTCAGAGAAGCACAGGAGCATCCCTCCCCGGCAGCAGCATCGGCCGGCCGGCCTGGTGCCGTCACGGCGGCACGCAGTCCCACAGCTCGTGGTAGACGCACTGGCAGAACCCGTAGACCATGATCACGACGAGGCTGGCGGGGACCAGGCTCACCAGCAGCAGCCCGACGGTGGTCCTCTGCATGATGAGCAGGTAGACCCCCATGGGCAGCGAGCTGAAGTACAGCAGGCCCAGCACCCACACCAGCACCCGGGCCGAGGTCTGGCACAGCTGGGACGCGCAGTTCCACGCCGTCCACCTGTGCGCGATGGACGCCGTGGAGTCCAGGCTGGAGGAGCGGAAGCCCCCGCGGGGGCCACGCGGCTGGCGGCGGAGGTCTTCGCCGGAGGCGGGGAGCGGCATCGGAGGGGGAGGCGTCTCCATGATGGTGATGACCACGAAGTTTGGGGAGCCCCGGACGGAGGAGTAGGCGTTGGAGGAGGAGGAAGCAGAGGAAGCGGAGGAGGAGGAGGAGGAGGAGGATGTTGTGGGGGGGCCGCCGCCCATGAGGGAGCTCAGGAGCCCCGGGCTGAGGAGCAGCTCCGTGGTCGCCTCCTGGCGGGAGTGGAGGTTCCTCTGATTCCTGCTTTGGAGCGCCAGCGCCGCCGCCAGGTTGCAGTCGTCCGGCAGGCCGCTCACCGCCTGCCCCGGCAGGCCGGTGACGTAGCGGCAGAACGGGCACGCCACGGCGTCGGGAGGAGACTCACCCAGGTCCAGGATCTTGGCGAGGCACTTGGCGCACAGCCGGTGGCAGCACCCCAGAACCTTCGGCCTGCGAGCGGCCAGGTTGTACGCGCTGTAGCAGATCTTACACTCGAGCTCATCCGCGCTCGGCGCGTCCACTTCGGGGCTCTGCAGCTCGATCACCATCTTGACCCCTGACCTCCAGATCGACAGGAGGACGCAGCCCAAAGCTCCGGTCCAGGCTCAGCACCGAGGGACACGGCGAGTTTCCCATAGATGGAGACGGAGACAACGGTCCACTCCACCGGAGGTCTGGGGTTCATTGTGGCCGTCCAACCGGCTCCTGCAGTGTGTGTGTGTGTGTGTGAGAGAGGGAGAGAGAGAGAGAGAGGGAGAGGGAGAGAGGGTGAGAGAGAGAGGGGGGGGGATGATGAGGGGAAGACCCTCGTGTGTTCTGGCCCCTGAAGGTTTTCTGTCTCTGCGCAGTTGGGGCGTAACGCTGCTTCGTTTGGGGCAAAAAAAAGACTTTCATGGCCCGTGTAAAAAAGTGAGAGAGAGAGAGAGAGAGAGAGAGAGAGGGAGAGAGAGTGAGAGAGAGAGAGAGAGAGGGAGATACTGTGAACACAGCATGAGAAGAGAACAATCACGCAAAGGGACAACAAGGAGAAGCCTGTGCACACCAGAGCTCGATTTTTTGAGGATGATCTTTTGTTGCTCAGTGAAAATGAGTGCAATTAGAGGGGCACACACACACACACACACATACACACACACACACACACACACACACACACACACACCTACACACACACACACACACACACACACATACACACTCACACACACACACACACACCTACACACACACACACACACCTACACACACCTACACACTCATACACATACATACACATACACACACACCTACACACTCATACACACACACACACACACACACACACACACACACCTACACACACACACACACACACACACACACACACCTACACACTCACACACACACACACACACCTACACACTCACACACACACACACACACACACTCACACACAACGGCAGACACATATGTAAACGCACACACACGCATACGTAAACCTACACACTCATACACACACCTACACACACCTACACACACACACACACACACACACACACCTACACACTCATACACACACACACACACACACACCTACACACTCATACACACACACACACACACACATACATACACACACACACACACACCCCTACACACACACACTCACCTACACACTCATACACACACACACACACACATACATACACACACACACACACACCCCTACACACACACACTCACCTACACACTCATACACACAACGGCAGACACACCCATATGTAAACCTACACACTCACACACACACCTACACTCACACACAGACGCATAAGAAGACATAAGTTTAAGTGTGATAAACACAAGTTATATATGTTACATATGTAACTATATGTTACATATGTATACATGTAACATATAGTTACATATGTAACTATATGTTACATATGTAACTATATATGTAACATATAGTTACATATGTTAATACGTTTTTTTCACGTCGTCCATATGAACCAATCTTTCCCAAAGGGTTTTCAAAGCGTTCCTCTGGGGTGGAACCATTGCACCACCGTGGGGTCCTCGGTAGAACCTGTAACGGGGGGTCACGGGTTAGTAGCCGCTCACAGATGGTTCTAGGTCAATACCGTTTGTATATTAAGCGTTCAAGCCGACATCAAGATGGAGACCAGCTGAAGAACGCGGCTCGTGGGTGGAAAGTGGAGCAGGTCGTTGTTGGGGGATCACGGTTTGGCGCCGAGCTCTGGATTCGGGTCCAGGACAGTGCAGAGTACATTTGGGTCATCGTCTCTTTGTGGTCCTTTGTCTTGGAAAGACGGCTTCATTCTGACTCCGTCATGTGACAAAAGAGGTTTGTCCAATAAGTCGTTGAGGAAACAGAATGAAATCAGCTCATTGTGAGTTTTTCAGTTAACACAAAACAAACACAGGAAATAAACTAAAACGGATAATCGCCTCGTTGTTCGATGCCTCCAGCAACCTGTCGACTTCTGTCCAAAATGTCCTCACATTATGATCAGCATGTCAACATTAAGTTGTGCTGCATTAAAGAATCATGATGTAATCATTTCCTACTTGAGTCCAGCTGGAAGTTTGGTCCACATTTTGATAAAGTTTCACGAGATTACCTAAGAATATGAGGTGATGGTAACATTTTAACAAATGTTTATTTATTTATTCTTCACATTTACAAGTCAATATCAATTTCAAACATTACATTTTCAGGATACTTCGTGTTATTTTACATTAATAAATAATTGATGTTTGCCAGCATGCAAGGACAGATGTTGAATGTTTAATGAGTGTTGAGCTGCATTCTCTCTGTAGTGACCAGCAGACGTCTGTGAGAAAATGACTCTACTTCTCTCTTGATTTATTCCCTCAGTAAACACTGTACACATTAGTTTATGGTCCCAATCTCAAGTCTTCTACAATTAATAGCACAAGTCCAAATGTTTTATGTGAATAAAAAGCCTGTAAATTAATTGTGAGGTTGTTTTGCTTTGATGATTTAAGTTAATCATTATTGGACCACTAGGGGGCAACACAACAGCCTCTGTTTACACTTCCCCTTAGAACGGAGAACATCTCGTTTCTCATCTGTTTACATGCTTGTGTTTGTCTTTTCATATTTTACACATCACATGTAATATAACAGGAGCCTTTAGAGCGCAAACAAATGAGCCACACTACAATAAACACACATGACGTCACAACCTGAACCGAAACAAAACAAGCAGCAGCTGACTGAAAGTGCACACGACGGGAAGTGGAGGGATTGGACTTCCACAATAAAAAGGGATAACAATAAAAAACTATTGTGTAATTGCAGTGGTGCAAGCGGCAAAAAAACAAATTCAACATTTACTTTTGCATCACAATTCCTCTCAGATTAGAAGGTTAACCCTCGAGTCAGGCAAATAAATATAGTTTTGATTTTAGACCAACAACCCTCCTATTCATGTGGACATCATTAAGGCTATAATCATACCAAAGGGAACGTCTGCTTTTTTATTTTGAAAACCCCACCACCGGAAGCGCTGTCATACCTCCGCCGGCTCAGCTTGACCGCCGCCTCTGCCGCGCAGCGGAGCGGAAGGATCCCATTGGTCGCGTTGCGATGTTGGGGAGCCGGGAAACGGGAACCGCGGGGTGCCGGGAGGCGGCCGCCGGGCCTCCGGGGCCCGTGAGCCGGGCAGACCGCCGGGAGGAGACGCCCGCGGCCGGCGCAGGGTGTCGCCCCCCCGGCCTGGTGAACTGGAGGCGGAGACCGTGCAGGACTTCAGCCCTGTTCGCTGCAGCCAACGCGCTCCTCTGGTGGGCGGCATGACGCACCCCGCCGCTCATTCATGTTTATATATAAAGACTTTATTAGGAATAGATTTACCCACATTTAATGTTGCTGAGGGTCTTCTCTTATTCTTTTGTTTAGTTTACTTGATCAACATATATTTGTGTGTATACATTTCTGTATCTATATATCATCCTAACAAAATGTTGAATTTAAAAATTGCTAAAATAATAACTAAAATTACCATTAAAAGGATTTTGGTTTTCCTTACATAGAATTAACTAGTCAATAATCATAAAAGTTGATTGAAATTCTGTTGATCGTTAAAGCAACAATATGAGAATATATTCTTCTTTATTGAGAGTATTGTTGCGTCATCAAAGGCTTATTGAGTTGAGGAAGTTTGAATGACGTGTGACTTTTTGCTTTCCCTTCAGGTTCGTGGCCTTCAGCTCCTTCCGAGCCTGCAGCCTCCTCGCCGCCACCCTGGCTCTGCTGGTTGTCACGGTTACCGCCAGGGACATCGTCCGGTCCAGATCCACAGGTACCACTAAATGTCTTATTATTTAGCTGTGTATTTACACACATTTAGTTACAAATAGTCCATTCAAAGGTAACCAGTAGTTACAATCTGTCTAGCAACGCGGCTTTGAGGGAGCCCAGTTGTTCGGGGCTGAAAGGTACTCGCAAACCTCCCTTCCAGTACTATGAAGTACAACATGTCCGCAGGCTTCTGTGTACTTACAGAAGGGCTGATTTCAGTAGTGGAACATATTGCTGTTACATAGCCTTCGAGGTGGAAACGGTAGTCTGATCCGCCCTGTTTATACACCTGTAATAAACGTACGGTGTGATAGTTATGAGCAGCTCTGTAAGCGTGTGACAACATCTATGTCAACATGTTCTGTTATGGATCATCTGTTCATACTGCAGCCTCATTTATCTCAGCAGGCATTTACTCTCGTTATTATGTGACCTTCCTGAATAATAGATGTCTTCTCTCCCACAGGAGCTCACTTGTGGCGCAGCATGACAGCAAGGTAGGAATCCCAAGTGCACGTGAAGGTCGTCTGTTGGTGTGCGTGTGTGTGTGTGTGTGTGTTTTAAGTCTAGAAACACATCTGATCTGTGATCGGGGATCATCTCATTGGTTTAGGACAGTTGGTGGGCGGGGTCCAAACTCTGGGTTGTTTTATGCTCTAATTCATTCTGAAAACTAGGAACTTAAAAATACATTTAAAGTAAAATAAATAAATAATATGGTGACGATCTTCGTGCTAAAGTAGTCTGGAGGTATTTTCAGCTCAGAAGCCTAAATAAGAAAAGACCGCTATTAATTATTCTATTACACCATCAATTATAAATTGTATCTACATTAGCGAGAAGGAAAAGTGACACAAACTTTGTCTTCTCTCAATTCTTAATCTCTGATGATGTTTAAAGATTTTCATAAACTGGAATCACACATCAGAGATGAGCTCTGGCGGGTCGGACAATCGCCCCGACAGCAAATTGAGAATCTGCCGCCCGGCGAAGCTGATTGGTCACAAAGGACCATGTGATCTAATCCTTTACGGAGCTCCAAGTCGCCAAAAATCCCACACTCAACAAGAAGGATGGAGTGATGGGGAGTAGCATTAAAGTGTGTCAGAGTCCGCCTCCCCTGGTCCAATCAGAGCCCTTCTCCCCTGGTCCAATCAGAGCCCTTCTCCTCTGGTCCAATCACAGCCCACCTCCTCTGGTCCAATCACAGCCCAGGCTGGGTTAGCTTAGCTTCCCTCTCCTCTGTGGGTCAGCTCGGTGGTGTTTGGTCCTTCAGGTCCATCTGGGTGGTCAGGGATCTTCTCAAAGTCTACAGCGCTTAATCCTTTTTCAGATGCTGATAAATGTTTTCTGTCACACGACATTAGTGATGAACACAAAACAACACCAACAAACACAAACGGTTGCCATGTTGGAATCTCCTGAAATGGTCCCCGCGCTCACTGGGCCTCCTTTGAAGGGAGATTTCCCATCGACAGACTGAAGACCTGCTGAATCACACTTCCTTTCTCGCTGACATGTGACCAGCGGGGTGTTTTGTGTTGCGTTGTCGTCACCTGCTGTTGTCCGTCAGGAGTGTCTTCTAAGTATTTGTCGAGTGAAGGATTGTGGGCGATCAGCCGCTGACCCAAAATGCGAGCGGTCAGCTGGGATGTCTGAGGCAGCCGTGCCTCCCTGTCGGGTGTGTGACAGAGATATCAGATGGTATGAAACCAGAGAGGTGCACTCAGAAGAGTCGAGTTCCCGACAGGTGCGTCTCTCTGGGCTCCAAGAACCTTGACGCGGCGGCCGGGTGTCGGTACTCAGTACGGACTGACAGCTCACTTCTACCTTCTAAAAACCGTAGAAGTGAGTGAGAGGATCTCAGCGCGAAGGTCCGTTAGCGGTTGTCCAATGTCACAAAAACAATGTATATCAAATAACATAACCGAGCAGTTGTGTTGCCTGAAACTACTGAGGTCATTTTATACAGATGTTTGTCATAAAACATTTTAATTGCCCTTAAGGTGGCGACTAAACGCATCACAAAGCACTCAGTAATTTGTTAGATTTATCTTCTTACATTTGACGAAGATGAGATTCTGACTGAAAGAGATGAAGTTAGTATCACCGGCATAAAGAGCGGCATCATCTGTGAGTATGAAGCCGACATCTCGTGACTCGAATAGATGGATTTTGTTTTTGAGGCTGAGCTTTTGTTTTGTGTCTTAAGAGTTGTGAAACCTGAGCTGTGTGTGTGTGTGTGTGTGTGTGTGACTCAGCTGTTTCTCTGGCTGGGACTGATCCAGGGGAAGAGGGGGAGGAGGGGGGAGACGGGGGAGGGAGTGGGTGCTCCAGAGGAAACCTTCTGATTGGACGGAACACCACAACAAACCGGCCGTGTGAGTAAACAGTCGGTGTCGAAACATGAGTCCAACTTCCAAGAAAGAATGTGTAGTAACGACCGCCGGTGACGCTGTCAAATGTCGCCGCTAACAACGAGTGTACAATGTGTGTTGGATTGTGAAATATTTGTTTTAAATTTTTTGTTCAATGCAATGTGCCACATTGTCAACAAGAGGCTACGGCAATGGCACTACTTTAAGGATATGGTATTTAATCCTACAGAACACAAATCAATAATATGACCTCCAATTTATAGTGAGTTCTCTTATTCTCTTTATGATATACATTTATTTACATACGCCAAATTGTGTTTATTGAATAGATTAAAGTAATGAGATACTTATCTGCTGGTTGGGGGATTTTGTTTCAGGCTTTTTTAGGTCAGTTTCCTTCTGTTTACTTTCTTTATGCTAAGCTAAGCTGCTGTTAGCTGTTTCGTTTATGTCGTACTGATATTAGAGTGTTATCGATCTTATGACTCCATGTCACCGACACGCGGTGGGTGATGGTGATGGTGTTGGTGCAGCTGATGGTTTGTTGAAGGTTGGTGGCCGTGCTGTGGTGCTACAGAGGTTCTGGTTGGTAGTGTCGGGTTGGTTCTTGTTGGTAGTGTCGGGTTGGTTCTTGTTGGTAGTGTCGGGTTGGTAGTGTCGGGTAGTGTCGGGTTGGTAGTGTCGAGTTGGTTCTGGTTGGTATTGTTGGGTTGGTTCTTCTTGGTAGTGTCGAGTTGGTTCTGGTTGGTATTGTTGGGTTGGTTCTTAGTAGTGTCGAGTTGGTTCTGGTTGGTAGTGTCGGGTGGGTTCTGGTTGGTAGTGTCGGGTTGGTTCTTGTTGGTAGTGTCGGGTTGGTTCTTGTTGGTAGTGTCGAGTTGGTTCGTGGTGTGGTAGTGTCGGGTTGTTTCTGGTTGGTAGTGTCGGGTTGGTTCTGGTTGGTAGTGTCGTGTTGGTTCTGGTTGGTAGTGTTGTGTTGGTTCTGGTTGGTAGTGTCGAGTTGGTTTTGGTTGGTTCTGGTTGGTACTGTTGGGTTGGTTCTGGTTGGTTCGGGTTGGTAGTGTTGTGTTGGTTCTGGTTGGTAGTGTCGGGTTGGTTCTTATTGGTTCTGGTTGGTAGTGTCGGGTTGGTTCTGGTTGGTAGTGTCGGGTTGGTGTTGGTAGTGTCGAGTTGGTTTTGGTTGGTTCGGGATGGTAGTGTTGGGTTGGTTCTTATTGGTTCTGGTTGGTAGTGTCGGGTTGGTTCTGGTTGGTAGTGTCGGGTTGGTTCTGGTTGTGGGGTTGAATGGGGTCGGTATTGGGGTTGGTGGTGTATGAGGGTGTTGTTGTCTCCCCCCCCCTCTTGCCCCCCCACACCTCCTGATTGCTGCCAGTCGGGAATGTTGTGTGACCAGGTTATTTTTAGACGAGGCCACTTGAAATACTCCAACCGTGGCTTCATGGAGTATAAACACGGGCGGCGTCCTCGCCGTGTGGCACGTAGACAACCTGAGTTTGTGGCATCGTTTTTTTTCTCACCGCAGAGAGAAGTTCAAACCGTCTCTATCATCTTGACTAGCCGGCGTTTGGCTTCCTTTCAGGGCTCCTTCAGACCTTCTGAAATCACCCAAAGTTCTTGAGATGTCTCCTGAGGACCATGGGACAGGAACGAGGTACTGAGCTGTGTTTGATCTTCTATTTTCCCACTCTCCCTTTTATTATCTTGCTATGTTGTAGTTTCTCACATATTTTTGTTGTGTGGAAACAACAGAAATGAATGGAAACGAATTAACAGTTCTTCAAAAATACTCACTTTACTCAGCTATCCCTCGCTACCTTTAACTAAAGACTCAGCTTGAAGGGAGAAGTGGTAACTGAGAAATTCCTTATTACGGGATTTTTGTGAATAAAACTTAATTCGACCTCAGAGGGGATTCAATCTTGTATTAGTTGGAGTGGGATTTGTGCAATGAGTTTATGAGCTCAAATTGTTATGCGCGTTTGACTCATAACGTCAATACAAACAGATCAACAACAGGAACAACACGGCACGGATCTACTTGGAGAGACGCACACAATGTTGCATCATTGTCCCCATTTCTCCCACCATCACCCCGCTGGCTTACTGGCCTTTACTGTGAACCTGACCAGCCTGACTGTGTTCTCACTCCATTAATGTCAGCTGGCTGTAAATCCGTCTGTACGCAGATGCATGAACAGGTATCAGTCTCTTTAGAGTCGGGGGGTCCGCGGCATGGACCCACGTATCTACACCCCTTCTTCCCACAAGCGACGAGCTCGGGAGCTTTTGCCGCCGTTCCTCGCATTGTTTGTCCGTCTCTATTTATAAGCGCCGTCGCCGGGCTTGTTAGAGGCTCCGACCTGCTGCTTCCCGAGTCGTTTCAGAGATTACTGCTGTGGTAAAAAGGGACATCTGCCCAGCAGCTACTCACGTGGTGCCGCCGCCCCCCCGTCCCCGTCTGGGAGTCCTACTGGGAGTCCTACTGGGAGTCCTACTGGGAGACCCGAGAAGAAAGTTTGACATTTTTAACGAGACGACTGAGGTCTTCGGACTACGGTGGAATCACATCTTTAGTGATTGGTGGACACACTGGGGGGGGGGCGGTGGTCTGTAAACGTGATCTATTCATCTCGCAGTATCCAAAGTGTCTGTGGAGCTCGTGTCACTATTTGTTCTCTGTGCGTATTAATGGGACAGTTATTCTTCTCAAATTGTGCCGATGCTTCAGGATTAAACCAGTGAGGTTAAATTCAACGGAAAGTCTCTGAGAGCAGAGCACACACATAACGTTTCACTTCAAGTTTCACTTCATTATATATATAACGTTATAGTGAAAGTGAAGTGAAACTTTACGGTACTTTATAGAAGAAGACCTGCAGTTGTTCCCAGTGGGACGTCGGATCCTTTTTATCTTTTACTGCTATAATTACTTCACGGCGTCACTGTCACATGTCCCATCGTGTTTCTGTGGAAATGAGCGACCTGACAGCGACATGTGCCTGGAAGTCAAGTCGCAGAGCAGCCGGGTGGCCTTTCGTCATAGGGGCTTGTATAACAGAGCTGGGGGGGTCAGGCGGGCGGAAGGGGGGGGGTTGTCTGTGAGATTGTGTAGCTTCTGCTGAGCGGATGCACCATTGGGAGGGGACGCAGGGTTGGAGGTTTTGGAGGTGTTGTGGGTGGAGGAAGGAAGGGTGATGATTGGTCTTTAAAGATGTTACCAACTCAAGTGTGTTTTGGATAGAAAGTGTCTTCATAGGGACAATGAATAATATGTGTTGTCCTGTCCACTGTCGGTCCAAATATCCATATTAGACAAATATCTCACGAACTATTGGACCAATTTCCATTAACTTTGGTGAATACGTTCATGATCCAGATTATGAGTTGAATCCAGTGAAATATTTCAACAGCTTTAAGGTGGGATGGGCTGACATCATGTACACATTGAGGGTTTGGTAAAGGCCGACTGGTTGGCTTGATGACTTTTAGTCGTCTTATACTTCCACTTGTAAGCAACTGCCTTGAAAAGCACCAAGACTTCTGAGACTTAATGTCGTAGAACAAAAGATGTTTGAATCTCTGAAGCTTCTTTTAACCACACACATTATTTCAGATGTCTAATCCAAACCGCCCAAAGACCATTAAAGAACTTTTCTCAGACACAGTAACTGGAAGCGTAAAACGCTGACTCGCTTGCTGCTTTTAGGACTGTTTGTAATCTAACAACACGTCCTCACATCTTCTTACCCGGCATGGTGGAGACCTCCAGGGAAAGTACCTTCTCTAATGAAACAAACCCCTACGAACCTCACAGCTGTGGTGACTGGCGGGAACTCGCTCGCTGTTGTGGGAACCTGATCTCCATGGTGATTTCACAACAGCTGCTCCCAACGGACACTTAGTTCCCACCCTCTATCGGACTTAAATTAAGTACATTTCCAATGAATCTGATGAAAGGGCGTTGACACCTGTCGGTCTGATTCGTCTGAGTGGGATTATGCTTCTACAACACGAAGCGACGTGTTGTTCCAGAATGCCAACGACGTTTGTTTAGTGTCCGTTAGCTAAGAGAGGAAGAATCTATTTATCCCACATGACTTACACGTGTTTTATTTTTATAGCCGTTTTATGGGACGTGAGCACGAGGGCCCGACCGCGCGGCTCGAACAGGAGGTGTGTTTTGTAGGCGGAGGGGGAAAGTTTCATACCTCACCAGGTGGCCAAGCAGAAACACCTCATGGAAAACACCTTCATGTTCCAGTTCCCATCTGCCACCTCGCCGGCTTCACAGGAGGCTTCTTAATTTAGACCATGACACTGCATTAAGCCCTGCAAATAAACCTCTTCAATCCCAAATGTTAAGACTATTTTGAATGCACAGTCACTACATAACATTCAGGTACTGACCGTCTACACACAACCAACACGTCAAGTTATCAAGACATAATAATAACACCACATAACAAATACACGCTGTTACGGTGTGGACTATCATTGTCTCCTTCTTTGCTTCAGCTGGGAGATCGTCGACTCGGGTCGGCTCAGCCCGTCTGGGACTGGACCTCAGCTTGGCGACTCCCTCAAGCTCTTCCTCCAGGAGACATCGGCTTTCAAGCAGCAAAACCCGGGCAAGGTGAGCCGGTGACCCCCGACTGAACTCTCTGTTATCGGTCAAAGGCACGACGCATGCTAACCGGTTAATAGGACCAGGGCTCAATGTGGTGGAGGAGATGTGAGTGAAAATAACCCCGAGCGCTGAAGCTCCACGTGTCATGAAGAGTGACCACCACCATCGGGAAAATGTTCAGGAATATCGGAACTGCTTACCTGGAGAGGATCAATACAACTCTCTGAGTGTGAAGGCAAAAGGCAGTTAGCTTAGCTTAGCATTGAGACGGGGAGCTGTGGGAAGGACACAGCCTGGCTCCCCTTAAAGCATGCAGACATGAACGTGACTACAAGAATCTGCCGTTTCCCTTCTTAGGATCCAGCAGGTTCTCCTAAAGGCGGAACGCTTCCTGAGATACGAGCGGATAGTTACTGTGATACTGTGATGCTACTGCCGCTAACGGACGCGTCTTTCTCTTCTAGTTTTGCCTGCTGGTTTGCAGTTTATGCACCTTCTTCGCCGTCTTAGGACGCTACATTCCAGGGATCGTTATCTCGTATGTTCTCGGTGGGTAAAGTTTTCTACGTACGTCACATCTAGTGGAAGATAACAAACGTCATCCGTGTTCTCCTACCGGTTGGAAGCAGAGGGTTTCGCTGATTGATGTTCCACGTGTCGTCTCTCCGTGCAGTGCTGAGCGTTTTCCTGTGGCCTCTCGTCTCTTCTCACGAGGTGGCCTTGTGGCTGGAGCCAGTTCTGCAGAAGCTGGACTTTGGCATCGGGGAGTTCCTTCATAGGATCAAGGAGAACCATGGTACGTATCAAGCCCGTCAACACGTAATCGGTTCACTTCTGGCCTACATGCGTTTCAAACGAGGTGAAAATGTGGAACACTTGGAAACGGATGGAAACGCTCTGACGAACTGGGTAAAGACGGAGAGCAACAAGCATTCCAGATGTTTAAACATAGAAATGTTCATTACGTCTGTATTCATAACAAGCTCCTTCTTTACATTTTGCATTCAGCGTCGGAGTAGAAATCAGTGACATCCGTGATTTTCCTCCTTTCAGAGAACAGAATCCGTCAGTCTCAGGCTGAGAGCGACGGCGTGGAGTCGGACCTCTCCTCCATGTTCCCCAAGGTCGGTTGCTCATCTCATCTCAGTCTAATGATGCGTCTGTTGGCTGGGACGGGTCCAGTTAGAGCTAATTGAAATCCAGCGCACATGATCCACATCAACATCGAGGCCGGCGCTCTTCGCACAGCTGACTCAGATTAGCGTTGGCTAAGCAGCGACATTGAACCCTTCAGATCATGATTACGTTAATAAAGTGGGTGTAACGCTGAGGGAGGAGTCATGGAACTGAGACGCAAATGTGAGGACAGGTTTTGGATCTGTCCAAAGGAAAGGTCCACTTATTTGAAATGATCTTTAGTCACATCTGATCTCCATCAGCTGCTGCATTTCGATCACGAATAAGAAAAGTAATTGCAGAAAGTGGGCAGTAGGTGGAGCCGGTGTTGAGGGCTAATCGCAGCGCCCGCAGGCCAGAAAGGCTCCACTCATCCCTCCACAGTTTGCAAAAAGTCTTCTGCTGAAGAGGATTTCAAGCTCGCAGCAAACTGTTGCTCCATTATAATTCGTCCCGCGTGTTTCCCTCCTGCAGCTGGACTCCACAGTCTGTAAGGAGATGTCCGTGTCGGACACGGAGGCGTCTGACGTGACGTGGACGGACAACGGCACCTTTAACCTGTCAGAGGGGCACACGCCACAGACGGAGAATTCAGAGGGTACGTTGTGGCCCTTTTGACCCAGAAGAACCTTTTCATAGATGTGAGAGCCCCCTTTTGATTGTGTCCTTACAAGGAGGAGAAGGACTGATGGCGGTTTGAAAGTAGGGATCGGTCCAACAGAGCCGATGCTTTTGTTAAAAGCCCGTTGGACGAATAACACGGAACAGCTGAAGTGAATTGAAGGAAAGTCGGGCCAATGAGCTGCTGCTCAGCTAGAAAACACGGCCATGTTACAGTTGTTTCTTTGTTTTAAATGGAGTTTAAAAAGCTGAGAGTATTTTCTACTAAAGCCGCCTCGCGGCCCCGATTGACCTCTGAGCCCCTGAAGGTTTCGTTTCTCCCCGTCCTCGTGTCCTTGCTGCTTCTCATCTGATTCTTATTTCTTACATCTCACTACTCCGCTCAGACCTCGACAGAGAAGAGGCGTTCACTGGAGGCCTGCCGGAGTTTCCCTCGCTCGACAACGGCGCCACGACCAACGGCGACGACGACGACGACGACGACTTCAGCCTCGGCCTTTCTTCACCTCCCCCGCGGTCGGCGAGCAAATCCAAGCATGTGCCCCCTCACCACGGGGAGCTGCCTGCCGGCGCCGCCCTCCAGCTGGTCAATCAGATGGCGGGCGACTTCATCGCCGCCGCCGTCACGGCCGCCATGCAGGAGAGAATAGAAGCGGCGGTCAGCTTTGCGGCGACGAGCTCGGAGGCGCGGCCCCCGGACGGCGCCCGGCTGCTGGAGCTGGCGGAGGAGTCGGACAGCGAGGTGGAGGACTTTGAGCTGCTGGACCAGTCGGAGCTGGAGCAGCTGGGGGGGGATCTGGGCGAGCCGGCCTCTACGGGATTCTTCTCCAAACTCCTGAGGCGCCAATGATGGGTGAAGAGCGGCGTGTGCACAAGGAAGCAGGAGGAGAAAACAGAAATCTCATTTCCTGTAACATCAGCCATTCAAACCAGTTTGTTTAATCAGATCATCTCAGTGCAGGTTTCACCGTATCAACCAGATCAGGAAACAGGGGGGGGGGTAGTACAGTGGGTTCAGCCGACCGGGGGGGTGGATGCCCCCCTGTTATAATGGTGGGGGGAAACACTGTGTAATATGTGAAAGGAGCGCTTGTTTTCTACTCTACTAAACTAAAGAGGAAACAAGCAATCTGCATTTTTATCAACCCATTTATTTGATTCTGCGTCGTGCTAAACTAACGTCGGTATCAAAACTCTCCATCCACCGCTGCGACAGGTGACTACATTACCCAGAATTCAAATGTATGCATGCGTTTCATGAAACATCCTGTGAACCCGACACAGGATGACCCAAAATATGCAGTCAAAACACTTGTTATTTAACTTGTTAAACATTGATGAGCATCGATCATGGATTCACAGAATGAGGAAGAGGGATTGAGCTGCAACATCTCGAATTATATTTAAATATGATGTTTTCATGATAAAGATACACGGCGATGTACAACATATCCTCTCGATTAATCATTGGCTTGTATTAGCATAACGCTAACAATGACATATTAGCTGATCGGCGCCTCAGAGGCCTTCGTAGTGGCTGCAGTTCATTTCTGGCTCTGATGTGTTCAGACTTCACTGAATAAATACATGTTTTGATATTTAGTTTACTGTTAAATTATTACTACTTTTTTAAATTGATCTTCCGGTTGCATCGTGGTGGCATCCATGTATTTATCTAAAAGTGAAAAGTCCTTTGAACTTAGTTTGAAAATGCTGGATCAGAACCAAAATGCATTAACAAAATGTACTTTTGTGTAACTAAACAATAAAAAGTAACTCTCGTCATTTGTTTGTGTGAATATATTTACTTCGTCACAAGATGCTGCTTTTAAGTCCCCAGATGTGAATGATTTTACTTTTTGGCTCTCACTTTGTAGCTTTTTAAAGGAACTGAACTTTCTTGACTCTCGTTGTTCTGGATCTGAACCGTCATGGTCGATGCACTTAATGAAAGTCGCTTTTAGATAAAGGAAACATAATGTCTAAAGGAAGAAGCTGAACCACACACACCGGTTTCTCCTGGTTGGGTTACGTGGGCGTGGTTTGGTTTGGTGAGTGGAGCTTTTATACAGCGCTGCTGTGGAGGACGCTTCACATCCACCCGGCCCTCTGGGACCCAACATGGCCGCCGCTGCCAGAGGAGACAAACGTGGAGACAAACGTGAGTACGCCAACTCTCTCAATGAGGTCAACACACTCGTCTTTCTACAGTCCTCCCTTTTGTCTCCGAACACTGATGAACAATTGGCTGCGTAGCGACAGCGAGGGAGGCGGCTTGTTGCCAGGCAACAGGTGGGAGGACTGAGTGAAATCTGGTCTAACTATCGGCCTTTAAAACTCTGGCGTAACCTGCCTTAGGTTACGCCAGAGTTTTAAAGGCCGATCCTCCGCCGCACATATCTGTTAATTACAATGTGCAACATTGAACAGGTTCTCACCCTCCCTTTTTCTGCCTTCCTTCCTGCCTTCCTGCCTCTCGTGTCCTTGGGTTTCACCTGTGGGTGATTGTCTGACGTGTCCCTGATTGTTTCCTCCTGTGTCCAATCACCTGCACCTTTCCAGTGTATTTAAACTGTGTGTGTCCCTTGTCTCTTTTCGGTTCTTTGCTGTTGGTGAGTTGTGTCGTTAGGCTGCGTTACAGTTGGTCTTAAATAAAGTATTTTTGTTCGTGAAGTCTGCGATTGGGTCCTACTTCTGCCCTCAACTGACTAAACGAACCGAGCAGCGATGGACTCGGCAAACTCATTTCTGGAATTTGGATCAGACTTTCTAGACGTGAGGAGCGCATTTTGGCAACGGAACCGACTGCCGATTCCGGCCCCCCAACTCCTGATTCCAAAGCTGCCAATTCCGGCCCTCAAACTCCTGACCAACGCAGACTCGTGACCCTGAACCACCGACCACCTCCCACAGTATCTCTCGGGGGACTCGGTCAAATGACTTCTCCAGGTTGACAAAATACATGAGCATACTCTCAGGCCCCTTCCATGATCCTTGAAAGAGTTGGTTCAACTATTTGCCGAACTCTCCTTTCAAGCACCTTGAAGTTGAAGTAGACTTTACCAGGGAGGCTGAGTACTGTGATACCCCTGTAATTGGCACACACTATGGTCCCCCCCTTTTTTAAGAGAGGTACGGCCACCTCGGCCTACCGATCCTTAGGCACTGATCCAGACTTCTTGTGTCATCCAAGACAGCCCCCCAACACCCATTGCTTTCAGCCTCTCTGGACGGATCTCATCAATCCCTGGGGCTTTGCCGCTATGGAGTTGTTTGACTACCTCAGTGAACTCTACCAGGCAAGTTGACCATTAAGCCTCCTCAGCCTCCAGCTCCGCCTCTACCAAAGTTGCTGTAGTAGTGAGATTCAGGGGTTCCTCAAAGTGCTCCTTCCACCGCCCGATACTCTCCGGGGGCCCACCCCAGATGTTCCAAATTCACCCGCACTACGCGTTTGGGTTTACCAGGTCCCTACGGAGCCTTCCCCCATCCTGTGACCCAGCTCACCACCAGTTGATGATCAGTTGCTGTGTCCCTCTCTTTACCAGAGTGTCCAAAACATACGGCCTCAGATCAGCCGATACGATTACAAAATCAGTTATCGATCTTCGATCTAGGGTGCGTCCTCCTTATGTTCAACATGGTGTTTGTTATGGACAATCCGTGGAAAAAAAAGGTTGAATAGTCAACTGCTCTGGCTCTTTCCCCCCCACAGAGGTGACGTTGCACCTCCCCAGAGCCAGCTTCTGCTGCCCAGGTCTGGTCCGTCTAGACCCCTCCATTGTCACTGACACTCTTATGTCTTCTGAAACTGCTTTTTTCTAAATCTTTTCCTCCCAAACAACCTCTTTATCTGATGTGATGTTACATGGTTTTCATACGTACTGTCATCAATGCCCTGATGCTCAGTAGATGGGTACTGTATCATTAGAGCCATGCACATCCCACATCAGTTTGTATTGTTTGCTCCTTTGTTAAAAGTTATCAAGAACTTAGTACAGAATGTTGACTTCTTATTGTAGAATGCACTGTCTTTGAAGCCTCCCTTTTTCTGAAATCAACAATCAGAAGTGGAAGTCAGAGTATTTGTGGTCATAGTTCTTGTGTAAAATGAGGGTCGCTCCATCTGCTTTCCGAGACAGAGTAAACTAGTGATGCACCGCACAATGCTGAATAATTAAAAATTAACCATCAATCTAATATCGCCCTTAGACCCAACATGCAACCCAGGGGAGTTCAGGATTGTGATGGTGGGGAAGACCGGCGTTGGGAAGAGCGCTACTGGAAACACCATTCTGGGAAAACAGTTCTTCCAATCAGAGTTCTCCCCTAAATCTTCGACAAAGGTCTGCACAAAGGCCGTTGGTGAAGTGAACGGGCAAAAGGTTTCTGTTATTGACACTCCGGGTCTGTTTGACACCAGGGTTGATGAGAAGAAAACCATTGAAGATCTAGGCCGGTGCATGTACTATGCTTCTCCTGGACCACATGTCTTCCTGGTCCTCGTCCCACTGGGCAGATACACAGAGGAAGAGAAGAACACAGTGCTGAAGCTCCAGAAGGTGTTTGGAGAAGGTGCAGACAGATACAGCATGGTTCTCTTCACCCACGGGGACCAGCTCAAAGGGAAACCTATCGACGAGTTCATACAGGAGAGCGAAGAACTGAAGGAACTTGTGGCCAAATACAACGGCCGCTACCACGTCTTCAATAACGAGGCGAAGGATCCGTCGCAGGTCACAGAGCTGCTGGACAAGATCAGGAAGATGATGGAGGAGAACGGAGGGAACCATTACACCACTGAGATGTTTCAGAAGGCAGAGAAGGCGATTAAAGAGGAGAAACAACGAATCCTTAAAGAGAAAGAAGAACAAATGCGCAAAGAGCAGGAGAGACTTGAGAATAAAATAATGGAAACAAAGAAAGCGCAGAAGGATCCAGCTGAAACACTTCCAGTCTCTCTCCTCGGGTGCCCTCACCTTGAGATCTCTCTCTGTGGGTGCCTCGCCCCCAAAATCTCTCTCCTGGGTGCCTTTCCTTTTAGGAACCTCTTATATAACAGACCCCTGATGGTCGGAGGGTGCATCGTATTTCCTTTCAGACGTCAAAATAGGCAAATGCGCAGATCCAAGTTCATGAAATATCATATCATTGCAAATTTAATTAACTATGTAGAAATCATGAAGACACAACAATACATCTGATGCATCAGGTCCATGATGGATGTTTATCAAATTATAGACATTGGTGTCGTAGAAAGCGCTTCCAATCAGATTCTTCACATACTTTTTAATGCTCTACTTTGTAGTTAACGAGGACATTGTACAAATTATTTAACTGCATAACTACGTTGACAAAACTTTACGGTTGTTGTACCTAAGGGGGAAATACACATGGGCTGATAATTGAAAAGTTGTTTTTTTAATGCCAAATATCATTGTACGGGTTTACGGAAGGTTATTTTGAGAGAACGTTAAAAGTTCACAAGCGCTCACAGAACTGCTGCTGTTTCCTGTAAATGGGGATGGGAGGGGTGGACGTGGTTTGTGCTGTTCTATCAACAAGGAACTATTGGAACGCAGGAGAACTGGATGTTGAACATGTGTAAAGATTGAACAGGACAATCAAGGGTGTGACTCATGGCTGTCAATCGGTTAAAAGTTGAATAAATAAAAAAATACAGGACCTGATTTTGGAGAGTTTTTTGCTTTTAGTGCTAAAACATTGAAGCATGAATAAGCAGCTTATTTCGTTCAGATTGTCGCTGGTTATATTGTGCAGATGAAAGAAATGGATTTGAATAGAATAAATGAAGATGTGTGAACAGTCAAAGTTATTGTATTGATATGGATTCGGTAGAGCAATAAGCAAGAATGTACGCTCCATTTCTTCTTATAAATGAAAGGCTGACTTTAGGCAATTGCTCTCAATACTTTTATATGAAGGCTCAATCTATGAAACGGCCTGTGAAGTAAAACACGTGACTTTCATGGGTGTGGCTTGTTGCATGTAGATTCTATATAAAGATGCATCGTTGTCTCGACTTTATTTCTGTACTTCACTGCAGAACAGAACATCAACTCTCACTTCAAACATGGCAGGTAACAAACAATGTAAGTCAAAATCCACCTTTAAGTTGGATCTTTATTTATGAGGCAAGTCATGTTGGAGTTTCCTTGTTTTTTGCAGTCAACCGTTTTCATCTATAATATATCATATGAAGTCGGACATGTAAGCTTTTATTAGTGTTTCGTGCCTATTTTAATCATCATTTTCGACCATTTGTTATCAGTTTGTAATTCTATATATTTGTATCTTTCATTGTGTTTCTGTATGTGATGAACAGTGTGTTTATCACATACGGAAAGTTTTCAAATAGGAACTTAAACACTTTCTCTGGGAGATATTACAGGATAAAGACCTCAAAGTGCGTTTTGATGCAATCGAGTTGGATCGTCTGTTTTTAGACCCACTTTTGGCTGAGAGGCAACTTTGTTAAGTTCAGGATCTTAAGTTTGTCTTTTCTGGTGGATTCCTGGATTTACTGGTATCATTTTCACTTGAAATAGTGTCTGACACTGTTGTGGCCATCACTCCCTCACAGTTTTATACCAATAGATTTATTAATGTGGAGAGAGGGCTATTTAAGTTCCATTAAGTTAAGTTAGAGATATCTAACCATTAAAAACACTGCTCTATGTGTCTCTACATCTGCTGGGGACCCAAAGATGTGCATTTTTTAAATGTGGTGCAATTAGTAAAAGCAACATGTTTAATGGAATGAACTGAATGAGCAGTGAGTGCAGGTTGTAAGCAGGGGAACGTTTCTGGGCTCTGCAGACTGAGTCAAGAAGTTCACAATTTACGGCTCATTGAATGCAACACACACTCATCACAAAGGTGCAGGAGGGTTCAGAGGATCTATGGAATGTACACAGTTAGGGTTCTTCAAGGGAAGTCTTCTGTGGAGCTGAACAACATGTTAAGAAAACACAAAGCATGAATTGTTCCTTTTTCTTTTCCAGTCAATATCTATCAATGCAACAGAACCTCAACCAACACAACATACAACAATGACGAGTTCAGGATTGTGATGGTGGGGAAGACCGGCGTTGGGAAGAGCGCTACGGGAAACACCATCCTGGGAAAACAAGTCTTTAAATCAGAGTCATCCCCTAATTCATTGACCGACATCTGCAAAAAGGCCTTTGGTGAAGTGAACGGGCAAAATGTTTCTGTTATTGACACTCCGGGTCTGTTTGACACCAAAGTTGATAAGGAGAAAACCTGTAAAGATCTGGCCCACAGCATCAACTATGCTTCTCCTGGACCACATGTCTTCCTGGTCCTCGTCCCACTGGGCAGATACACAGAGGAAGAGAAGAACACAGTGCTAGAGCTCCAGAAGGTGTTTGGAGAAGGTGCAGACAGATACAGCATGGTTCTCTTCACCCACGGGGACCAGCTCAAAGGGAAACCTATCGACGAGTTCATACAGGAGAGCGAAGAACTGAAGGAACTTGTGGGCAAATACAACGGACACTACCACGTCTTCAATAACGAGGCGAAGGATCAGTCGCAGGTCACAGAGCTGCTGGACAAGATCAGGAAGATGATGGAGGAGAACGGAGGGAACCATTACACCACTGAGATGTTTCAGAAGGCAGAGGAGGCGATTAAAGAGAAAAAACAACGAATCCTTAAAGAGAAAGAAGAACAAATGCGCAAAGAGCGGGAGAGACTGGTGAAGAAAATAATGGAAAAGTATGAGCAACAAATGAGGCAAGTGGAGGATGACATGGAGAAGATGAGAAAGTTAATGGAATCCCGTGAAAGAGAAACTAGAGAGGAAATTGAAAAACTGAAGAAGCAGTATGAAACTTTGGCCAGACGAGTGGCTGAGGGAGGGTCTCCATTGGATTTTCTGATAAACTCCATTAAAAAACTCTTGTTCGGGTGAAGCTTTTGCCTTTGAGATTAGTTAACTGTTGCGTAATAACAACATTTACTCAATGAATGTTTCATTATACAGAAATTATTTGGGAGTTAGTTGTGATTTAATCGTGTGATATTTGTTTTCCCAAGAGGCAGATCCGTCATTGAGGAGCGAGCTGCTGTTCTCCACATCTCAAAGAAAGTTTGCACAGTGTCATTGAAATGTGTCATGTTTGAATTTAAATAAATATTTAAAAAGGTGCAGATGGTAATTTGTTGTACTCTAGCTGTGAGGCCACAGATGGAAACCAACTTGCTGACACAAGGCGACTTACATTTTGCCCTTGGAGCAATTAGGAGTTAGGTGTTTTGTTCAGGGACACTTCGACATGGGCGATGGAGCAGCCAGGGTTCGAACCGCCAACGCTGCGTGTTAGTGCCATTTTCCAGGTGGTAATTTAGATTTAGATTGATATTATTTGGATTCATGTTTAATGATGATGTATTATATCATAAGTATGATTACGCTATGATTACATAATTGTACCCATAATTTGCATGTTAGTTAATACATGTTTAGTGTACATGCTTGGCTTGGTACATAGGAGTGACGCGAGTATATATATATATATATATATATATATATATATATATATATATATATCGTTAGTTTAGACAATCACTGTACTGCCTCTTTTGGGACCTGGCCCGAGCCCAGCTGAGACAAGCGGAGAGGATGTGCAGGAAAATCATGTATTTTGCGCAGATATCTTATTTTACAAATATTACTGGGTATATTCCATATTTCAAGTATTGACTATTTGGAAAACGTATTTATAATTTAGAAAACTGCATAAACATCTAGAGTGAGAAAGCATTGGACTAATTCCTCTTCAAATGAAGCATTTGGCTTTGTGATACGACTGCAGCCGCATTAATTAACTTGTGAGTCATAAATATTAAAACTGTTCTCGTTGGGCCTGGTCCATAATAACAACATTTACTCAATGATTGTTTCATTATTCAGGAATTAGTTGTGATTTTATCTTGTGATGTTTGTTTTCCAAGAGGCATCGGCCGTTGAGGAGCGTGCTGTTGTTCTCCACGACATTGTTTCCCAAAGAAAGTTTGCACAACGTGTCATTGAAATGTCTCATGTTTGAATTTAACTAAATATTAAAAGTTGGTCATTTGTCATATGGAAACCAACTCAACCAGAGTCCAAAGACTTGCTTTCGCTTTAATTCCATTTGTTTTATTTTGTCTATGAATGTGATTCTAAACACTGATGTAAAGTTAATGGAACCCTTGATTTTTCCTCACAATCTTCCATTTATTTTATTTTATTTAACTGGGACACCTCCCCCGACAACTGTGTCTTCTCCAAACTGCTGTGGCGCCACTGAGAAAACAGAAAAAAAATATTTCCATTATCTCTATTTCCTGTAGAGATCACATCAACCATTGAAACCAGTTTGCCAGTTAGTCTAATCAGATCTCAGTCAAGGCTACACGATATCAGCCAGATCAGGAAATATGTGAAAGGAGCGCTTGTTTTCTACTCTACTAAATTGAAACTGAGAGTGTGTCACAAGGTGGTGAAAGCGAGAGGAAATAAGAAATCTGCAGTTTTATTAATTCATTCATTTGATTCTGCGTTGTGCTAAACTAACGTCGGTATCAAAACTCTCCGTCCACCGCTGTGACAGGTGACTACATTACCCAGAATTCAACAGAAGAATGTCGACCATTACTTGGCATTCGAAACACCCTTTAGTGCTTAAATATTTTCTACTAGTTGTATAGTTAACTACGAAACGCGAAACTTTTTTGTAATTTCCTTTTTAAAAATTGTATATGCTAATAATACGTTTAATTTCATGAACTGAGGCTTTTTGAAATGAAAAGCCTCAGTTGAGCCATCACTTCAACTTCCTGGACATGCCACAGTGTTTTATTTTGTAGTTTCCTGCCTCTCGCGTCCTTGGCTTAACTTCCTGCCCTGGTGTGTTTTCTCCTGTGGGTGATGGTCTGCCGTGTCCCTGATTGTTTCCTCATGAGTCCAATCAGCTGCACCTTCCCAGTGTATTTAAACCGTGTGTGCCCCTCATCGGTTCTTTGAGGTGTCTATGTTGCCGTTGGTGAGTTGTGGCGATACAGTTGGTCCTAAATAACGTGTTTTTGTTCGTGAAGTCTGCGATTGGGTCCTACTTCTGCTGACAGCTTTGCCTAAACCGAGCAGCGATGACTCGGCAGACTCATTTCCGGAGTGCGGATCAGACTTTCTAGACTGACTGGCAATTTCGGCCCCCCAACTCCTGAACTGGAGTTCCGGTCTATCCTCGGTCTTGCCCCATCCTGTGACCCAGCTCACCACCACATGATGATCAATTGACTTTACCCGAGTGTCCAAACCCTGGAACCTCAGATCAGCCGATACGATTACAAAACCACTGATCTCCGGTCCAGGCTGCTTCATCCTTACGTTCCACATGGTGTTCGTTATGGACGACCTGTAAAAAATGCTGAATACTCCAAACTGCTCCGGCTCCTTCCCCCCCAGAGAGAAGCCAGAGAGGTGTCCCCACAGCCAGCTTCTGCTGCCCACGTCTAGACCCCCCACTGTCACTAACATTGTACTCTTCTGTCTCTTTTCTAAATCTTTTCCTCCCAGACGTCCTACTTTGCAGTTAATGAAGACATTGTACAAATTATTTAACTGCATAACTACGTTGACAAAACTTCATATTAATTGTTGTTTTTTTCTTTTCACTCTACCCGAGGGGACAAAACACAAAGGCTGATAATTGAAAGGTTGTTTTTTTTAATGTCATTCTATGGGTTCATAGAAACTGCTGCAGTTTCCTGTAAATACCGAAGAGAGGGGTGGATATGGTTTTTGGTTTTCTATCAAACAGGAACTATTGGAATGAAGAACTGGATGTTGAACCAACGATGGGTGTGACTCATACCTGTCAATTCATTTAAAGGACATATGAATAAAGACACCTAGAGTTTTTACTTTTCATGCCAAAAGATTGAAGCATGGAGAGTTTTCTTATTCTGTTCACGTTGTGATTGATGACATTGTGCAGATGAATGAAATGTCATTGACTTGAATTGATTAAATGAAGGTGTGTCAACACTCAAAGTCATCGTATCTTTGTTTTCGGTGGAGCATTAAGCAAGAATGTATGCTGTGTTTATTCTTATAAAGGAAAGACAGACTTTAATACGAAATAAAGGAAGTTGCTCAAAACAACAACTTTGTTCTCAATACTTTACCTTCAAGGTTTAATCTACGAAACGGCCTGTGAAGTAAAACACGTGAGTTTTATGGGTGTGGCTTGTTGCATGTAGATTCTATATAAAGATGCATCGTTGTCTCGACTTTATTTCTGTACTTCACTGCAGAACAGAACATCAACTCTCACTTCAAACATGGCAGGTGTGGGCAACAAACAATGTAAGTCAAAATCCACCTGTAAGTTGGATCTTTATTTATGAGGAAAGTCATGTTGGAGTTTCTTTGTTTTTTGCAGTCAACCGTTTTCATCTATAATATATCATATGAAGTCAGACATGTAAGCTTTTATTAGTGTTGCGAGCCTCCCGCAGCGCACCAGGCTGCGACTGGTCCGCTGACTACGTCCTCTACGGAATCAGGAATCATTTATTACCGTAATATGTGTAACATACAGGGAATTTGTCTTGGCGGTTGGTGCGCGACAGTAGACAACGTGACAATAGACAGACAACAGTGCACAAGTAATAAAATAAAGTAAAATGAAATGCTAATGCAATGGGTTAGTAGAATAAGGCTGTGGGTTAGTATAAAACAAGAGAATAAAGTAAAACATTTCCGCTTTCATAGCCCGATGCCGCCATAATTAAAACGAAGAATGTTTACGAGAGAACGGATCAGATTTAAGAACTTTAGTCGGAGGAAATGCGTAAATATGAGCGCTTATACGAGCCGTCATCGGCGGGTTGTAGAAGCGGGTTGGATTCACGGAGACTGATCGCCGCAGACGCCGGTTTGCCGGTCGAGAGGAACAAAGTTGTGGAGGAAAATACGGGACAAACGTGTCCGCGATGAGAAGCAGCAGTGTGATGCACGGGGCAATAAAGTCTATGATAAATAAATAAACAAACAAATAAATAGACGTGACTCTCTAGGTCGTCTTCAACAAAACACGTCTCTCCGCCTGTTGTTCTGGAGGTGAATCGCTCTGCAACACGCGCAGAACTTTACAACCAGGAAGTGAAACCAGTGCGTCGACGCAACGACGCAAACGCAGAAACATGCGCCGGCCTTCATTTTAATCTCACTTTTTTAAATTGTCGCCTCAGCAAATCTGCCTATTAATTACGCTGCGTAGCGCCACCCACAGGCAGAGGGGGGTATTGAGCCTTCACACCACCAACAGCGCGACGACACACACACACACACACACACACACACACACACACACACACACACACACACACACACACACACACACACACACACAAGTTGGCTCTTTTTTTTTCACCAATGAAGTGACAGTATGTAAAAAATGTTTTTTTTTCACGGCACACCTGACAGCTTGAAAAACACTGCTCTATGTGTCTCTACATCTGCTGGGGACCCAAAGATGTGCATTTTTTAAATGTGGTGCGATTAGTAAAAGTAACATGTTTAATGGAATGAACTGAATGAGCAGTGAGTGCAGGTTGTAAGCAGGGGAACGTTTCTGGGCTCTGCAGACTGAGTCAAGAAGTTCACAATTTACGGCTCATTGAATGCAACACACACTCATCACAAAGGTGCAGGAGGGTTCAGAGGATCTATGGAATGTACACAGTTAGGGTTCTTCAAGGGAAGTCTTCTGTGCAGCTGAACAACATGTTGAGAAAACACAAAGCATGAATTGTTCCTTTTTCCTTTCCAGTCAATATCTATCAATACACCACAACTTACGGCAACAGAACCTCAACCAACACAACATACAACAATGACGAGTTCAGGATTGTGTTGCTGGGGAAGACCGGCGTTGGGAAGAGCGCTACGGGAAACACCATCCTAGGAAATAAAGTCTTTAAATCAGAGTTATCCCCTAATTCATTGACCGACATCTGCAAAAAGGCCTTTGGTGACGTGAACGGGCAAAAGGTTTCTGTTATTGACACTCCGGGTCTGTTTGACACCAAGGTTGATAAGGAGAAAACCATTGATGATCTGGCTCAGTGCATCAACTATGCTTCTCCTGGACCACATGTCTTCCTGGTCCTCGTCCCACTGGGCAGATACACAGAGGAAGAGAAGAACACAGTGCTGAAGCTCCAGAAGGTGTTTGGAGAAGGTGCAGACAGATACAGCATGGTTCTCTTCACCCACGGGGACAAGCTCAAAGGGAAACCTATCGACGAGTTCATACAGGAGAGCGAAGAACTGAAGGAACTTGTGGCCAAATACAACGGGCACTACCACGTCTTCAATAACGAGGCGAAGGATCCGTCGCAGGTCACAGAGCTGCTGGACAAGATCAGGAAGATGATGGAGGAGAACGGAGGGAACCATTACACCACTGAGATGTTCAAGAAGGCAGAGGAGGCGATTAAAGTGGAGAAACAACGAATCCTTAAAGAGAAAGAAGAACAAATGCGCAAAGAGCAGGAGGAACTGGAGAAGGAAATAAAGGAAAAGTATGAGCAACAAATGAGGCAAGCGCAGGCTGACATGGAGAAGATGAGAAAGTTAATGGAATCCCGTGACAGAGAAACTAGAGAGGAAGCTGAAAAACTGAAGAAGCAGCATGAAACTTCGGCCAGACGAGCGGCTGAGAATAGTCCTTCATTGATTATGCAGATTTATCAGTTCTTGCGGAAGAAATTTCTGGAGTACCTCTCAAAATGAAGCTTCTGGCTTTGTGATGCTGGACTGCTGCGAGTCATTAATATTCAACCAGTTCTCATTGGGCCTGATCCGTTATAACAACATTTACTCAATGAGTGTTTCATTGTACTTAATTGGATGACTCATTGTAATTATTTGGGAGTTTGTTGGGATTTAATCTTGTGATATTTGTTTTCCAAGATACAGACCTATCATTGAGGAGCGAGCTGCTGTTCGCCACATTGTTTTGTCCCGGCTGCCTTGTCATATTTGTTGGACCTTCTTTTGCTTTGGTTCATTTTTGTTTTGTTTTGATGATTTAGTTATTTTGTCATTGGTTGGGATTCTAAACACTGATGTAAATGTGGCAAGCGTGAGGTCGGGGAAACTCAAGAAAACTAATCAATTGGATGATCAAAATAATTACAAAAATAAATCAAGAAAAGTCTCCCTTGTGGTCCACCTCATAAGGACTTCAATCCCCATAAAAATAAACAGGTAGTTTTATCTCCATAAAAAGCAGCAGCAGTCCGCAAGGAGTCCGGTTCAGGGTAGCCGGGTGCCGAGCTAATTATAACGTACCTGCGCGGGGGAACTCAGTTTTGCACGACGCCAGAGTGCTGGACGTCTGCAAAACCTGCAGCCAGGCAACCCGGAAGCAGAAAGTACGCACCCGTCGAGAGAGAGAGAGAGAGAGAGAGAGAGAGAGAGAGAGAGAGAGAGAGAGAGAGAGACTTTGACTTTTCAAAATCCGTTTATTGCTCCCTTAGCAGGGAGACACAAACAGTTTTCTTGGTTCAGTCTTGTAAAACGAGAAATTGAAAAATAAATACAATACAAACAGCTTTTGTGAGAGAGAGAGAGAGAGAGAGAGAGCGCAGATCTACCGATCCCTTCTTATGTGGCAGACAATTAAAGGGACAGGAGCGCAAATGGGTAAAGGGCAGTCATCCTGCTACATGAAGTTAATGAAACCCCCCAAGAACAACTGTAAACTATGAATGATACAACTGGATCAGAATTAGTTGACAGAATAGCTTTATAACAAAAAAATATAATCACATTGTATTTTTTTAAATGAACACAAACATTTAGAATTCATGTGTATTTTAAATGTAATGTGTAAAAATAATATGTAAATAAATTAATGAATTTGGTGTAGGTGTTTCTTTGTTTTTGACAAGACAATATTTAATAAAGTACAGACTCAGATGTAGTGGAGTAAAAGTCTTATATTTACCTCTGAGGTGTAAAGTGAAAAGCATTCAGGCCACTTTGTAAAACGCACAATCACGGTAAACATTCTCCAAACCAGCAGGAGGCGAAACCGCGCCTCGAACTCGAGCAGAACAAAACTCAAGAAGGTCAAAGTTCACGAAGAAGCGACCCTCGTGTGCTGCTGCGTGTGACGGCGGAGACACTAAACGACTCAGCGACACGCAGAACGAAGCGCAGGAGCCTCCGAGCAGAAGCAGGTGAACACTGAGGCCTCTTTGTGTCGCCATGAAGCTTCATGACTTCACGGTGTTCTCACCGAACGGAGGAGCTATGCTAGCTGGTGTTAGCATAGCTCCTCCTCGCAGGGGCTCGTTACACAGTCTGCTTTGTTACCTTACTTACTGTGTTTAGCCGTTAGCTCACAGCTAACGTTAGCCGCCGTTCAGCTATGTAGCCGGTACGTTAATTAAGCTAACGTTAACTCCGTGCGCTGATATAATTTCATCTAAAACGTGACGTCACTGACCGTTTCTGTGATGGAGGCTAGAAACGTCACCAGGGTTACTGTCAACAGCATCACGTCGCGTTAGCTCACGTGTTTATTATGACGTCACTTTACCACAACGACCCTGCAGTAAGTGACGTTACTATGGATCTGGAGGTGGTATAAAGTGTTAAATGCAAGTCCCAGGTGCTCTACAGGTGTATCCCCGTAGTCCGCGTCAACCTCCACTACTGTTTGAGAGGTAAAGGGATGAATCACATCAGTGAAGATTCAAATCCTTTATACAAAATGTAACTTGACTAATGAATTATGCTGATGTGTTCAAAGAGTCAAACTAGACTTCACCTGCAACGTTACACTGATTCACACGTTGATGCCTCACTGACACTCATTCTAAAACATGTATGTTCTGCAATAAGACATTCTGCACTTCATTTTATGCCAATGCTTTAAGACTAAGCTGTGGTATAATATTTACTGATTCCAAGGTCTCACACAATTTTCCACATAATTTGATAGGATTCCAATATCTTTAAGTTAGTTAAATTAAAATGTAATTGTAAGTTTTAGTCCTGAAGGGAAATAAAAACAGCCCAATTTTTTTTATTTGTATCTATTCCTGATTAAAAAAGCCACACATTTGTTTACGTTTTTTGAATGTGTCTAATGTGAAGGCCTGAGACAAACGTGAGTTTTTATTAAAGGATGACGGATCTTTAATCAGATTTTCCCGTCAGGTCACGATGTCCTACACCTGCATCAGCTGCCGAGTGGCTTTTGCGGACGGCGAGGTGCAGCGGGCGCACTACAAAACGGACTGGCACCGCTACAACCTGAAGCGCAAGGTGGCCGACATGCCGCCGGTCACCGCCGAAAACTTCCAGGAGCGCGTTGTGGCGCAGCGGACGGCCGCCGAGCAGCAGCTCAGCGACGCGGCGGCCTCGGAGGGCTGCGCCGTCTGCAACAAGAGGTTCTCCAGCGCCAACGCCCACCGGAACCACATGCAGTCCCACAAGCACCAGCAGGCCGAGAAGCAGGCGCTGCTCGCCGCCGAGAGGAAGGTGGAGAAGATGAACGAGAAGAACCTGGAGAAGGGCCTCGGCGACGAGAAGGCGGACCGCGACGCCAGGAACGAGGCCCTGCAGCAGGCCCTCAGGGAGCAGCAGAGGCCGAGGGCGACGAGGCCGAAGGCGGAGAAGCTGGACAAACCCCCCAGGCTGATGTGGCTGGAGGAGCAGGCCAAGAGGCGGGAGAAGGAGGACGGCGCCACGGCGGTGGAAGGTACGCAGGAGAAAGTAGACAAACATGCTTCTTAAAGGAGTCTTTCGGGTGTTTTTCTTACAGTAGAAGCTTTTGATATTACTGCGATCAGAAAGTGTTGGATCCGGAGAGCAGATGACCTCTGCACTCGTGCATGTGTCGTCCTGCTCGCTGCTGCACATCTGCAAACATTCATTTTAACTCTGATAACGTGAGATGATGAGCTAAGTGCTAATGCTGGATTGCTGCATTATGGAGCCTTCAAACGTGAATCCAGTGTTTTTCAGATATAAAATTGATATTCGAGTGGGAATTATGACCTTTTTGTTAACGGAGGCCGTGCATCTACTTTGCTGGCAACAAATCTCTTGTTCCAATAACGATGTTCCAGAAGAGTGGGAGGACGTTGACGAGGAAGAAGATGATGATGATGAGATGGCGGAGGAAGAGGAGGAGGAGGAGGAGGAGGAAGAGGAGACGATGGATGAGGAGGGAGCTGACTCGGCGGCTGCGTTGGACCCCAAACCCGCCGACCTGCCGGGTTCGATCCCCGTCACCGACTGCCTGTTCTGCTCCCACCACTCCAAGTCCCTCGTGAAGAACATCGACCACATGACCAAAGTCCACAGCTTCTTCATCCCCGACGTGGAGTTCCTGGTCGACCTCCGTGGCCTCGTCCGCTACCTCGGTGAGTTTGGGCAGAAATCTGAAAGCCGCAAGCGGCCTGTTGGAGTCGGGATCAGGGACGAGTCACGTTGGGGCGCACACGCACACACACACACGCACACACACATACGCACACACACACAGATTCTTTCTTTCCGAATCATTTCAAAGGTCAGATTTAGGATTTTTCCCAGCATCACCTGACCAGAATAAAACCCATAAGTTGCTGCGTTGCAGGAGAGAAAGTGGGCGCTGGAAACGTGTGTTTGTGGTGCAACGAGAAGGGGAGGTCCTTCTACTCAGCAGAAGCAGTTCAGAGTCACATGACGGACAAAAGCCACTGCAAGCTCTTCACAGACGGAGACTCGGCTCTGGAGTTCGCAGACTTCTACGACTTCAGGTAATAAACTCTTTACTATCCTAAAGAGTTACTAGAGCATCAAAGTATTCGAAGGCAGCAGTGCGGCTTCATCTCTCCCCTCTAAATAATAATAATATGTCTTTTTGTTTGTGTATTTTAGGAGCAGCTACCCGGACAGGAAGGAGGGAGAAGAAGAAATGGACCAGGCAGAGATCTCTGATGACAAGAACCTGGAGTACGATGATGAGAGGCTGGAGCTGACTCTCCCTTCAGGTGCCTCTACGCTTCATTTATACCGAGTGAATAAATGTTTATTAAATACAGACGAAAACATGACGTGAGAAATGAGTCATCACATATTTAATATTACCAACGTTAATAAGTGAATCTCAGCGCTTGTTATTAAATAAAAGCAACGCGTTGCCATGGTAACGGGATGTGTTCCTCAGGCGCTACGATCGGCCACCGCTCCCTCATGCGCTACTACAAGCAGCGCTTCGGGACCCAGCGGGTGGTGGTTCTGATCCGCAACCGGAACGCCGTGGGCCGGGTCCTCCGGCAGTACCGCGCTCTGGGCTGGAGGGGAGACGGAGGTACGACCATTTTATTCCCCAAAAGCTTCCTCCGTGCTTTTTAATGACTAAAATACTCCTTATAAGCAGAAGGGTTTATTCATATTTATCATTTATTTATTTAACTAGTGAACTTCATGTACTGCTGAGCTTTTGTGTTAAAAGTACAATTTTGTCATTGTCATTACAATTCTGTTGTCTCCCTCCCTCAGGCTCCTTCTACCAGAAACCCAAAGACATGCAGTACGTCCAGAGGATGAAGTCCAAGTGGATGCTGAGGATGGGCATGAACAACAACACCACCCGGCAGGAGCACTTCAGGGCCCAGGTCATCTTCTAAGCTGTGACCTGATGGACCCGGTGGACCGAGGGGGGGGGGGTGACCTGGTGGATTCAAGAATCAATTAACATCTCTGCTTTTTCCCACCCAACGAGACTTTCGGTACAGATTTGATTACAGCTGATTTGTGGCTTGAAGGCAAGAAGAATAATCAGACAGGTTTCTGTTTGAAGGAAGTGCAGCGATGATGATGATGATGATGATGGGGGTGTAAACCCTGCTGGGGGCAAAGCGTAAATGGGGTGAACCCGATCTCATGGCCCTCCTCGTATGAAGAGCGGCTCCATCTCCTCGGCGCCCCCCTGCACGTGTTGTTCTGTGAGACGGATCAGGTGGAATCTCTCACACATTATTTTTGAAACGTCCAAAGTTTTGGACATAATCCACTTTCTTCCTTTAAGCTGATCTTTGATTCCATGTGCTTGTAATACATCAAATAAATGAATGGCTCATATTTATGGAATATGTGGCAGTGTGTTTTTATTACTAAATAACATACTATTTATATTTAGTCTTTAAATTATGATACAAGTATGTTTACTGTGAGATTCTCTCGCAGTAAACATACCCGGTGTTGGAACCTGCAGGAGGTGAGTTCCATACTAAAGCACCTCGTTCTGCACAGTTTATAGTAGATTTACTCCCACTGTTGAGTAGCTGCTGCTCAATTTTTTATTGAGCATTGAGCAGCATCCACCTGGTCAGAACTACATCGTCACGTGATGGTTTATGGATGCAGAGCGTCACCGTGTCCATAAACACGTTTCCACACTACGAAGGTGGAACCTTGGGGGCTGTATTTTGTACACGTTTATATAAATGTGATTCTAATACTGATCATTCCTGCAATCACTTACCAAACTTGTATGAATGAGGCTTCAGAGCAGATACGTAATCATTTATTTATAGAATCATCCGTTCAATACACATAAAAAAACCAACATGATTCCGTCAGTCGGACGGCTGCACAGAGAAATCAAATCGTCCTCATTCAGGAGAAATAACGAAGGCAAAGACTCGCAGTATGAAATGTACAGCCGTGTGATTATAATATATATATATATATATAAAACATTGCACATTATAGCAAAAAAGAGAAAATAACATGGAGTACAGAATATACAGGAAGGCACCGTGGAAGAAGCCTGCGTCTTTGGAGGATCTGCCGCCCGCGGAGCTCCAGAGAAACGTCACGCTGCATGAAATACGATGAAGGTCCTCCAGATGTTCAACCGCTGCGTGACGCTGTGAAGCCTCGACGCACAAGAACTTCATCGGAAAACCGAGGTTTGGGGCTTTGGTGGGTTCTTAAGTGCTTGCGTAGAATATCGGTCACGTGCCAAAGAAAAGAGGAGCATCATTATTTAGTGACGGAGGACCGATAAATGTAGTTTGATATTATACATCTTTGGGGAAAAGACTCAGAAATTGACATTTTCAATAGAATTTCTTTTTGCCAATGATTGTCTAACAAGAGAGATTAAAACTGTTAGAGGACATATGATGCCGCCAGAGAGGTTTTAAATTCAGAGAAAAGATAAAGTCCAGCTTGTTTCACACGAGCGGAACCAACCAGCAACGTGCGCTGCTCGTACATATTATTTACAGAGAGCAGATCATCTGCAGAAGAAGTCGGGTCCCAGAGCGTTCCACAGCAGAGGGGGCGGGGCTTCACCTGCCGTGACATCAGCACCAGGAAGTAACGCTTTCCTTCCAAAACAAGAGGCTTCTGCACGAGGGAACTGAAATGAGGAGATGACGTCGGCTTCAACCTTCAGCTGCTGTTTCAGCCCGAAGAAACTTGAGACTGAATTTTTTTGTCCTCAAATGACTGATTCAAGGATTTCCTTCCTTTATGTCCTCGTCGACGTATTTTCATATTGGAAACTTACTTAATGATTTGTCCTCTGGCTGGATGACTGATAATTCTATAAGTGTCATCCTCTTATTGAAAATGTAATATCGAAGCCTTCATGATGAAAATTAATATACAAAATGACGTTTTGAAAAACGTGGCAACCAAAGAACATCAAAGCCTGGACCTTCTGCATCTTCTCATCGCCATGGCAACATCTCAAGTTGGTATGAAGTAGATTTTACGGTCGGAGCCCTCGCTGACGTCCGATGTTTTGAAGTGAAAACGCGCATTTGGAGCCGATTGTCGCGAGGAGCTCTGTGCTGCGTCTCAGTCCCACGCGCCCCCCCCCCCCGCAGGGCGCCACGGAGGTCAAAGGGCGGCGTTCACCAGGCGCTGCACTGGCTGCCGTGGCTGCTGACGGAGTGACAGTTGCTGTAGCGCTTCTTGACGATCATGCTGATGTAGGCCTTCATCAGCTTGGCGATGTCCATGACCTGCAGGCGAGGAAGAGGAGGAGCCGTTACGCTTCATCACCACGGTTGTGCCGTTAAAGACGACCAGAGAAGACATTTCACGGGTGGAATGGAGCAGGGTGAATGTCGTCTAATGTTTCTGCTATTAAACCCTGACAGTAAAACAAAACATACACACATGTACATAAATATGTATTTTTTTGTATATAATTTCTAGCGTATCGGCAGAGGAGTATTTGGGATTTTGGGCTGCCTTGATAAACTGAAAATCAAACATAAGAATCATTTATTTCACCATACGAACCATTTGCGTTTCGAACACCAGCTCTCGGCCCTCAACAGCGATCTTGTAGGTGTTTGCCAGCGGCGCCCCGAAGGAGAGAATCTGCTCGTACGGGAAAACCTCCAGAGGCCACGCCTCCCCTCGCTTGTACACCGATATGGCCTCCCGGCTGACGCCCAGCCACAGCTCGAGAGGGAAGGCTCCGTCCCGACTCTACGGGACACGAGGGACACGAGGGCCGGTCGGACTCACATCGTCCATTTGGAAGGTGGGCGCATGAAATCACCGTGAAGGTCACTCACCTCCACGTTGAACAGCGTGGAGCCGTACCCCTGCCACTCCTTCACCACGCTCATGTACTTCACCATGGCCTGCTCCTGGTTCATCCCCTGCAGCTTCCTCCACTTGTCCGTCAAGCTGGTCTTCACCGCCGCCGCCTCCTCCCTCATCCACGCCTCCAGGCTGTTCTCCTCCTCCAGCTTCTGCCGACTCAGCGAGCCGCTCCTGAAGCTCCGCCTCAGCGTCCCCTCCAGGAAGCTGGAGCGCTTCCTCTCCGAGGCGCCCGGCCGCTCGGCCCCCGAGCCGGAGCCGGGGGCGAACGTCTTGGCCGAGTTCTGCACCCGGGCCCGCAACCGCGCCATGGGGAACACCAGGGACATGTCGGGGACGCCGGCCGGCGAGCCGTGGTCGCCCTGCAGGTACTGCAGCCTCAGGGCGGCCAGGAACTGGAGGGTCTCCTCGGGGCCCGGATACTGACCGCCGATGACGGCTTCGTGGGCCTGTGGGCGAAAAAGCAACGTGAGACAGAACCTCCAGCTGCCGGCGAGTTTGGTTCGGTCATCTGACGAACCGATGGCTCTGCAGGAAACACCCACATATTTTAATTTAAATTGCGTCTCACCTGCTCAAACATGAAGGCAAACTCCACGCTGTCTTTGGGGACGTTTTCCGTGTCCAAGAAGCAGTAGAGTTTGAAGTAGAACTTCCATCCCGTGTTGCGTTCGTCGGGGCTGGCTGACAGTCTGGAGACCAGAGAGAGAGAGAGAGAGAGTTCATGAGGACAGAAGCGTCTCGCTTCACGTCTCTGTGCTTCGGACGTCGGGACGCTTACTTTTCAAACTTGGCGAGCACGTCGGCGACCACCGAGCGGCTCTCGATGGCCTTCTCTGTGGTGGCGTTGTGTTCGAACAGAGCGAACATGTTCCTGCTGTCCTCCATGGCCAGACCTCGGATCAGCTTCTCCACCACCTGAGGTGACCCCCCCCCCCAGGGAAGGAGTTTCATTACATGAGGGAAAACTGAGCACATAGAAGAAGAACTTGGAGGCTCCGGAGGAGGCGGAGTCCTGGTGGCTGTCACTCACCTCTCCAGCTGTTGTGTGGGAGTCAATGGTGATCTTGCAGGAGCCTCCTCCGTGGCAGTGAACCGTGGTGCTCATGTCCTGCCGGGACACGATGGAGCGGATCTCCTCCTGCGACGGGACGTTCTCCCTGGCTCGGGTCTTCTTCAGGGAGTCCAAGGCGAAGGCGGCGTAGCGGTCCATCTCCGTGCCGGGCAGCAGCTCCCGGGTCCTGCAGAGGTTTGGACCGTTAGCGGTCTTCTGATTCACCTTTGACAATCGCTGTGCGATCTGTCCATTACCTCTTCAGGTGGAACTTGAGGTATCTGAGGATGCTCCTGGACGGGAGGAAGGTGCAGGACATGCAGACCAGGATCTTCCAGCTGCAGAGGTTCCCGGGGCTGCCGGGCTGCGGCGGCCGCACCGTCTGCTTGATCAGCTGGCAGTAGAGCTCGTCCCGCAGCGGCTTGAGCTCCTGGCCGGTCTGCAGGATGCCCTGGATGACGGGAACCGGGTCGGCCACGCCCTCCAGGTGCTGCAGGGAGCTGAACACCTTGAGGCCTTCCTCCTGCAGCGTGGTGGAGCTGCTGTTCCTCAGCGCTGGACGGCAGAGGGACGAGGGTTCACTGACTCACTACATTCGTTTAATCGCATGCCGCAGATGAGACGCCGCATTCAAACTTATAAGACGGTTTATGAAGCCGTCTCCGTCCTCGTGGGACTCACTGCTCAGGTGGATGTCTCCGTAGGGCAGCGGCAGCAGCGGCGAGTGCAGCGGGTGGTGGCTGTGGCGAAGGATGGGGTTCCTCTTGTAGATCTGCTCCACCACCTCCGAGTTCAAACAGTTCTCCTGCAGAAGAGACGCGACGGTCAACTACGCCGCTGCGTCTGGCCCAATGCATGCTGGGATGTACTCCGCATGCACACGGAAGAATCTCCATCCAGCGTTTACATGCTGTATTCATACAGCCAACAGGTAGACGGACACACGTGATCCTTCCTCCTCGCGTCCTACCTTGATGTCGCGGACCAGCTGCTGGGTGGGCGTGTCCACGGGCGCCTTGGTGTCGATGACGTTCTGGATGGAGGTGGCCCAGCGCGTGGCCTCGTTCAGCAGCTTGCAGCAGAGGCGGTACGAGTGCTTGCGGCCGTAGACGATCACGCTCCAGTAGCCTGCCGGGGGACGCAGAGAGAGAACGGGTCACGCTGAGCGACAGGAGCCCGTCGTTTGGGGGGGAAGGGAAGTCCCGCCCCCTCCTCTCACCGGTGTCCTTGAAGACCCGCTCGTCGGGCGGCGCCACCGAGCAGAGGCTGTTGAGCACCAGCGCCCCCAGCTTCAGCGAGCCGCGCTCCGAGCTCTTGTAGTAGTCCAGGGAGTTGTGCGTGAGCAGGAACCAGCGCTTCTTCAGCTTCAGCGCGGCCTTCGAGCTGTTCCTCATCTCTTTGTGCAACCAGCCTGAGGGACATGAAGGAACCAGAAGGTCACGGCGTATCACAACCACGAGGACAATGCTGAAGACTCCTATTGGGTCGGCTCCCCCGACGCGATGCTCCTCCCTCAAAAGGCCGTCACCTCGGATGATGAACTCCTGGCCGTCCACGCGCGTGTCTCCTTTGGAGCGCTGCAGCAGGGTGATCCAGTGGTGCATCTCCTCGGGCGTGTCGGCGTTGCAGTGCAGCACGCGGTTTGCCGTGATCATGACGAAGGAGTTGGGCCTGAGACCAGAACCAGAGAAAGAAGAGGGTCTAACAGGGGTTATACTCATAGTATACTCATACTATGTCATACTATGTCATACTAATGTCATACTATGTCATACTATGTCATACTGTGTCATACTGTGTCATTCTATGACCTTTTATAAACAGGATTTAACGGTCAGACGTCTTAATGAATAATAAACTTTCTCAAGAAAATGTTTTAAAAAGAATCAGTATCAGTATATTGTAATATATTACACAGTATGTTGGACAAAAATGATAGTAAAGCATGTTAAAAAATGTAAATGTCATAACGAAATCATGATTCAAATGTCATAAAAAGTCATGTAGAAAGGTAAAAAATATATATTATTTAGTACAATAAAGTAAAATGAAACATTATAGAACACGATCTAATTAATGGTCATTAAACAGTATATTTAAATGCAAAAGCACCCTAGAATAATACTGAATACTGATTTTATCAAAACCGTTACCAGATATTTTTTTTTAAATATTTTTCTATAAAAGCAGAATCAACATCTTTCATCACATAATGACACGCGAGGCTCCTCACCGCTCTGGATTGTCTGCTGCACAAACCGAATCGATCATCCCCACATCCAGCGTTCCCTGAGGGGGGGGACAGGGTCAGCTAATGAGATTGACCTTCTTCTGCCCCCGGTGGAAACCAATTATCTCACACACACACACACACACACACACACACACACACACACACACACACACACACACACACACACACACACACACACACACACACACACACACACACACACACACTTCCAGCACACGCGCGCCGTGTTGAACACAAAGAACCAGAACAGGAACAAAAAGACGGATTGAGTGAATTTCCTTTTAAAGTAACGAAAGTAGAACTTGAAGAAACTCCGTCGGGATTAAAGAGAAACGGTTGACGCGTTGGCGCTGGTTAGCGTGACCTGAGGAGACTCACCACGGCGTTCTGCGGGTTGGCCTGCTCGTGGTGCATCTCTCGGATCTCCTGCTCCGTGGAGCCGTGGACTTGACTCAGCACGCTGAACCACTGGCTGTAACCATGGAGACGGCGTCACACACTCCTTTATTCTCAGTTGGACTAAATATGATTTGGTCTCAGATTTTATTGATGTGAAAAGACTTTTTAGGGAAATGTGGAACATATAGTTAACGTGTTAATCGGCTGCACGGTAATAAAGAAGTACAGTCTGCATGAATACAGTACAGATGAAGGTGATTCTGCCCCAGACACAGAAATGATGGACTTCCTGTCTGCAGGGACGGAGACGGCGTACCTGGCGTCCTCGGCGGACTCTGCGATCAGCTGGTACGTCCTCTCCGGCATCACGATGTTGATTCCGTTCTCTTTACCCGTGTTGTCGATGATTTCTCTGCAACGGACAAAACGGAAAAGCTGAAATCTCTCTAGAGGCTTATTCCTAATAAAACTACACTCACAAGAAATCACTTTATAAAATATGTCATATAGTATGTCGCGAAAATGTAACAATAAAATTCAATCATGATAGAAAAACAATACAAAAAGGGATTTGCCTTCTGAATGGAATTATACATTATAATAAAATCACCATCTTACACCTTAAATAGCTTTAAAAAAACAATATTTTTGTCAAATACCAAAATATATACTTATCTAAAAATACGTTATGCAATTGTTCAGATATTAAGTTATTAATAAGTCAGCATTATTGCGTAACGATTGTAATATTCATAATTTTAAGTGTCTTGCTGCGTCCATGTTCCTTCATCCAACTCTCCAACACGCATGAACGGTGTCACATGTCCCGGCGCCGTTAACGGGTAATAACCGGGTCGCTCCTCACTTGGCGTCGTGCATGTCCAGCACCCCCTTCATCTTCTCCTCGCCGTCGTTCTCGAAGTACGTGAGCTTGCTCTGCCGCAGGACGAACCAGCGGCGCTTCCAGTTGCGGCGCGACAGCGTGGACGAGCCCCCCCCCTTCTTGTGCAGCCAGCCCTGCTTCAGGGCCTCCTGCTTGGCCCGGAACCACAGGAAGGTCTCGTCCTTCAGGACGCACCAGCGCCGCTTCCACGTGTTGATCAGGCCGCCTGCAGGGAGAGAGAGAGAGAGAGAGAGACGTTCACGCCGCGCCAGACGCGTCGACGTCTCACTGTAGAGGTCAGAGGTCATTTCAAGGAGATACCTTTGATGAAGAGGAAGCTGTGGAAGTAGGGGAGCGTGACGCAGCTGTAGACCGAGTCCCGCCGGTACGACAGCTCGTCGTCGGTGTCGAACCTGTCGAAGTCGTCCTCGCTGTCCTCGAACTGGAATAAAACAACAGCGACAGTCGGCGGACGCAGACGCATTTAAGGAGTGAATTAAGATCCAAAGGGGAATATTTCTCGTTGAGAACTGAACAGCGTGGCTGTAGTTGACCCCTCTAACAGACCTGTCAATCAGCGTGTAGCCCCGCCCTAAAGCATGAGAGACCTGTCAATTGGCGTGTAGCCCCGCCCTAAAGCATTGGAAACCTGTCAATCAACGTGTAGCCCCGCCCTAAAGCATTAGAGACCTGTCAATCAGCGTGTAGCCCCGCCCTAAAGGATTAGAAACCTGTCAATCAGCATGTAGCCCCGCCCTAAAGCATTAGAGACCTGTCAATCAGCGTGTAGCCCCGCCCTAAAGCATTAGAGACCTGTCAATCAGCGTGTAGCCCCGCCCTAAAGCATTAGAGACCTGTCTATCAGCGTGTAGCCCCGCCCTAAAGCATTAGAGACCTGTCAATCAGCGTGTAGCCCTGCCCTAAAGCATTAGAGACCTGTCAATCAGCGTGTAGCCCTGCCCTAAAGCATTAGAGACCTGTCAATCAGCGTGTAGCCTGCCCTAAAGCATTAGAGACCTGTCAATCAGCGTGTAGCCCCGCCCTAAAGCATCCCCTGCTTTACTGAGAGAATAAATCAAGTCATCCTCTCATAGACGTCTGTGGGACCAGAGGAGTCGCCCCCTGCTGGTCACTACACAGAATGCAGCTTTAAGACCGACTCACCCGAGGACTGGCCCCCTCCGAGCTGAAGCGGTAGGCCCCTGAGCTGTGTAGGTGCCGACGGAGCCGCGGTAGTCGGGCGACCACTGGTCGCTGCGGGGGTTGGAGAAGGCCCTACAAGCGCTGGACACGATGGCGCCCTCGTCGTAGTCGTCCTGGTCGTAGTCG